GTAGAGTACTTGCCTGGCATGCTTAAGGTTCTGAGTTTCATCCCCAGCACTGAAAAAAAAAAGAATAAAGGATAACTTAAAATACTTTGATCTGAGCAATTGGAGGGAAGCAATTAACTGAGATGGGGGACCAGGTTTGTGTCTTTGAGGTGTATCTTGGGAGGTCAGTTTCAGACAGGCAGAGTTTGAAATGCCTATTAAATATCTAAGTAGGGGATGATGAGTAGATAGTTGAGTACCTAGAGTTTAGAGGCAGCAAATCAGAAGGATATAAAAATGGGAGGTTTGATGAGACTGCATAGGTCCTATTAGAACAGGGAAGAGGTCCAGGGACTAAGTGTTGGAAATTGTCAGATCACTGCAAAGTGCTAAAATTGGACAGTGGAGAATTTGATAGGTGTAAAGAATGTTTTTATAGTTAATTGAACACAAAGAAATAGAGATAGGGAGCATTGAATGATGAAACAAAAAGTTACTCCGGGCAAATTTCAGTCTTGCTTCACTTAATCTCTTGCAAACTTTGTCCTTCCTTTCTATGAGCTAGTTATCTGACAGACAGACACACATACACATAAATAGCTAAGACACAGCTTCTGATTCTGTGTTACTGAAGTGGTCTGTTGGTCAGATCTGTATTTTGTTCCTGCATACCCTTTAAAAGTAGTAATAGAATCACTTCAAAGGGCAGTCCTTGACAAATTATGCTGTCTACAGTATACACACAGGACTGCCTTAAAAAGGAGTCAGTACCTTTAGACTTCAAATCCTTGTAGTAGAATGTTACTTATGTTGGTACCAGCATTTTTAATTGAATTTTATTTTAGTGACACATAACCTAACTATACTATTTATTTTTCCTAGGAGTAATAACAATACTATTTATTTTTCCTTCTTTAGGTTGGCACAATTAAATTTGCCAAGCCAGGTGCTGGTGGCTCATGCCTATACTCCTAGCTGTTCAGGAGGCAGAGATCAGGAGGATCATGATTCAAAGCCAGCCCAGGCAAATAGTTCTTGAGACCCTATCTCGAAAATTCCCAATACAAAAAAAGACTGGTGGCATGGCTCAAATGGTAGAGTGCCTGCCTAGCAATCTTGAGGCTCTGAGTTCAAACCCCAGTACCACCAAAAAAAAAAAATTGCTAGAGCAGTACATGGATCTCTTATATGTGTTTAATCACCTCTGAAAACACTTTAGCATGGCTTACTCCAGATGCAGGATGAATGAAAAGTGGTGCATGAAGATCACTGGAGTGATGCCTACTCCAAAACTCAGCCTTTAGTTGAGCCTAAAACTCAGCTTCTAGTTGGGTCTTAGTCACTCTCCACTCCACATCTGGAACTCAAACCATATAAGCAAAACATCCCTCTAACTAGTCAAATAGATGCTCTAAAGTCTATGAACTTCATAGCTTTGCCCCTCAGACTCATTGGATTCCATGTGGAGCTCTTGTGGACTCAACCATTAGAACATTTCTATCACCAAGCCTGTCTGGTTTCTAATGTGCCAGGGAGGAGAGCAGGTTAGACGAGCCAAGAGGAGCCTCGCTAGATGCGCATGCTGACCCCAGGGTGGCATGGGCACTGAATCCCAGGGGCAAGCAGAGCTCCACAGCAGCAGTCTGGTCTTGACCCCCATCACTTCACGGAAATCTACAGACATCATTCTCTGTGGTAACTGGTGTAATGGCAGCCCTGAGTCATAGAGGAAAAGTTAAGTTGTGAGTGTGTTGATGTAGAAGGCAGAAGATTGGCCATCTGTTACTGCAGGACAAACCACCCTGGAATGAGCATTTATTACCTCTCATGGTTCTTTGGGTTGAGTGGCCTTCTGAGCTGCCTGTTCAGGGCTTAGTGTGGTGGCTGGAGGCCCATGGGGCTGGAGCATTTTCCAGGGTTCACTCCTGGGGTTGGCCCAGCCTTCTCAGAATGACAGCTGGCTCCAAAATGGAGTGTTTTGAGTAGGGGAACACATTGGAAGTGATTCGGCTTCACTTCACTGCATTCTTTTGGTCATAGATAGTCACAGGATCAGCTCAGATGTCAGGAGATAGGAAGTAGACTCCACTTCTTCTTGGAGCAGCAAGGATCCATGGCCATCTTTAGTTCCACCATCACAGTGCAGTGGATATAAATACATAATATGCAACAAAGGGGCTAGGTGAGTCTTAGGTCTCCCGGAAGAGGACTGTGGAGAAAGCTTGTCTGCCTCCTGAGGGTTCAAAGTGGTCACTGCTTTTGTTGACACAAAATACAACTGTTGCTTTAAAGGAAGCAGAAGGTTTATTCTGAGCCAAATATGAGTGATCATGACCCAGGAATATGGATTCAGGTTATGTTGAATGACATGTTCTACAGTGGGAGAGGTTTCATGAACTTTTATAGTCATAGGACAAAAGAAAGTCATTAATTAACTCATTTACCATATACATTGGTGTGGACATCATCAGGTAGGCAGGTCACAGTAGAGTCTGGAAATCTCTTCTGTAGGTTTCAGGTGTTATAATATTCTTAGCTTTAGAGTTGATAGGAGCTAGTTGTCTGATAAGTTAACAAGATATTCCAGTAGTTTTACCTGATAGTCACAAAGATGTTAGATGAGATGTAGAGATTGATAGTAAACGGCTATTAAGGGCACTAAGGAGAGCCCATGGTAACTTTGGCTGTCCACCTGCAACATTGCATCTCCTCACAGTCATGATGTTCTATCCCACCATTCGGTCTCCAGGACCTTCAGCACAGATGTGGCTTCTTTAGAGAACTTCATTTACTGTAATTACAAGATCATTACACTATTAGGGAGTATTATAACCTAACAAAAGCATTTATATTTGGCAAAAATAATAGCTATGCTTTTTTAAAGGTAAATTAGTTACTAAGGTAGTTACTAACGGTAGGACAAGAACCCTTGGAAAGAATTCTAACCAGAAAAAAAGAAAAATTAAATATGAAACCAAATTTTAACTTCTCTTGGGGTTAGAATTTTCTAATTCTTGGATTCCTTCTCAGTTTGCTTGTCCTGGCATCTCAAGCTACTGTGTTTCCTGGAGCTTATCTAGGTGTCTAGTCTAGTCTGGACAGTGAAGGATTTGGAAGTAAATACTGTATTTGTGTTACACACCATTATGATTCTGTCATGTGCATGAGATGTCACGGGGGAATCCACAAACTCACTAAAGTGTTCTTGCTCTCAGAACACTCTCGAGAATAAGAGGCACTGGAGTTACAGGCAGGAAAGAAACTTTATTGATAGAAAACGGCTGAGCGGAGGTCCGGAAACCGGGCTTCTCCCAGGTCATGAGGGCTTCTGCATTCCTAAGATGTCATGGAACTGATTTATGTTATGTGACTGCTACAATTCCTTTGTGGTTTTTATTTTTTGCATAACTGAGGTTTGAACCCAGGGCTTTGTGCTTGCTAGACAGGCAATCTACCATTTGAGCCATGCCCCCAGCCCTGTTTTACTTTAGCTATTTAGGTTATTTAGGTAGAACCTCCTAGTTTTGCCCAGGTCTAGCCTCAGACACACAGGCCTTCTATTTACAGACTCCCATGTAGCCGTGATCACAGTCATGTACCACCACACCTGTCTTGTTTTTGAGATGGGGTTTTGCTAACTTTTTGCCCAGGCTAGCCTAAACTGTGATCCTCCTGATCTCTACCTCCCAAGTAGTTGGGATCACAGGTGTGAGCCACCATGCCCAGCCTTCATTTTAATTTCGAAACTGGTTTTCAAAATGAATTTTTAAGAACCCTGCCTAGAGTCAAAAAAGTCTCTCTCCCTCTCTGGCTATTAGTTTCTCCTCCTTGTAGCTTGTGTGTAAATTTATAAAAATTCTACACTGCTCTTGCTTCCACCATTATAATACATTTGTGTGTGTGTGTCTAGTACCTAGTTTATTAATTTAAACCCCAGCAGGCACTTAGCAAATGCCTCTTGAGTGTATGACTGCCTCCTTGGAGCCTCCCTTGTTTAGTGTAGAGATTGTCCTCTTACTGGCGGGTGAGAGACCAGCCCTCTGAGTGCACTGACGCTGGCTATGTAAAGCACCAGCAAAGGTGAATTAGGGCTCTGAGGAGAGTAATTTCAATGGAAGCTACCATGCTTGTGTGAGCTGTTGTTTTTGAGGTAAGTTTTCTGTCCTCTTAATTTTCACCTGGCTAAGGTGGGAAGGGACTTTCTCCAGCAGCACTGATTGGCTTTTTTCTTTGTTAATGGCTAGTGATTAGAGGAGGACAGACCTCCTAGCTCACTGTCAGGAATTCGTCCCTGGTGTAAAATCACCCCCCTCCCTTAGGTAGTTTCTCTTCTTCAGTTAAATTAAAAATTGTCTTTTGTTAACACTTGGATCTGACAAGTTGGGCCCAGGAATCTCAAGAAATATGTTGGAGGCTTCCGATTTAATTAAACAAAATACTTTATTATCGAAAGCTAGCTATAACCTCAGATGGAAAGAAACAAATTCACCTCCTTCACTTGACTTTCTAAACTGGCACAAACAGAAGTAAAAATGAAAGTTTCTGAAATACTTTCCTTCAAACTGAAGAACTTCTGGATAACAAGAGACTTTGTTGTAGCCCACATTACTGGAGCACTTACCAGGCCTTCACAGTATCCCTTTTATAGGGTCCCATCTCTTTTGTCATGGGATTAGGGGACCACATGACTGATTTAGCCTCACAATTACAATCACCCCTCCCCCTGCTGCTTTCCATTCACAGTGACCCAGATGCGGAGGCCTGTTGTAGAGGTCAGGCTTAGAGGGCCTGGCCCAGTGTGGAATCATTTTCCAAACTGGCCAGGAGAAAGTTACAGCCAACCAGCCTGTAAGAGCTAGCCTAAGTTATTCCTGGTTACTTAATCAACAAAGACAGACAGAAGCCACTTAATATACACTCAAAAAGTCATACATTTGCTTTGAATTCCTCTCCTTTTCCTTTTAAACTTCTTATATATGTGCCTGACTTTATATTCTTTTTTCCTTGTGTTTGTTTTCTAGTGCGGTTTATTGGCAGTCATGTAACCCTCTGACGAGTGCTGAAGTGAGCACAACGAGGGACAGATGCAGGTGTACTGAATCTTGAACTGAGTCTTAGGAAATCCAGAGGTGTGTAAGTAGGCGTCAGGCCCTGTTTGCAATGAGCTGTTGGTAGAAGAAACTTGATGGTGAGATGTCAGCTGCCTAAGTGCACTGTTGGGACAAAATGGAAGAAGAACAACTAGAATGTCCAAACTCCTCCTCTGAAAAACGCTATTTTCCTGAATCCTTGGATTCCAGTGATGGGGATGAGGAAGGGGTTCTGGCCTGTGAGGATTTGGAACTGAACCCTTTTGATGGATTGCCATATTCATCACGTTATTACAAACTTTTGAAAGAAAGAGAAGATCTTCCAATATGGAAAGAAAAATACTCCTTTATGGAGAATCTGCTGCAGAATCAAATTGTGATCGTTTCAGGAGATGCTAAATGTGGCAAGAGCTCTCAGGTGAGTGACCACTACAAAAACCACTTGCTTTATGCGTTGCTTAAGTAATTATAAGCCATAGCATAGCATTCTGATTTAATGACAGTATCTAAAGCAAAAAAGAGTACTAGCAATTGAAACAGAATAAAGTCACTTGTTTTATTAATGGCAACTGCATACAGTTAATACTTATTTAGAAATTATGTTTGGCCACTGGGAGTTTGGGGCTCAATCTCCATGTTTACTGACCGGAGGTCAGATAGTCACAGAGTGTGTCTGTGCTTGTTGGTGAAGCTGGCTAAACCCCAAAATTTAAAAGCACAGTAAATTCTTATTTTCCTTACAGTAAGAAAAAACTGACCAAGTATCACCCAGGTCTGGGGCTACATAAGGGAAAGACTTTAGAGTTGTTAAAAGAAAAAGTTAATAATATTAAATTTTTAAAGATTTTATTTGAGCAAAGGATTTATGGCTTGGGCAGCACTTAGAGCAGAAGGGGGTGCTCTTCAGCAGCAGGCAGTGCACTCTTCTACGCTGATGTGGAAGTCAGATGAAGTATCTGTGATTGGTTAGAATAGACCATCCTTAGAGACTGGGTGGCGATTCTAATTGGTGAAGTCTCCAGTTTCCAGGGACTGTTTCTGGACTTTGGTTTGCCTATGTGGGAGCTTAAAGCCCAGGAGCTGCCCCGGCCCAATGTGTCCCACTCCCCAAATCTTTTTTTTTATTTTTAACAAAAAAGAAAAGGGAAAAAAATTAGAGTCTTCTTGGTTCTAAACTGGGGTTCCCTGTAGCAACAGACAGACTAAAAGGAGAAAAACAGACAAGTTAGTGAACATGTATACCTCTAGCATGTAGAGAGATGAGCAAACCTCTAATCTGGAAGAAAGCCATTTGAACAGGAGGCTCAAGTGTCACATTCTCTGAAACAGAGTGAGAAAGATGGGGAAGTCCCAGGGGGTGGGGATGACACAGCCAGGAGAGGCCTTCAATAAAGGTGACCAAAGTCATCTCTACTGCCTCATCCCCTTTCCTTGCAAATAGGGATTTCCTGTATAGACCTAAATTTCTCTTACAAAACACAGCTTTTTGGAGCTACTTTTGTGTATACCTTTCTCAAAATAATCAGTATGCTACACAGGCAGATTCTGCTCCCACAGTCATGGGTGGTGTGTCCTGAGTCCAAAGCTAAATAGTTAACAAATGCTTACTGTCCAATTTGTTGTATTTAAATTTCAAATTTTGACTCACGTGAGAGCTGCTTTCCTTTTAAGTTGCAGATTCTCTTGTCATGTAAGAATTAGAATAGACCACAGAGATACTCAGACAGAATCCTGTCATTTTCAGAAGATAAATCTGTGGTCCAGAAGGATCTGGTAGTTTGTGTGTCTCATGTCATGTAGTTTTCCGAACTGGAGTGAAAAGAATACTTTCTATAATAACTGAGGCAGGCTAAAGTAGGGAAAGTTTGGAACTCACATGCAGGTTGCCCAGGGATGGCCGAGACCACCCACACCTGTCTGGGAACCACCCATGCTCCTCCCCACTCATTGATTATTGGATGGGAATCACCTGGTTCTTCCCTTCCCTTAGGTAATTGTAGGTTTTTAAAGCACCTCTTTTGGCTTCCAGCTTCCACCTGGGCCTCACCATGCTCCCTTTGTATTTCCCTTCCCTAACTTTTAATAAACTCCATTTACGTAAACCCACGTGTCCTGCCATGGGTTCTTCCCTTCAGGACAAGAATTTCGAAGCCTTCTGATCACAGACAGCACCAGCACTGTTAACATAACCACTTCCCAGCTTGTTAAATCTAAAGCTTGGCTATTTTAGGTATAATTTGAAGAGAGGAGAGCTGGATAATAGGCGTTTTTGTTTGACCTAGTTTTTTACTGCCAATATCAAGGGTTTATCATGATTTATTATTTGTTCTGATGAGTTACTGTTTGATTAATTTTAGTTCATCATTAGAACTAAATGTATATAATTTTCCTAGTTTCTGTGGGAAATGGCAAGTTTTTTAAAATTTAAGATTTTATTTTTTTCAGAATTTCTTTTGTGTGTTTTTGAGATGCTGGGGATCAAACCCAGGACCTTGCACATACTAAGCAAGCACTGTACCACTGAGCTACATTCTCAACCCTAAGTTTTTATTTTGTGATCATTTGAGACTTAAAAAAAAAGGTACAATAATAATATAGAGGTTTTCCATATGTTGTTCACCCAGAGTCCCCAAAACAATACAATAATCAAAATAGTCATTTTATCTAATTTGTAGTCATTTACATTTAATTACTTTTCCATGACTTTTATAAAAAAATATTTTCTAGTCCAAAATGCAATCCAAAACTACATTGTATTTCGCTGCCATTTTAAAATCTCCTTTAATCTGAACCAGGTCCTCAGTCTCTCCTTGTCCTTCATGACCTTGATATTTTCAGAGCACAAATGCATTGTTCTGTAGAAATTCTCCAGTTTGATTGTATCCAACGTGTCCTTAGAGTTAGGCACAGACTGCCTTCATGGCAGGAAGACTGCAGAAGTGCTTGGTATCCTATCTCACTATCAGTGTATGCCATCAGGAGGCATGCCATGTCTATGAGGCTGGTGGATTTTTTTGGAGGGGGTCAGTACTAAGTTTTGAACTCAGGGCCTTGCACTTCCTACACTCTACCAATGTTGTGTGTGACATTTGATTCAGAAAGGCCCTTCCTCAGTGAAGTATACTAACGTACTGGTTCACGCTGGGCAACATGGGCTGCCTTGTGAGTGGTCTCAGGCATAAATACTTTGCGGGAATCTTGTTCAAGGGATTCATATCTTGGGTTAATTGGTGGCCTTAGGGTTTCTTTCAACTAAAAAATTTTGTGGTTATCCTGGTACTAAAATGCAAGTGTGCGGTTAAGACCTTGACATTTGCTGTGGGATTGGGAGTCCAAGGGAACTAAGAGAAGAAAGCAGAAGAGGAATCTGGCCTCATGACATTTAAAGGAAGGGTTGGAGCCTTTAGGACCAGAATGTGTTTTAACAGAATGTAATAGTGCTCTGTCTTACAGAGGACTTTCATACTCACTTCATTTATTCTTATTTAGCCATATTGCCATGAGATGAAGGGAAACAATCTTTAGCAATGGATGGGAAGAACAAAAAGTTGTATACCAGTGTTGCTCATGAGGATGTCCTCATGCCATGTGGCAGTGATGAAGCTGTACATGATGTTTCTGCAGCTGCTGCTACTCTCAGTTTTGCTCTGGAACTGGCTTTGAATTCTCAAACAAATTCTCTGCAGCCGATCTGAAGACCCTGGACCCCAGGTTCCCCAGAATCCAGTAGCTCAGCCTCTCTGCATACTGCTCAGAGTCAGTAATGGAGCTGCTTTGCTACTTTCTGAATTTGCCCAAGGTGTAGAGCTCCAGTCCATACTAAAATCAACAGAGCCTTGATGTGGATCAGGTCTGGGCTACCCAAAGGACTCCTCTTCCCTGATCTGTTCTCATAGTAGCAGGTCAGCGTGAGTCCTATGAATTCCTTTGGGCAGGCAGGAGATAAGAGGCTGGGTGCACAGGCCGGAGGCACTTTCTCAGTGTCTGTCCTATGGGCTACTCGCCTTACATGCCCAAAATCAGGCCAAGGCTTGCTGTGGGGCAGAGTGCAAGGCACAAGTCACTGTTTAGACCTTCACACATTAACACTTCACACAGTACATAAAATGCTTTTAGATGTGGATTGAAAAAGTATGAAAAAATTGTTAGGTGGGTTCAAAACGATTTCCAGTCAGTGAGGGTTTCTAGACCCAATATATAAATTTGGAGGTTTTTCTGTTGCCAAAACCCCCATGCAAGTTGCTTTGTAAATAAATTTACTTTTAAACATGTTAAAGAAGATATTTCCTATTTTTTCCACCATATTGGATAATATTTGCTAAGTGCTCAGTGCCATTTAAGTCACAGTGACCCAGAGTTGAATTTCTCTGAAGACAGAAGAGTTGAATGATTCACAGAAAGCTGCAGCTGTCTACTCCAGTTCCCACAGTGCCCACTAGGCAACTTACCCACCTTGAAAATTACTTCCTGACAGAGGGAAGTAAGACCTTTACTCACAGGTAATTTAGTGGTGAGAGGAGGAAGGTACTCTTGGGACAATGAAAAAGCTCCCGAGGTGAGTAGTTACAGAATCAGGGCAAGGAGTGCTAGCACCCGCAGAAGGTACAGCATTTATTATAAAGCAGAGAATTCAAATGTTCCTCAGAAAGCTGTGCTCTTAGTGTCCCTTGAAATTATTAAATGTCCATGTTTCCAGAATTTGCTGAATCATAACTTTCTTCAGCCAATACTCATAGTTTGCTAAGGAATCAAATTGCACAGTGCACCTCAGCTGGCCTAGAGTGATCCAGAGGCATACAGTGTAGAAATCCTAATACATCAGACAGATAGATAGCTCTGTGTTTCTTCCTTTCTGTTCAGATATAACCTTTTCAGTTTGCATTTGCTTCACTCACTGTTATTCTCCATGTCTAATTGTCACTGAAAGGGTAGATGTGTGTTATGTAGTCAGAGCCACAACTATGTGGGCTCTGTAATTAGTTGTGATTTCTGCTCAGCTGTGAATGTGGCTACTAAGTAAACATCTCTACATTGAGCAAAATACATATGTGTTCAGTCTTTCGCTGGATAGTTAGTATCTGACCTACAGAGGGACTATTCTATTTCCTCTTGCATAAAATGAGGGGCTTGGCTTTCCTGAGATTCCTTTCAGCTCCAAGATTCTGAGATTGCTCTCCTTACCTCTATCTCTAACTTCCTTCTCAGGCTCCTGGCCAGCTTTTCAGTCTCAGCATAGCTGCACCTCTTATCATTGCTTAGGTCGCCTTAACGCTTACCGTCTTCCTTACTAACCCTCCGTCCCCTCCAAAGAATTTAATGCTGTTATGAGCTTCATTCATTCATTGTGTTTTACTTTCTAATTTCCTGTTCTTGTTAATTACCACATTACCCCCAGTATTTTAAATTAGAAATCATGGAATATTTGTTTTCTTCCTGTGCATAATTAGTCTGTAAGTGAGTACTGCATATTCTTCCTTTGCAGTAAATGACTTTGTTTTATTACTTCTCTCCCATGCTTGGTCCTGAGCGCAAGCCTTTCTCTCCTTACTTTTTGGTTATTATGATGTCCTTCATCTAGTCATTCACCCATCCCAATATCTATTGTTCCTGTCCTCTATTTAGTATTGGTGACAAATGTGAACCACACACATGCAGCTTATGAGACTCCCAGTCTAGGGGAGACATAAAGATTCAGAAAGTGATTTTAGGGTTGGAGGTATGGCTCAAGTAGTAGAGCACCTGCCTAGCAAGCACGAGACTCTGAGTCCAGCCCACAATACCCACCCTCCCCCACAAACGCAGTTTTTTAATGAAGCTTTGCACGTGAGTGCTATCTGAGGTCTTAGCTAGAAACCTGGACATGAAGGAAATCAGCTGACAAAGTAAGGATTTGTCAAGAATAATAAAAATTTCTTGCTAGGGAATGAGGAAGACAAAATTCTACTGACCTGTGAATTCTCAGGTCAGTAATTGTGAAATAACTCAGACTCTGTAGAATCACAGAATTTTAAAATATTTCTGGAAAGAATAAGACATTAATTTGTTCAGTTAACATACATTTATCAAGCACTGGGGTAATTTGGTAACCAAAAAGATGGATCCTTGCTCTCAGAGCTTGTATTCTATTGGGGAAGCAGGAGTAGTGGCTCTAGGAACTGACATGACATAATGATACCTGCCATGGTGGGGAAGTCTAACAGGGAGCTAATGCCTAGAGGGTGACAGCGAGCCTTGGAGAAATGACACCATTTTGTTTTCCATGTTAGGAAAGCAAAGCCTAGGAAAATTGATATTTACATGGAACAAATCAGTAACAAGCCAGGATTATGACCCTAACTTCTGTCTCCTGGGTATTTTATTATTTCCTGGGTCATGTCTTGATTCGGATTTCTGGAGTACAGCATCTTAAACTTTCTTCTTTCATAAAACAAAGTAAGCATTGGGTAAATCATTACTGATAATTTTCAACCTGTTGACAAGGCTGACACCTACCTTAACATGAAGGAAATGTATTTGCACTTTTAATCATTGCAAATCTACAGCTGCAGAAGGGACTCATTTTAGAATTACTAATACTTTCAAATTACAATGAGGATTAAAAATCTAAGAATTCCATGATGAGTCTAGTAAATATCAGACCTCAAGATAATTAAAAATCTAATTACATCTATTTTAAAACTCTTGGATTTTTTTTAAATGCACACAACAGAGCACAATTTATTGACAGTGCCTTAAGATTGTAGTAGACAAATGAATTTAGTACTCTCTACTATGATAATTCTTATGCAAATGGACTTGATAAAAAAATAAGCTGAGGCATAACATTTTTTTAAATGATTTTTTAAATTAAATGGCTCTGAAGCAAAACCTTGCTTGGAATTGATCTTTACAAATCAGTTCCATGAGTTGATTGATTACCTCACTGGATTTATTTTTAATTATATTTAGATAATTAATTATCAGAATATTTTAGCTTCTTTTACCAAATAAATATCAAGTATGCTTATCTGGATATTTGTTATGATCATTTAAATGTAAAAGCTTTCATTTTGAGTCACTTTTTCATTTAAATGATACTTAATATTTACACTGTTTCAAACATAATAACTGATAACAGAAGTTATGTTTTTCATTGGGCTTTCTTATTACCAGAAAGAAAATAAAAATCCATGAGTATGTTAGTCCTTCAAGCAGCATAAATTAAAAACATTTTTTCATTGTTCTCTTTTTTAATTTGCTTTTTTTCATCTGTGACTCAAACTTTCATTTTTACTGCTCTCTACTAACACTTGTATATTCTTAACTTTATTTGCTAGTAATAACAGTACATGATATGATACAGATTATTCAGAGTTCCACTAAATAAAATTTAATGCAGTCCACTGGTGAGTCACTGGTGGAAGAAATAGTCTTTTATAAAATGAACCTACTCTAAGAAAAAGCTATCCCTTGGTTTTTGTTTTTCTTTTTATCTTTCATTGTGGGTGCTGATCCTGTGTCATTTTTCCCCATTAAAGGTTCCTCAGTGGTGTGCTGAATATTGCCTGTCCATCCACTACCAACATGGGGGCGTGATATGCACACAGGTCCACAAGCAGACTGCAGTCCAGCTTGCCCTGAGGGTAGCAGACGAAATGGATGTTAACATAGGACATGAAGTTGGCTACGTGATCCCTTTTGAAAACTGCTGCACCAGTGAAACAATCCTGAGGTTGGTTTTGGGAGGCTTTATCTCTCCGCCATGACTCTTGGGTTGGGTTCTGCAATCCTAAAAAGAGCACTGTTCTCACATGTGCAGCATCAATGGTATTCTAACAACTGCTGTCACTGTCTCCATCCTGACCTTCCTCAGAGATACTTATCTAAACATCTTCCATGACTCTCCATCATCCTCACTGTCTCCATCCTGACCCTCCTCAGAGATACTTATCTAAACATCTTCCATGACTCTCCATCATCCTCACTGTCTCCATCCTGACCCTCCTCAGAGATACTTATCTAAACATCTTCCATGACTCACCATCATCCTCACTGTCTCCATCCTGACCCTCCTCAGAGATACTTATCTAAACATCTTCCATGACTCTCCATCATCCACTGTCTCCATCCTGACCCTCCTCAGAGATACTTATCTAAACATCTTCCATGACTCTCCATCATCCTCACTGTCTCCATCCTGACCCTCCTCAGAGATACTTATCTAAACATCTTCCATGACTCTCCATCATCCTCACTGTCTCCATCCTGACCCTCCTCAGAGATACTTATCTAAACATCTTCCATGACTCCATCATCCTCAGGCACAAATTAGCCTGATCCCCAAAGACCTTCCAGCTTGTACTTACAGAGCTCTCCCTCCTGGTGGGTCTACATGTGCAAGTCATGGGGCACCTATGACTCTGTGTGTGCACTAATGCCCACACACCTCTGTGCCTGTATCCCTGCTGTTCCCTGCACTTAGAATGCCCACACCTTTTCTGGGTTTAGGCAGTTCCTCTTAGTCACTCAGGACTTGGTGTGAGAATCACCTGCACCAGGAAGGCTCCCCGCCTTCCCCTTAGTGTGCAGCAAGACCCTCTACTGGGCTTGGTGTCAACTTCCACAATGACAGTTCTGATCTGTGTTTTCCCAGTCCTGTGAGTTTCAAAGAGCCTTCTCTGTGGCAACTATAAGCTGTATCTCTTTTATGTTTAGCTTCCTTGTGAGACTTCTTTTGGACAAGGGCTACCAAGAACTTGATACAAAGAAGAAAAGAAAAAGGGAAAAAGGAAATAGGAAAATTGGAAAGTCACTGCTCTGGGCCAGTGCTTCTCAAGTGGTTTTATATCGTAGCCCTCACACACACAGATAGGGTCTGTCTGGCCCCTCAGGAAAGTGGTGGAAGCTGCTCGCAGCCAGAGATGACCTCCCATGGGCTTCTTGCTGAGATGAGCACTCACTGATCTCAGGGTTGGAATATCTGCACATTCATAACTCATTCATGTGGCATGTGTCAGAGTAACAGCACAGGGATGCCTTTCAGCACACCCATATCCCCAACATTTGTGTGCTTGTCCAATGGAGGTTGCTCAGTATGCTTGATAGTGGAAGGAGGAAGTATTGCCTGGCCCAGCTGACTGCCGCAGACTTGGGTGCGGCTCTGAGGCCATTCAGAAAGCTCACTTGGTTTGAATCAAGCTATTTTCCCTGCAGTGTTTTTTCTTCAGAGATGGAAGACATCATCTTCCAAGCCATAGGGGATCTTTAAACCAAAAGTACTCTAACTTGAACTTCTTGAGTATATGTTACCTTTGTGATATAGCTATGTGTCCTCAAGGCAGGGAGCATTTGTAAATTACCTCGTATGTAAATGGCACATGAGCAATACAAAAGAAATGCAAAAACCTCCCTGCCTCTTTGGAACTCACGGACTAACGCAGGACTGTTGGACAGAACACAACTGAGGCACTGAGGGGCAAGCGATTCCTGAGTTTATTCTTTACCTTGTCTTCGGTTCTAAATTTTTATTTTTTACAGTGACCTTTCAAATTGTCATGGTTTTAATTAAATGAGGGCTCTGATTAAGTCCTGAAGTTAATGTATGTGTTTTTATATCTTTAATGCAATCTAAACTTTGGGAACCCTTAGAAAGGACTCTTGAATATAATCACCTTTAAAATAAAGTAACTATTTTTTCTTAAATGGACTCGTGTGCATGTGTGTGTATCTGTATTTTTTAAGAAAGTCACAGAGATAAATAACTGTTGTGAAAGTAGGCTGAGAAATTCCAACTCTGTCACTTGTTGGACTTGACTTTTATGGGTTTGTGGTGTGGTGAAAAACCCAAGCTTCAATTCTGAAAGGCAAAGGAAGTAGTGTACGTTTACATTAAAGTATTCCTTTCTGAATTAGGGACAGAGGTTTTCAGGTACAGTGGGGCACAGTTGGTGAGGATGGAAAGTGGTGGCCTGCTCTGACCACTGCTGGTTCTATTCCCCTGTCACTGCTAAGCTGCCGCCTTGTCTCACGGTTTCTGTATCTTCACCTTACAACTCTGTTGCTGGGTTTTCTTTTCTACCACAATGTTCTCCCGAAACCAATGCACAGTCAGCAGACACACTCTGCTGCATTATTGTGAACAGAGTGTGAGTCACAGGAAAGAGGCCACATGACTGAAAAGCACCCTCCCTATGGTTAAAAAAAATAGTACCTGACTTTCCTCCTGGAATCCAGTGCTCTGAAGAGGAAGCAACATGGCTGTAAAGTGAGCATCTCCACCACTTCCTGTGGCCTTGAACAAGTCACCTGCCCTCTCTGCTCACCTTTCCTCACCCGTGAAACTTGATGGCTGATACACCTGCTCCGAGGGGTGTTGTGAGGACTAAATGTGTGACTATATGGGACTGAAGCATAGTGGATATAGGTGGTAGCTATTTTTATAATTATAATCAAATTTGTAATTATATCTTTATAATTATTATTACAGCCAGATTTGTTTTCTTAGAGAGAGAGAATGCTAGCTATAGTTTTGAATAAGCTCAGATTGAATAGCTGTTTAAATCAAAGGATTTTTTTTAATGGTGCTGGGGATTGAACCCAGGGCCTCACACAAGCTAGGCAGGCACTCTACCACTGAGCTACATCTCTAGCCCCTAAATCAGAGGATTTAAGGTTGATTACTAATTATGGAAGGCAGTGTTCTGATTTGATATCTTTTTCATTTTCTTTGTTAATCCCTTAGTATCTAATCTGTAGGGCATCTGGTGGGCATATAGGCACATAGTAAAGCTGTCTTCATCTGGGTGTGTTGATGTGATACATACCTGTAATCTCAGCACTTGGGAGGCTGAGGAAGGAGGGTCACAAGGATCACTATACGGTGAGACCTTGTCTCTCCCCCTCCCCAGCTTCCCCCACTGAAAAACTATCTTTATGTCTACTGCTTTTTTTTTTTTTAATGCTGCTATATCTAACAAGTTAGTTTATCTTTAAGTTTTTTTCTGGCCTTTTTTCAAATACTAGATACTGAAATATTATATGTTAAAAATAATCTTGGACTACATGTCAAGGTATCTAGTAGAACTGGCAAAGTTTTGTTTTGGTTTTTGGTTTTTTTGTGGGGGGGTACTGGGGTTTGAACTTGGGGCTTCTTACTTTCTTTGCAGGCACTCTACACTTGAGTCATTCTGTCACTCTGCAGCTCTTTTTTTGTGTTGGGCATTTTTGAGAGGGTCTCCTGAACTATTTGCCCTGGCTGGCTTCAAACTGCAATCCTCCTTATCTCTGCCTGCCTCCCGAGTAGCTAGGATTATAGCATGAGCCACCAGCACCCAGATAGAAGTGACAAAGATTTTATAAACTGACCTTTTCAGTTTAGAGAACTGAAAAGTTTTCTAAATTTCCATAAAGTCAAGCACAATGTGTAAATTTTCACAAAATAATATTAATAAACTTATAAATAACTTATTTTATCATTGGCTTTTTTGTGTCTTAGAGGAATTTAAAGTGTAAACTGCATTTCTTAAAGACTTGGCAGTGAGTGTATATATATATATATATATTTCACTTAGCCACCAGCAGTACTTTTAAATCAGCATACATATGATACCACATAAACGTAAAATGTAGATCTGGGTTGTGTGGAAAAACTGAAGGCAGAACTGGGGGTCGAGGCTCAAGTGGACAATGCTTGCATACCGTGAGGCCCTGGTTTCAATCCCCATTTCTGCAAAAGGGAAAAGAGAAGAAAAGCTGAAAATTTGTGTAGTATGTTTAGAATGAGCCCTTGTGATTCCTTTAGTGTCACATAATCATCAAGAAAGGCCAGGCCTATGGAGCCTGCTGAGTCTAGCAGAGTTTTAAATAAGTCACTACCTTCTCTTTGTTAAATTAAGCCTGGATATATTTATATAACACATGTACTGCCTCCACTTTATGGTGAACTTTGCTTCCTGTAAGATTAGTGTTCAGATGAGTTTTGCTAAAAAAAAAAATTCATTTTTCTAACATGAAAACAATAGCATAGGTGAAAAAATTTAATTGTGAAATATGGCAATAATAACTTGTAGATTTATATCATACTAATTAACTTTAACAAAAGATGACCCGAAAGCTAGATTTTGGATGGATCTATTTATTTCATCTTGCATAAAATGCAGTAATTTAGTAGTCAGGGTATTTCCTTTTCTTTTAGGTTTGAGAAAAGGGAATTCACAATTTGTCATTGCTCATTTGGTAAGAGGATGAGACTATGTATGACAAGAAGGGCAGAGAGCAAATGCTCTGATGCCATCCAGTGACAGAGATGAAGAGCAGAAACCTTAACCCCAAATAGCAGAGGAAGCCAAAGAAGCAATCCCTAATTTGACAGTGGCATCAGAGTTGATGGATGCTCAGTTTTAGATCTTGATTCTGTCTCTGGCTTTGTGGCCCTTGGTGAGGTACTTAACCTTTCTAAGCCTCAGTTTCTTCTTTTTAAAATAATGAGGTGGCAATGTCAGCCTTCAGGGAGTATTCAGAAGGATGAGGATGTGCACCCGACACCCATAGGAGCTAAAAACATACTTGCTTCTATTCTTTTCTTCCTTTGAAAAAGGAGATTGAGGACTATGTAAGGGTTTTCAAGATCACCCTAGGTTTAATGATTTGCCAGGAGGACTCATAGTTACAGTGAAAGGATACAAAGCAGAACCAGCAAAGCGTAATTGTGGATTGGCTTTCCAGAGTCCTCTCCTAGTGGAGTCACACACAACATGCTTAATTTCTCCAGCAGTGAGTTGTGACAACACATGCAAAATGGTGCCCTGCCTGGAAAACTCTTAATTAGAGCCTCAGTGTTTTGACTAGGGGTTTTGACTAGGGGCTGGTCACACAAGCACCTTCTGCCAAGTATGCTCCAAAATTCAAGACTCCCAGGAGGAAAGCTCATGTGCAGTGCATGCTATATTGCTTGTGCAGCTTGGGCACAGCGAGCCACTCCTATGAGTTCTGGGAAGAGTGGGAACCCTCCCCAAATCTGAGCTTCCAAATGCCAGCCAAGGCCAGTCCTCACAAGGATTGTAGTGTTCTAGCTGCTGCTATGTACAAGAATAAATGATAGTAAATACCTTAAATGGGTAGAAGATTTATAAAATTGGTTTATTAAACAACAGTATAGTTAAGTATATAACTACTATCAGAAGGATATTTGTATGTTACTGAATGACTAATCGGTGGTAATGATAATTTGTAAAATACGCCAAGAACTATTGAAGAAAATTCTTTAAAATCACTAATGATCCCTGTTGCTCCTTCCTCAGGTTTTCTGGCCAATTTGCATGCCACCCCCAAATTGATTAGTTTTTAGATATTTCTATTTGGTTATTATTTGAGCAACATTTCAGATTTGTTGACACTGGCATCTTGGTAATATGGTCACCAACCATGAACCCTCAGTACTAGAGACCTCATGCAGGTGGCCGGGCCATGAACCTGAGCCAGAGCGAACATTGTTATGTCCTTTCCTTGGAAAGTGTATGTCATTGCTCAGAATTCTTCCACTGATGAAAGGGGAAAATGCTTACCCTAAAAGGCTGTTTTATGATAATCCTTTGTTTGTTTGTTTATAAACCTCAGGGCAAATGTGAAAGGCAGCTCTCATTTCTATTTATAATGAGCATTTATGCAAGTGTTCAGTACTGGGTTCTGCCATGGTCCCTCGGAAGCCCATGAACATACAGACAGTAAATTTAAATTTTACCTGTGTTTTCTGTATTGTAGGTCCGTAGATTCTGTCTACTCAAAGGAATTCTGGCTTCCAAGAAGGATTTAGAGCCACTGATTTAGAGAAAGGCATTTTTGCTGCTAGGAACTTCTTTACATGACTTTCATAAGAATATTCTAACTTTAATATTTCTTCTTTGTAGGTACTGTACTGATGATATGTTGCAAAGAGAAATGATGTCCAATCCTTTTTTGGGTAGTTATGGGGTCGTCATCTTAGATGATATTCATGAAAGAAGCATTGCAACAGATGTGTTACTTGGACTTCTTAAAGATGTTTTGCTAGCAAGACCAGAACTGAAGCTCATAATTAACTCCTCACCGCTCCTGATCAGCAAACTCAGTTCTTATTATGGAAACGTGCCTCTCATAGAAGTGAAAAATAAGCACCCTGTGGAGGTTGTGTACCTTAGTGGGGCTCAAAAGGATTCTGTTGAGTCTATTTTACGCCTTATCTTTGAAATTCACCACTCGGGTGAGAAGGGTGACATTGTAGTCTTTCTGGCCTGTGAACAAGTAAGTAAGTGATATTCTAACCTAACAGAGTATTGTAATAAGGTTTTTCATTTAGGAAGCTTTTAATAACTAACGTGGTTTCCATTTGCTAATTCACTGTTTAAATATTTGGCCTCGTCATACCTCATCTTTTTACACTTAAAAGTGCATAGATAAACAAGGAAGTGTTGCTAAAATCACTGCAGTTCTGAAAACAGAGTGGGGCTCAGCAGGCAGGCTCCTTGAGGAGTTCATAGAAATGATCTCCAGAGCCAGTGACTGCCCAGTGTGCAGCTGCTTAACTTAGGCCTGTGTGTGGTGTCCTCACTCACTCTCTTGGCTGCCTCGCTCATGGCTAGGCACACCTGTTGGATCAAGCTATAACTAAACACTTGGCATGGAGTTAAGCAATAAAAGATTTCCCATATGTCCCTGCAATAGTGAATGGGGTTTGAGGCAGACATAATTTATAGCACTCCAGAGGTCACTGTCTTCCTGGACTGAGGCCCTTTTCTTAAAAGATCAATGAAAAATCTTAACTTGGATTTCTTACAAATCTCTGTTCAAAAGAACACTTGAAAATATGGAATTTAGCATCTTTTCCCTCTGTTACTGCTTTTATACAGTCAAGGTGCCAGTGGGGTTATCATTATTATTTTTAATGTCAGTTACTCTGTGCCTTTCTTCTGGGATAGGATCTAAAAGCCTCCAGAGTCACCAGAATTAGTCCTCTCTTCTTAGACACTAACTGCCTGCTCTTTTTTTGCTTCCTGTCTCCTCACTTATAAAAGCACTAGTCTTTAGACTATGACCCAAATTTGTAGTGCTTCTAGTGATTCAACAGAAACCAAAATGGAAGTTGTTTAATACCAACAGAGCCACCCACTAAACAAAGAGGAGTATCTTGGCTGCCAGTCAGAGCCTCTGCTTAAGCATTCTCTTTCAGGACTAGCTCAGAAGAATCTACTGTGCCTCTATTCAGCATAAAGGGTGACTTGAGACTCCTTTGGAACCCTTAGACAGTTTTCTTATGGCTTAAGCTTTATCTGATTCCTTAAAGAGAATAATTTAGAATCTCAAATGCACACTATAGCATATTTATCATTTTTTGCATCTACCTATTGTAGTGATTTATTCTGTTACACCTTAATCCTGAGGATAGTCAGGAAAGTAATAAAAATGATTAAGGAGGCAGAGAATTTATGAAAACAGTCAGATGTTCTCTGTATAACTGAGTGAAGCCTAAGGAAGGGAAGAATGGCAAAATTAGAAATCTAAAACATTTGAGAAATAGAACTGCCAGGTGAAAAAAGAGGACATACATTTCTACCAAAAAAAAGTATAATTAAAACTGATAGGATGAGTAGCTATCTTCATCATTCAAGTTGAAATAAACAAAATTCTAAAATGCAGCTGGTCTAAGTGGCATATGCCTGTTATTCCAGCACCAAGAGGCTGAGGCTGGAGGATTGTGAGTTCCAGCTCAGTTTGGGGTACAGAGCAAGACCCTCGTCCCAAAAAAAGAAAAATTTTCTGAATAGGTTTTTGGGAAATGAAGCTCATAATAGAATTGGAGTGAGGGTATCTTAGAGTATTTGATTCTTGTAATTATAATACAAGCTATGCATTAATTGCATAGTGACTTTTCAACCAGTAGACTTTAGAAGACATTTTCACCAAGGCTGCAGTGGGAACTGTAAAGTCTGCAGGACTTAAGAGAGGTATCTATGTAGCTCCCCTGGTCAGGCTGGAAAGGTATGTCCTATTAAGAACCACCAATATCACAGTCTTAATATATAGAAAGTGGCCTGGCTATGAAAGCTACAGTAGGATTTTGCAGCCCTGACCTGGGAGGATGATAGGTGCTGCCACTGTGCCCACTTACACTGGGCTCTCTGCTGATGGGCTCCTTTCTCTCCAGAAGTCCAGCAGCTGCTTTGTCCCAGTATGGACCAGCAAGGTAGACACTGTGGTTCTTTCTGCTGGCTCCTGCAGACCTTCCTTGAAAAGCAGTTTTTTCTCATGGTTTGGGCCCAAATTCCACAAGTGTTAGCTGGTTCTCCTTCTCCATTTACCACTAGCAAGCTGCTCAATTCAGGGTTCTGCTGGGTTTTCCTTTTTGCTGCTGTCATCCATATCACCATTAAGGCATTCCTGTCTTAGGGTCTTGGGTAGGTTTGTCTTGCGCGGCAATCCCTGTTCACAGCTGTTGATCATTATTTCCCCCAAGCTATTTGATTTCTGAAGCTTTTCTTAATTAATTCTGTAGCATGTCAGTACCATATGAGAACAAACCTAGGCATTCTAACAGAAATGTACAGATTGTCACTTTTTATTTTAAGAAATACATTTCAAATTGCAGAAATACTGACAAACATTTTGGTTTTGGTGAGTCAGTAATGCATTTTGCATTTTCTCCAGTGGCTCCTTAGCTCCACACCTGCTGTGAATTAATCCCCATAGTTCACCTGCTGCCCTGTGGCTTGGTACTTAACTGAGATGGAGAGCCCAGAATGTCCAGTGTGCTGTTCCTTTTCACTTAGCTGTCTTTATCCTGAAAGCAAAAAGTGAAATAAGTTAATTTTCAAATAATAAATTGAGATTGATGGTACGGTCTAGCCAGATTACTGTGCAATAATAAGCTCTTACAAAGAACACCTGGGAGGTGTTCTGTGTAGTTGCAGGTATTCTTGCATTTGGGGCTAGGTGTTTGCTGCTGTGTTCCTTCAGTAGGTGCTGCTGTTCTCCATTGCAGGGCAGGTAGTTGTAGAAAAGTCCTGTAAATGTAGTGCACTGGATGCCTAGAATAAGAATTAAGGAAATGAATAAACAGAAGATCGGAAGCATCACTTGCACACTTAAGCATTTTTTTTCAGTTTCTGAAAATGATGGCCTCAAAGCCCTCTAATTAGCTGTGATTGAGGCATCTGCACTACATACAATGTCTATTTCTATTGCATTCTGTTTTTTTCCTAGTGAAGATTTATTTCCCCCCATTTGGAACAAAATTCAGTATTCAAACCCACCTATGACTAATTTTAGCAACTAGAGGCAAATAAAAACTTAGTTGCCATAATTATTTTTCAATAGACTCTAAGAATAAGAGTAAATTTTATTTTGATAGGAAATTGCTCATGAGCGGGCTACTAGAATGGAACCTCTTTTTCCACCTCCAGGTTATCTCTGTTTGGGGGGGGTGGGAGGTTAAGTAACATCTGTTTTACATGAGGTTCTAAAGAACAAGTGATTTGAGAAATAGAGCACTTTCTGAAAATGCCTTACCTTTTGAGCATTTTGAACCAATTGCTTGTATATAGTTTTATGCAAATTTTCCCCAAAGTATTGGACGTATATTTAAACAGATTTTTTTTAAAGAGCTGAATCATGCAAAGTTGTCCATAGCAGGGACAATTTCCTATTTACTTTATGGTATTTCTGCTTTTTTTTTTTTTTTTTGGTGGGACTGGGGTTTGAACTCAGGGCTGCGTGCTCACAAAGCTGACACTCAACCACTTGAGCCACACCTCCAGCCCATTTTGCTCTGGTTATTTTAGCGATGGAGTCTTTTAAACTATTTGTTTAGGCAGGCCTCGAGCCAAGATCCTCCTGATCTCAGTCGCACAGGTAACTAGGATTTAAGGTTTGAGCCAGTGGTACCTAGCTCATTTCTGCTTCTTTAAAGTGCTCCTGAGTCAAAAGGACTTAGAGAGTGATCCAGATGGGGATATCCTGATGATGTTTGTACCTGTGCCGTTACAGGAAATCTAGGGACTATTTTGTAAATCTTAGTTTTGCTAGCATTATTCTCATCATTGATGTGAGAATAAGTTTTGTTTACCTGCCATTGTTAATAGATTTGAGAAATTGCATCAAGCTGGAAAAATAGCAGTGTAGAGGCTTAAAGGTAAAGACAGTACTTTTCACAAGAAGAAAACCAATGAAATTGTTTATAAATCATTTATAATTTTCCAAAACAAATTTTTTCATCCAGTTGTATCTTTCTTTCTTTAAAGATACACTTAGGCAACAATATAGGTATTACTTTCCCTATGTATTTATGTAGTATTGTTTACAATTTTATTGAATTCTGACATTTTTTAAGTAGTGAACTTGTTTGTATTGTACTTTATTTTCATGGATTTTTTTTTTCTTTGCTTTAGGATATTGAAAAAGCCTATGAAATTTTCTGTGAAGAAGGCTCTAACCTAAACCCAGATGTTGGAGAACTGGTGATTGTTCCTTTGTATCCCAAAGAGAAGTGCACACTGTTCAAGCCAGTTGATGAAACAGAAAAACGAAGCCAAGTTTATCAACGAAGAGTGATGTTGACTACTAGCTCTGGGGAGTCTTTGATCTGGAACAACACAGTCAGATTTGTTATTGATGTGGGTGTGGAAAGAAGAAAGGTAATTATAATCAAGGAGGTTAGACAGTCTGCTAATCATCGCCAAGATCTGCCGTTGTACTGACCAGAAAGAGGATGAGCTCCATGATCCAGGTTCCTGTGAATTTGGTCATATGTGCAAAGAGTGATTGTAGCAGCAGCTGAAGTCATGGCTGCATTTTCATTAGCATACTGGGAGTCTGGAAATATTAAATGAGTTGAGGTGCCAAAAAAGGTTTTGAGGAAAGAAAACTTTAGCATAAAGTGGTAGTTCTCCTAGACTGTTTCTCCCTCCCTCCCTTCTTTCTTTTGTTTCTCTTTTTTTTTTCTTTTGATGGTGTTGGGACTTGAACCCAGGGCTTCTCACATGTTAGCCAAATGCTCTATCACTGAACTACACACCACCACTGTTTTTTTTTTTCCCCCCTTTAGGTAAGGTACTAGCATTGCAAATTATTTGACTCCTAATTTTCTCCTGTGTACACCTATTGAGTAATTTTTTGTAGTACCCTTTCAAGTATAGTGACCTTAATTTTAGCAAACACTGTATTATAATTGACATAAAACTTTCATCCTGAACTTTTTAGAAAATATATTATTGCAAATGAAACAGTTTTAAGTAAAATATATTATGGTTCCCTCTAAATAAAAAAAAAAAATTCAAAATGAAAATAAGGTGTATCACACTCTAAAGACACTAGGACTAAAGAAACCCTAGCTTTTAAGAACTTAAAGGAAACCACAGAATGCCGGCTTATTTCTGTTATTAGATGTTGAACAGCTTTTATGCTTCTAGGAGACTGGGGGCTTCCTGCATGTCCTATCTTATGCTCTGATTTCTCTTCAGACTGTATCAATCTTTCACCTTTTACTAAACATCTTTTCTTACCATGATAGAAGAGTCCTAGTTGTTACAAACCATTTGGAGTTGGTCTTGACTGAATTTGTCCACCATTCTTAGAATGTAGGGCTATCACTTACTCCTTAAGCCATGTGGAGTAATCACTGTTAGTACTGTAGGTGGTGCTCGTAATAGGTGCCATATCTGTTCTATAGGTGAGCCCACTAAGGAATGCTCACTGACCATGGTGAGTCTAAACAAGACAGCACAGCTCTGCTGAGAAGCAAACCTTTTTCCCTTGGGGCAGAGGTGTGTCTTTCCCATTCACCAGTGTGCTGCTTTGAGAAGCAGCAACTCTAGTATCTGGACAGATGATACCAAGGTCCCAAAAGCATGGAAGCCACAATGAAAGCAGACAGCCTTTAAGTCCATTTGTCAAAACACTTTCAGTTTCCATCTCATGGCCTGTGAAACAATATTAAATACTGGACCAAGAAAAGGAGCATCCCTGAGGTGACTTGCTGCACAGCACAGTTGCCTCAGGGTCAGGGAGTGACCGTGCCCAGTTTCTGGACACTAACAATGCTGTCTCTCCGTTAAAGGTATACAACCCCAGAATCCGAGCCAACTCCCTTGTCCTGCAGCCCATCAGCCAAAGTCAAGCTGAAATTCGGAAGCAGCTTCTTGGGTCTTCTTCTTCAGGTAACACTGTAGACACAAAGCCAAAGGATCCGAACTCCTATATGAAGGCAACGCAGTGACATTAAAGTCATCTTCCTTGATTTCTTTTAGGAAAACTTTTCTGTCTGTACACTGAAGAATTTGCTTCCAAGGACATGAGGCCACTTAAACCAGCAGAAATGCAGGAAGCCAACCTAACCAGCATGGTGCTTTTCTTAAAGAGGGTAGACATCGCGGGCTTAGGCCACTGCGACTTCATTAACAGACCAGGTCAGTGGAGCTGTGGCCTAGACTTCCCTTCTTACTTCTTAATAGTGAGGGGCATCTGGAAGTATAGGCAGGCATGGGGATTTGGTTGGTACTGAAGCCTTTTTCCCATTAGAGGCAACAGTGCTCTGAAGATAACTTAAAAACAAAAAACAAAAACCTAGGGAATACCCTTTCCTGGAAAAAGTCTGTCTTTGGACACTGGAGTCAGGAGTACAGGCCAGGCCAGCAGAGATAGGGAGGGAGAGTGGAGTGTTAGAGAGTGAGGGTGAGACTAACAGATGGTGAAAGGTGTGTTCCCAGCAGCTTGTTGCTCCTTGAAGGGATGTTGGGAGGCATATGATCCTTCCTTACGAGTCATACTATCACCCAGGGAAAAGTCACTTCATTTTCACTCCTTTGTAATTCAGGTCAGACTTGGTGTGAAGGAGGTAACGATTTTAAAGTCAGCACTGAGACTTTATGATTACAGTCTGAGCACCTTCTTCCTGGAGGTGTACTGAGCACACTGAGAAGAGTACTCCTAGCAGAGCCCTGGTTTTCTCCCAAGTCACAGGCCTTGTTAAGACCTTGGCTGTTGTAACAACTGGCTGCTCAGTACAGAACCGCCAGGTGCTGAGGGAAGGGCCAAGGAATCCCAGGACAAGCAGCCACTACCTGTGTGGCAGAGCTGCAAACGCCTAGGCAAAGGCCTGCCACATACTCAGGAAGGAAACTGGCTTTGTGACCTCCTCTGCATTCCTGATGTGCTTATGCTGTGTAGTGGTGTGGTAGGTAAATACAGTGTCCAGGGCAGTGTTGCCTGTTCAGTTTTGAATGTCAATGAGCAGCTGCTGAGGAAAGTTTGCAAGCAACCTTACTCTGCTGACTCTTGCCCTCTTTAAACACCTGCCTGGCCTCTCAGGATTGCATTTACGTGGTGTTTATTGACACAGTAAATCATTTCCTACCACAACCCTGTGAAGTGGATGCTATTATTTGCTCCATTTTATAGGAAACAGTCACAAAGAAATGAGGTGAATCATTCAAATGGAGATGAACTTCAAATTCTTACAGTGGTTACAGAGTCATCCTAACTACTCTGCTTACCATGTCTGCTTAATGCAGACCAGAACCCCACTCCCTCATTCCCACAGCACCTTTCTGATCATCCTACCTTTCCTTCTGAAAGTTTCCTGACCACTCTTCCTTCCCCATCCCAGAGCCAGCAGGTGCTCCTAGTCAGGTACTCCTCCCAAAGCCAGATCACCAGGGGCCTAGGACACAGGAGTGTTCGCCAATACAGTCCCCTCAGTTCCACCCAGTCACTCTGCTCCTGAGGCCACAGGGACCTCGCCCAAGGCCAGGGGCACTGGGCGGCAGTGATTCACACCACCCACGGCATGACCCTGCTTCCTCCGGACCTGCTGCTTTGTTGCTTTGTTTTCTAACCTGCAGCTTCACTTCAGAAAAGCTAAGTGGGTGTTTAGGTTGTCATATTGGCTGCCCTTCAGTTGATATTTTAGTTTTCAATTTGTGCTTTACATAAAAGAACTTCCCTTAATGTTTTCCACACTTTAGACCCGTGGTTCAAATTTTCCAGTATGTGTACCGAAGCAGTAAATGACATGTTGGTCTAGGTGCTCTGGTGTTCATATCATTTGGACCAATACACAAGAGAGAACAGTCAGCCAAAGGCCTTCTTAGCAGAGGGCAGGCTTGAAATGGAAGCTGCGGAATTCCTGCCTGTTTACAATGTTTTCTCCCATCATTTGTCCAATGGCCGCAATAACATTTTCAAGCACTTGAGAGAACGTAGGTCATTTTAGAGCTGCTCTTTCTCCAATATTTCTTAAAATGACTGGTAGAGTTTAGAATAAGCCATTTTTAGTAAGAAGAGGGTCACCTGGGGACACCAATCTTTGAAAAAAGAAGGTGGGAAGACAAGTGCACTGGAGACTGCTCGCTGTCAGAAAAGCAGAACAGAAGCCTAGCATGCATGGGCCCAAGATACAGCTCCTCTGCTGCCCCAGGGCAGTTGGGCAATGTAACACGCAGGTCCTGCTCCAACAAAACCCAGTCCTTCCCCACACTTCTTAGGGAGTTTTGTATTGAACTCTCCCAATAAATACTTTGAAAAATCAATTACTCTGGGAATCCTAGACTTTCAAAAAGGATTGTTACCTAAAGAAGCAGTGGCGTCTTGGAACCACACAAGTGCCTCCCTTGTTCCTTCTCAAGAGACTTTTTTCCTCTGTGGCCCTATTCCCCCATTGTGGGTTAGGGTTGCAGTGACTGTTCTGTAAACCATGCAATGCCCCTCCTTTGCCTACTGTCTGTTGCTCTAATTGTGAAAGTAGTGATGTCCCTTGAAGCCAGGAGTAAACCAGAGCAGCCTGGGAGTCCTAGTGGAGGCTGTCCTTTAGGTAGGAGACTCTGGCTTTCCAGAGCTTAGGAGAGCAAGATCTCAGAACATACTATAAATGGGATGTTCTCTGGAATATGAGGAGGAGTTGTATGGGAAGTGCAGAGGTGCAAACTCAAAGGCATGCAGGGAAAAGAAGCCTACATGGAATGCATGAAAGGATAACCTTGAAATTCAGATTCCAAGGCCAGGCACTGGTGGCTTACACCTGTCATCCTAGCTACTCAGGAGGCAGAGATCAGAAGGACCATGGTTTCAAGCCAGCCCGGGCAAATAGTTCCATGAGACCCTCCCTATCTCGAAAAAACCCTTTACTAAAAAGAGCTATTGGAGTGGCTCAAGGTGTAGGCCCTGAGTTCAAGCCCCAGTACCACAAAAATAAATAATAAATTCAGATTCCAAAGTGTGCTTACTCTCACTCTGCCCCAGGGAGAATTAGCACGTTACTTGGCTAACTGCCAGGGCCCCATTCCTCTTTGCCTAGCTCAGAGCATGCCAGCCAGCTTTTCCTGGCTCACAGTTCCCACCCCACATCCTACTGAAAAAAAGGGACTCATCCCACCTGGCCCTTTCCTACCTAACTGAAGTAATGGATGTATTTGTGATGAATATACTTGTCTAGAAGGGGTGGCTCTGAAGAAAGAAACAGTCATAGAATGTGATACAACGTTGTGGAACATGTGGCAGATGGCTCCAATGTAGACATCCTTAGGCAGTACAAGCCGGGTAGACAGAGCTCCAGACTGGCTAGGAGATGCTGGCTGCAGTATTCCTGTAGCTGTGGATCTTCTGCCTTTGAGCAGCAAAGTCACCATTTTTGGTTTTTTCCTGGCCCTAAGGAAGGAAGCGAGATGTCTTCCACCTTCCTCCTTTCCCCTTGGTGACCGTCAGGCCTTAGGTGACTTGACTTCTGTTACACGTTGGTCCACTATAATAATTGTTCCTGAAACCATCCTCTGGAGAAGCCTGTTTCTTTCTGAAAATTGCTTTTCCAGCCCCACCACTCATGTCTAAGCCTGGGAACTGATGAGTTATTGATGTCCAGGCATTGTCATAGGAGAGGGGCTGATTGGTAGACTAGACATGGAGGGGAGAAGGAAAGGCGGGCTTGGCAATGTCAGAAGGTTCTGAAAGCAAACTCCCGAGGCCATACTGCGGGATCCCTGTGTTCTCTTTGGGAGCTTTGTGCTGCTTACTCTGTGAGGCTTAAAGCTGATAAGTGGGGACAAAAGGGTCAGGGTGACCATTTATTTTTGTCTCCTGACAGTACACACACAACTATTTTCTGCAGTGCTTAGGAAAATGTACCTATGGATTAACTCTGACTCATCATTTTGGAAGCAAAAAAAATAAAAGATGCTTGCAGCTGCTGTATTTAATTCAACTTATAACTGAAATCCGCAAACACAGCAAGCTTGTTACCCTTTCCTGATTCACAAGCCGTGTGAAATGAGTTTGGCTTAACGAGGCTACAGGCAGTTGATTGAATTCCCTTAACAGGGACCTCTTTTTGAGAACCAGGATTTCTTCTTCCTTGGCTGCCTGAGGATTGACCTCCGTGAGTGGCACAGCCACTGTTGAACTGTGTCGGGAAGCTCAGCAAACACAGATGGCTCAAGACTGTGCTTGCCCTTGGAAGGCAAGGGCCCTCAGCTGCACATATAGAGAGAGACGGGCCAGAGCACACCAGACTACACCACACGTCACCTTGTGCTGTCACTAAGCTCATTCTGCTAGTTGCCAGACAACTGGTTCTGGATCTTGCAAAGAAAAATGAACCCAGCTTAAACCGCTAGGCATGATGTATAAGACAAGTCTAGGGCCTCAAGAAAATGGGAAGACACAGGCAGAGACTGAAGTCAGGCTACAGAAGCCAGTGCTGGCAACTTTGCAGTGGCTTCTTCTGTGGTGAGGATACAGAGTTTTCACCAGGCAATTCATAAATCACCTAACCAGAATCTTCTGGAATCACATTTGCCACACTCACAGCTATCTGTGAGTGCACTGGAGAAGTGTATGGGCATGTCTGTAAGTCAGTGCAAGTTCAGGATTTTGTTTTGAAACACAGAATGGTCTTAAAATTTTTACAGTCTGTACTTAGAAGAAAGTGGAAAAAACAGCACTGCTGACTTTGCTCTCCCACTGTGGCCTCATCCAGAGCTTTGCTGCAAGACTCTTGCTGCCCATTGCCTCAGAAACACCAAGAAAGCTAAGCTCATGTTCTACCCTGCACTACAGAGGCCATGGGCGAGATTTTTAAGTTTGTCAAACACTATTAATCTGCTTAATAAAAACCTCATCGTCATATCATCTGAGTGATTCCTACCTGAACTCTAAAACATGAGGCTAGTAAGCTCTGAGCTACAGAGGGGCAAATTTAATCTGCACAAAAAATAGATCATGAGCTGCAGGTACTTAGGAGATGTGGCCAGATTGCCCCTATAGCCAACTGCCTTGGGCCTGCTGGGACCAGAGTCAGTCATGCTGGCAGAGCATGTCAGCTCTGGGCAAGATGTTGCAGGGGAAGATGTGACATTAGAGCCTCAGTTCACCAGTAGGGAAACCTCTGGGTTGTCATGTGGCCTTTGCAAATCATTTTCCTTTTTCTTGACTATAAAATGAGGATAGAGGGTCTGCACTCTTGTATCATGAGGTTATTCAGAGGTACAAATTAGATGTCTATGCAAAAATGCCTTGTGCCCTGTAAAAGGGTGGGAGCTATGCAAATGCCAGGTTCTAGGAGTGTGTCCTTATAAAAATAACTGAAGCACAAGCCTTTCCTTACTGTCTTCTTCAAAGCCAAATTCTTAATCCCATTCCCAAAGTTCCAAGGCTTTTAGAGTCTATGCCACCAAAACTGGCACCATCTTGTGATTTTTCAGTTTCTTCCTCTCTGTATTCTTTACTTCAGTGTACACAATGCCTGTATCTCAGTCCTGAAATAAATCCATAATAGAAATTTCATTTGTCCCTTGAACCCTCTGTATCTGTCTATGTAAATATGAATATGTGTATAATCCTGTAGGTACTTGGTATGTAGAAGTGCTGCGTGTGTTTAGTTCTCTGTTCTTCCTGGGCTGACTTTGTACCTACCTCTTCTAAGCCCCTGTTGTAGTAGTGAGATTATTATCTGGACGTAAATGCCAGTCATCTGACTCAAACTAGCATAAACAAAAGTGAGTTACAATTAAAGAAATTGTGGTTCATGAAATCCAAGATGTGAGTACCTTGGGAATTCATAGGCACTCCATTTTCTCATCTCTGTATCTCTTGCTTCCCTCTCCCTCCTTGCATTTCTCTCTCTCTCTCTCTCTCTCTCCTGACCATGTAGCAGAATCTGACCTGCTTTCTGATGTAACTTATGAAATTCCAAAGTTAAAACATCCAAAGAAAGGAGTCCCGGTTCCAATTGAGACAGTGCCCACCCAGAACCAGTCAGCTGTGACTGGGTTAGTGAAGGAGTAATTATGTGGTACAGACCATGCTTCACTAAACATGGAAAGTGGAGTAGGGATACAGTTCCTAGAAAAGGGGACAGTTAGGAGTAGTTTGACTATTGATTTATTTGTGGATCTCTGTTGTGAGACCTTCTACTCCAGAAGGACCAAGACTGGGATGTGCACTTGCCCCTAGGATCTTGCAAGTGTCAATAGCATAAGATACTAAAAAAATGGACATAGAGCAAGTGAATGACTTGAGCATTATCCTTACAAGGAAAGAAGTTAACTAATAAATAGCAAACATAAAATCTTTTTAACTATTTACATAGAAGGTATTCATTGTGGGGGTTTTTTGCGGGGAGAGGGTTGTCTGATTTTTCTAGGTTCTGGTATTGCCAGTCCCATACCATCTAACTCAGCAATGTCTTATTTGAAAATTGTTCTCTGCTATGGTGTGGAGTGGGGAGAGCCTTCAGCTAGTCACAACAGCCTGGAGCCAGGCTGCTTAACTATCAGAACAATTACTGAGGATGGGGCTGTTTGTAATTTGTCAAGTGGCCATTTCATGGTGCCTCTTTTTGGTTTTTAAAACAGGGTCTACTTATATAGCCCAGGATGGCCTCAGACTCACAGTGCTCCTGCCTCAGCCTGGGGAGTGCTAAGGTTATAGCATGAGCTACTATGCCTGGCATGATGCATACTCTTGAGGAACACTGATGGAGGTGAGCCCTGTAGAAGGCCAACAGTCTTCCTGAGGGGAATGCATGAGAGATTAAACTCAACCTCTTTCTTGCCTGCTTGATTCTTTCTGAGGCCTGAGCTAGGGAGTGATGTGGTTGCTGGGAGAGCAGAAGAGTTGGCATTGACTGCTTGGCATTTCCTTCCACGTCATGAACAGGAGCAGAGCTGGCACGTGAGAGGTCTCATAGCTCAGCTGAGCTGGGCCACCACTAGCCTCATGGTACTGACAGCACTGGGCACAAAAGAATCTTGGCTCCTGCCTGTGGTCAACATGGACCCGAAAATGTTTCTTTCCAGTGTACCATTGGAAGCTGCTGTGTCTCTAAAATCCTTCCCCTGTCTAAGGACCTATTGAGCCTTAATCCTCTGTCCTTACTGGTAAGAAATGGGCTAAGGTATATGGCCGAAGGAGAAGGACCAGCTGTGGTTTTGGGAGCTACTTTCCAAGAGACTGCCCTATTCTGTACCTGGACGGGAGGAGGCGTGATGTTCCTCTAAGGATATTCCCAGGTATAATTATACACTAAAATGTTTACCTAGGAGAATGACCTATGAGTAGATTTATATAAATTTGCATAATATCACCTACTTTAAAAGGAAGTTTCAGTGTTTCTAAATTGTTTTGACAAGTGAGACAGAAAGTAGGACAGAGATTATGAGAGCAAAGGAGACCTGCAGAGGACTGAGTAGACAGATATTTTTGGAAGGGGAGGAGGCCAGCTAGAACTCCTCCCATTTCATATCCAAACTTCTGGCTTGTATTTTAAGAACATAGAAAATATACTGTGTGAAGCTGTCATAGCACAGCCTTGGACTCCTCATTTGACCTGTGCTCTTGCTCAGAGTTGACCCTGCATCAATCAGCCGCTCCTCTGCAGGTGGACTTAGCCTTGTTGCAAGTTGATGACTTCTATTTGTAGCTGGTCTTTCTGCTGATGCTATGGATGGAAAATGCAGATGCATGTTGGAGCTTGGCATTTGGGGTTCCATGGAACTTCCATGTGGAAGAGGGAAGAAATACTGTGATTATAGCCCCTCAAGGGGTGTGACCTTGCAGGGAGCTATTCCACAGGGAGTACTGCTGCCATTGCAAGAAAGCTTAATAAATTGACATTTTATTCCTCCCAAAACTACCTTCAGAATAAAGCAGGCTCATTTTGCACTGCTGTGAAGAAGAGGCCTCATACGAAACACTTAAACATTCCATTTGTTAGCATTATTTACCATGGCTTGCATGTACACAGCACTGCCATAAAGAACCCTCATCTAAACCCTTCTGCTTTTTATCTAAGACAATTTTATGGGCCACAGTGGGGAGATATCTTAAAATGTCAAATGTAATATTAACAAGTCGAGTTGTTTATTAGTACTGTGCAGTTGTTTATTAGTACTCCTTTGCCTGTGTAATCTGCATTCATTAATTCTTTATATATGATAAAACCTCAAGAACGAGGAGCAGAATCATGAAATCATTTCTGTTCCTAACTTTGTGTGCAGCCAACTCAACGCCAGGGTGTAAAAATGAATAGTCAGTTCTCTTAGGGAACAGAGCCTGGCTGTCAAGCCAGATGCTCATAGGGATAATTGCCAGAGAGCCTGTAACTTAGAAGGCAGCTGCTTTTCTGATTTATAGAAGCTGGTTTCTAAAAAGCTGTCTGTGACTGAGTTTGCACACCTAGCCCCATCAAGCTCTGCTTAAGCATCTCACTGGCTTATTCCTGCAGCTGCTGCTTGCACCTTCTCCAACACATCAGCGTTCCTCTCAGGTCACACAGCTCACTGATGGAACTCTTGAACTGGTTTTCTTCTCAGGACTGCAACCTCTCAAGGTCTTGTTCGCCAACATGGTTAGGCCAAGAATGAAGTATGATTCCATGTTCCATGCTAGCAGCCAGGCAGAAAAGGAGAGTCAAAATCAAATCCAGGACAGGATTACACCTGGAAAGCCACAATTTTTCATTTGGTTTTAAATTTTGAGGGGAAAAATCAGAAATGAGAGGGCAATTCAGTGCCTCCCAAGTAGAGGTTCAAGCTTTGCTTCTAACAGGTGCTAGATTCTCTGCAGATTTTTCTCGGGTCATTTCTTCCTAGCCCATCCATCCCTGCCCCTTGCTTTTCCAGGAATTGATCCCTTGCTTAAGTCATCTCTGTTAGTTGCTCTGCTGGCCTGGTTACAGTGGGATGTGACCAAGTCAAAATGTGAGGCTGGGCTTTTAAGTTACTGTTTGCCTGAAAATTTGACAATTAGTTTCATGGTCAACGTTTGGATACCACATAAGCAAGTTTTTACTGTCTGTTACTTTAAACCCCCAGATGCAGACAGGTCCAATTGCTTCTTAGGTTCCCACAGTCTACATCCCCCATTCACCTTGCACATCCTGGGACTGAGACAAATGAACGTGCTCTCATCAGCCCCTCAGTTTTCTACATACAACATGGCAACGTTTTGCTTCTTTGTGACTTTTATTTCTATACCAAGTACAAAACAGGTGAAAAAAACATATTTATTTTAATATAACTTTATTCTACAAGGATAAAGATAATAAATGGATTGCTTTGAATAGAGTTTTTGGTGGAGACTGAGCAAATGTAATAACACTACAGCATTATCAATGTTATATAAATCAAAAGGAAATCAAGAGATGGAGAAAATCAGTTTGCTATCTTCATTTGCACTGGCAAATAACTTTGAATATCTGTGTCTACTATTCCATCATCTCTGTGAGTTCTGAGTGCATTTTAATTTTTCTCTTTATTAGACAGTGTGTTTTCCTGCCTTTTCACTTTTTACTGGATGCTAGCTAGACATTGTATATCTCACTTTTTTGGTCACTGAGTGTCTTGACTTCTTATCAATACACAGGGCTTGCTTCATAGATTTGTCCAGTGGTGCTACAGCAGTGCTCATCTGGCTCATGATTCTGTGCCTGCCAGTCAGTTTCTCCAGTCTGGCTGGTGGGAGCAGGCCCTTCCCTGGATGCTATATGAGCACAAGACACTGTTTCTTCTGATCACACTGATTGGTGCTTTACTACCCTCTTGGGAGGGATCAGATCCTCAGAATCTCATCTCTGTAATTCTCTTAGGCAATAGATTGGTGGACTATAGACACCTGTCTCCCTAACTCCAGCACTGCTTCAGTGAGCCTGACAACGTACCCCTAGCTCCTCTCCTTGTATGGCAGCCTGTAAGCCCCATAAAGGAATTACCCAGATATCCATGGGACTCACTTTGTCAGTTACCTCCCAGGAATCACTGTCCTTCATTGCCTATGTTTGCAAACTGTTGTCACACATATTTTATCCATTGTTTGCTTGTTTTACAGGATGGAACATCCATACCTATTGCTCCATCTGAGCTGTATGAGACTTTTTTGATTATTTTTCTTTACTTTCCTAGCACCAGAAAGTTTGATGCAGGCATTGGAAGACTTGGATTATCTGGCAGCTCTAGACAACGATGGAAATCTTTCTGAATTTGGAATCATCATGTCTGAGTTTCCTCTGGATCCACAGCTGTCAAAGTCTATCTTAGCATCCTGTGAATTTGACTGTGTAGATGAAATGCTAACCATCGCTGCCATGGTAACAGGTATTCCCTTAATGACTTTTCTTTTGTACAGGGAATGTGTATCAAGCATAGCTTTAAATGAGATCCCTTTGAAATGATGTTTCAGGAGTACATAGCAGAGGCAATGTTCCATTCATTAAATCTTTTGAAATGATAGTGAAGAATTTTAATAGATTGAAAAGGAAAATTATCTTAATATGAAAAGGGAAATTATCTTAATATGAAAAATCTAAATCTAAATCCAGTGAATTTCCTAATTAGGAGTGTAAAAGCATGCCAGGCTTGCTTTTCCTAAAGGGATCAATGCAGATAGAGAAAAAGTGCCACACCAGGCACAGTGGCTCACACCTATAACCTCAGCTCCCAGCTACTTGGGAGGTGATGATAAGAAGATTGCAGTTCCAGGCCAGCTCAGGCAAAAAGTACGCAAGACCCATCTAAACAAAAAAGTTGGATGTAGTGGTGCATGCCTGTCATCCTAGCTATGCAAGAGGCATAAATAGGAGGATTGCACTTCCAGTCAGTCCAGGCAAAAACACAAGACCCTATCTCAAAATAATGAAAGCATTAAGTGGGTATGGCTTAAGTGGTGGGCAGGCATGAGGCCCTGAGTTCAAACTCAAAAAGAAGTGTCACGATAAATGTTCTTCCCCAAATACCATGCATAGTTATTTCCCGCCAGCCTCATTCATCCTTCTGTGTTTTCATATATTCTTTTGCCAGCAGTACCAACCAAACACTGTGCTGTGTCTGGGCTTCTGAGCCCCTTAGAGGCCTCCTGCTTCCATTGGAATACAAGCAGGGTATTAACTGTTATTAGCAAAGCAACACACAAAAAGGAGAATTAGGATGACTCACTCTAAACTTGACTTCTGAGAAACAAGAATAATGTATTTATTTGGAGAACCAAGAGAAGAGTGGTTCCACAAATAATAAGGACCTTGCCCTCAGCACATTGTGCTAAGAAATGTTATCATTATTGCTGACCATGGGACCTTTTGCATTTTAAAGCTCCTAACTGCTTTTCGAATCTGCCTCATGTGGCTGAGGAGGCTGCCATAACTTGTTGGAAAACATTTTTACATCCTGAAGGTGATCATTTTACCCTCATCAACGTTTACAAGGCCTACCAAGATGCGGCTGTGAACTCCTCCAGTGAGTGTAAGTGAATGCTATGGTTCCCAGAAGTTACCTCCCAGTCCCATCTCCTTTTCCCAAATCAGGCTGAGTTCGTAGAATTGTTACTCATCAGCTACCCTTCTCCTCTAGCCCCACTGACCCCTTCAGTGAAATGGCACTTGACACCCTAAACGCACCCCCAGTTCCCTGCTGAGTGGCAGATCCTTGTCCTCCTGCTCCCACAGAGTGCTGGCACACATGCCTAGATTTCTGCAGCTTTGGTACTCTGGCCAGCCAGCCTTCAATTTGAGATTGCTTACAGCAGAGTGACAGGGACAGAGACTTGGGGAGCAAGACAAGGAACAGACATCTTCAGGAGCCCACTGTCAGAGCTGTGCTGTGTCCTACCATATACTAGTATGTTCACTCTACAGAGAAGACACAGAGCCCTGAAAACCAAACCACCTTGGCTCCAGGGAACACTGAAGATTGGGCTGAGAGACAGGAAAGGATCTGACTGGAGTTTGGCCACAGCAGTGGGCATCCAGAGAGCAAAGGGCATGTGAAGAAGCCCTGTGTGTTCCTGAATGACAGAGGGTATATTAACTCCATAGGATGGGACCTGATGCTAAGTGAGCTAGAAACTCCTACACAAGGGGCAGAAAGAGCAAAGTAGCCTGGTGGAGGCCTTTTTGCACCTGTGTTTTTCATAAAGCATCTTTTACCTCCTTTGCTCCAAAAGATGACATGAAAAATATTTGAAGTGAGGTAGGAAAATGTGATAGCAATTTGAAAGGCAGTCGAATTTTTTAAAGAGTGGGGAGTTAGTGTTTCTGAACCGAGAAGTTGTCAGTGGAGTCAGAAAGTACATGGGGATTTGATCTTTTGAGAGCAAGCATGGTGGGTGACAAGTGTTTAACCAAGCATGTGCTCTTGTTGCCCTGAGTGGACTGAACAGAGTAAATGAGGATTTTCTGCCCACTTTGCCAAGGCCATATGTATTCCAAGGTCAAGGTAGAATTTAAAAAATTATAGGTGGCAAGAAACAGTAACTTCAAACTGAACCAGATAAGTGAATTTTTTTAAAAAGTTGCAGCAAGGGTAGACAGATTAGTTAAGCCAGCCTAGTAGTAATCTTCTTATTAAATGAACTGTGAGATATTTTCACAGATCCAAGGAATTTATGCTGTCTTTTCCTTCCCAGTTTGATTAAAGTTGTGACAGTGCACATCTGTGCTGTATACCCAGGACAAAATGTACATCTTTCTGCCTCCTAATAACCTCAGATTAAGGGAAAACTTTAGATCAGCACTGGGAGCAGTGTCCCCAGTATGCTGAGATCATGGAACCTCAACAGGTGGCCTGGGTGTTGCTTATGGCACTGTCTCCTTTCTGGCAGTGCTATGGTTGGTGGATCTCACGATCACTGCAAATCCTTATCCTCGCTGCCTTTCTACAACTCACTTAAGTGACCATCTCCTCGGGAGAGGAGAGTACACAGGGCTTAAAGACAGTGCCTGCCTGGCCTGGGCTCTTTGACCCTGAGACAGATCATCTGTAAATGACCTTTTGTTCTTCTTTCCCTCTCAGACTGTGTGGAAAAGTGGTGTCACGATTACTTCCTCAACTGTTCTGCTCTCAGGATGGCAGACGTTATCCGAGCTGAACTCTTAGAAATTATCAAGCGAATCGAGCTTCCCTATGCAGAACCTGCTTTTGGCTCCAGGGAAAATAATCTGAACATCAAGAAAGCTCTGCTGTCTGGCTACTTCATGCAGGTGACCAGGGCAGGACTGCCTGCATGGGCTGCAGTGTCTCACCTAGGGTGATGCTATTACTGATCTTAACTTTAAATCAAACTAGAAATTAAAGATCCGGTATTTAAACACACTTCCCTTCAAAAGGAATATACAGCCAAGTCAAAATATATGTCAACTTTGTCCTAAAGGACAAAAGGTCTTTTTACTACAAAGGGAAGCGGACATCACAGTTCATCATCTCCCCTATTTACTAACTGTTGGGATCAACAGATAAAAGTACTGTCTCATTTTGTCCTTTCCCATAATGGAGGCTAATTAATGCACATTTCAAATGTGCACATTAATGCACATTTTGTCCTTTCCCATAATGGAGGCTAATTAATGCACATTTCAAAAGTAGGTAAGCCCTTCACATCATAGTATGAGAAATACTGTATTTCCACATAACTCTAAAGCAGTCTTAATGGCAAGAAAAGACATTTCAGCATGGATTTCTTCATCTGTAAGGAAAAAGTAAATTATGTTAGGTATAACAGGTTGTGGTGAGGATTTCTTAAACTAAAACATCCAGTGTAAAGCCTTGACATTTAAATATATATTGGCCCTAACATGGTAGGTAACGTTGTAAGTTTTACTTCATGGCTAAAACACTTTCACTTTTATAGCTGCATTGTGTTAGCATGTTGTCTTGAAATTGCTGAAGTTAGTTTAAAAATGTCACTGTTTCAAAGTTTTGGGCAAAGTATCTATGATTTTTTGTATAGCCAAAGACAGGAAACATGGGTGGAAATTTTTAATTTCAGCTACACTGTATAGACTTTGTTTTCAACTCACACTTTTGTGTACCAATCTCCATATTAATGCTAAATCTGTTTTCTTTAAAACTTGTCTTATAGATTGCTCGGGATGTTGATGGGTCAGGTAACTACCTGATGCTAACACATAAGCAGGTTGCTCAGCTGCATCCCCTGTCAGGTTACTCCATCACCGGGAAGATGCCGGAGTGGGTCCTCTTCCATCAGTTCAGCATCTCTGAAAATAACTATATCAGGATCACCTCAGCAATCTCTCCTGAACTGTAAGTTTAAAGAAGAAAGGGGCTACTTTTAGATCCACCCTTGTAGGTATAAATGACAAATTTGGTTTTTATTTCATTTTCAGATAGAAGGAGTTGATATTGGTGCCTATCTTAATGTGGAGTGTACCTGCTATGGGCAGGTCTTTGTGGATGACACCTAAGAAACAGTCTCACCTATGTATGAGATTACAGTTCAAAATGTAGAAATGCTAAAGTGTGATGTGTCTTTCAGAAGAGCACAATGTGCTGCCATGGTGGGGGGGGGTGTCACTGTTCACAGGTGCACTGGCCTTGAGGAGAAATGAACTTAGCCAGCCTTTAGGAATAGATGAGCCACTGTGGCTGGAGTTAGTTGGAGAAAGGGGAACAGGGAAAGTGAGATTGAGGGTCCCAGAGAATGTAGGGCTTTTGTGGGCCACATATATGGTTCAGATTTTATCATAAGTGCAATACACTGCTGTTGCTGTCAAGTGGAGAATGAATAGGAGGGGCAATATGGAGAATGGAATCTCCAGAGGTAATTGTAGATTCTGGATTCATTTTGAAGGCACCACTATTACTTGGACAAAGTTAAGTTCAAAGCAGCAACCAAGTGTAACTCATAGGTGTCCAGCTTAATCAACTAGAAGTAGAGTGGAACTAGTTAAGATGAGAAAAAAGCAAAGATACTCTGTTGACCACCCCAACCCCCAGGGGAAAAAAAACCAAAAACCTCTGAGGTATATAAGCTGATCCCTCTTGAAATGATTTACTAGTTCCCACCAATGGTCAATGGTGAGCTTCCACAGTATGGCCCAGTAGTAAAGAAACCAGAAATGTAGTTAGATTGGTTGTATGAAAAGGCAGACTGAGATACTGGGGAGTTGAGTTAAATAACAGCTCTGTGAATAGATTCTCCAGCGCTGGGAAGAGTCCAGATATAACATTTGGTATCTGTCACACCACTGCCCCCATCTAATTTTTTTGTTTTAAACCAACAGATTTATGCAACTGGCCCCGCAATACTATTTCAGTAATCTGCCTCCTAGTGAAAGTAAAGACATTCTGCAACAAGTCATGGACCACCTATCCCCCATTTCAACCATCAAGAAGGAAGAGGACATGTGTGAAAAGTGCCCTGATACTACTGAACAGAGATGTACTATTCAATGACTGCTCATCGAATATAAGGTGCAATAAGGATCTCACGGGGAGCCTACGGTGGATGTCTGGAGCCTTATGCAGACACGTAAGGTGAAGACAGACATCACAACCCACAGGACAGTCCTAAAGAAGCAACACTTCGTATATGATTTTAAAATAAAAAATAGGAGTTTTTATTGTGTTCTTTAAATTACCTACTCCATGTTCTTATTCGAAGTTTTTAATCAACCATTCATAATCTGACCAAAATTTAAAAAAAAAACATTATTTTGAAAATGTGTCACAGACACATGAAATAGAACCCTACTTTTTGTAGAGGACTTTACCCTGAATAAAGTCATGAGTTTTTCAGTAAATCTCCACTGGGTATTCTCATATTTTACAAAAACAAGCCCATCACTACCCATGGGAATTGGGCTAGATAGATAGATGTTCTTTCAGTTTTTCCATGATTTCACTCATCTTGTCGCCTGGAATTAACATCACAGTTCGCAACGGCTTCATTGGTACATCATCAAAAGACCATCTGCCTCCCAAACAAGTGTCGCTGTCCTCCTGCACTGAGTAACTGAACTCTAGGATTGCCTTCTGCAGCAAAAAAGAAACCATGAATTAAAAAAAGTAGACACCCAAAAACAAAAACTCATTTAGCCTTCCACAAAGAATACTATGTTCAAATAAAATGACAGCTAAAGGAAGCAAAACTCAGAGTAAAATAAGTTTGAAAGGGATATTTCAGGAAGAAATTATGAAACCAAGATTTTTAACCCACACAAGGAACATGGATTAAGCGTGCCATTTCTAAGAGGTAAACAGGCAGCTAAGTGATACAATACTTCTACCCAGTTGTGAACTGTTAATTCCAAGTCACTCACATTCATGATCTCATTTCATTCCCAAGATAAGCCTTTTGATAGGTAAGTGAAATTGAGACTTCTAACTTGAACATATTAACTAATAAGAACAGTCTTCAAATGCTAGCCTATTTTCCCCTGGTCACTTCCTTAGCATAAGGCTGTTGTGTGAACATTAAGTTTGCATAACCAGGCCATATTGAAACACCCACATGTACTTTCTTGAAATGGCTCACCCCAGGTGTTAAGGCATACTTAAAAAAAAAAAAAACATTTTTTTACCATCTACTTCCTGGAAAACAAGGGCAGAGCTGAATCTATATCACTTTAGTCTTCAGTGGAAGTCTTAAAAGTAATAAACGATATCATCCAATTCAGGAAAATCTGTTACCCCTCCAAGATTTATTTCTAGATTTTTGAGAAGACAGTGTGAGAAATATTCTCTGGTATTTGGTATTCTTTGGTTGTCCAAGACCTAGATAGAAAAAATGGTAGACATCCACACTAGGGGCACCATGCAGCAGAGGCCACCCAGCCTCCCTGCTGACCGGCTGCGTGACCTTCACTAGTTTCCCTAGTCTCCCTCAGACTCATCCACATCCATCCACTGGGCTTGTGTTTGCCTCATGGAATGGCTTTAGAACCTAACATCTCAAAGTTAGTCGGCCTATGGTAAGGGCCTCGTCACCTTCCCACACTAATACCACCTGCAGTGGGGTGGGAAGGCTGATGGCTATGATGTGCCAGCCCAATGAAGCTGCTAGCCAGTGACCATGCAGAGAAAAACAGGGTGGTCATGCTTGAAGGACTTGAACATAAAACAGGAGAACAATAATCTTGATGATTTTCAAGAAAATCCTTATTGACATCTAAACAAATAGAGCAAACAGGATAGTTTTACCTCATAAAAAAATTCTTCCTCTGCGTTTGCGAACATTAAAACATCTTTCTTTTGCCTGTTCCATCTCTTCTTGGAATTGGATCTTCCTGCTTCTACAAATGTCTTACTGATCAGCAGGTAAAAGTAGCACTTCCCACATGGCTTGTTAGTTTTGTGTGCCTCTGCTAGTTCTTTTCTGCAAAGCATACACACAGAATGTTTACCTGCTAGGCCAGGATAAATCTATCCACAAAGCAGAGTACAGAGAAAACCACTGAGGTATCTTCAGTGGGCTTTGCTGCAACACAGGGCTAATGATCAGTGACTCGATGGGATACTGGCGAGGCTATAATTTTTACTTATACAGTCAGGTGCACTTTAGGGTGCTTATGGTACACTTCTTATAATAAACAGTGTGAGGAATCGCTGAGATACAGAATAACTAAAACAGCAACTCAACATCACTACTCTATGCAAAGTTAAAAATACATAAAAACCTGATTTTTTTTTAAAGCAATGACCATTTAACTGAACCATACAAAGATGCACAGCCATGGCCAATATCACTACAGCATATGATGACTACAGAGTCTCTAGTCACTTAGTCTGGGTATAATTTCTGACAAAAATTGAGAAGTAAATACCATAAATTCTAGAATCAATGGAATAGCAATGAAGTATTTTCTTTCCAAAAATTACACTTAACTTGTACATCTAGCTGCTCCTAGGCAAAAGTCTAAAGATACAACACAGTTGACTGAGCTCTAGAAAATCAGCAGAAAAGACATCATTCTCCTGTGAAACCAAATAACATGAGCCCCAGCTATTTAGAGAAAACAAAAAATTTTTTTAAAAAGACATGGTACCAGTAGTACAATCTGAGTAGCAGCTGAGAGAGTAGGAGGAGAATGAGTATAAAACTGAAAAGCACTGAGTAGGTAGAGGGAAGACTGACTGTCAGGTGCAGCACCAGCCCACAACTATTTAAGGGAAACAACAAAAGTGTGAAGAGCTCTAAGAAATAATGTTCTGTGAAGGACTATGTCATCCAGTGTTTCAAACCAGGCAATGTAATTCTTAGTTCACTTAGTTTGCTAAATTTCAGTTGTTACATTTAAAGTATTTGCAAACTTAAAACTCCTGCATTAAACAACAAAAACCCTGAGAAGTGAGAGACACAGTATCAAGACTATGGTTTTATGAGTTACAAAGCATACCAATGGAACTTAGGAAATTGATGCAGATTTCATTATTATCATCATCATCATCGTTATTATTTTGGTGGTACTGGTATTTGAACTCAGGTCTTTACATTTGCTAGGGAGGCACTCTACTACTTGAGCCAGTCCGCCAGACCCAGATTTCATTACTGTTGTAATTATTTGGTATTTTATTCAAATCACAGAAATCTGAATATGAGAAAATTCAATCAAATGGGGTAAGAAGTTTCTATGAAACATCTATTTTATATCATTTAAATCTTTGACAACATTAAAATATCGAATAATCATAACTCTTCAAAACGTTGATTATTAGAAGTGAATGTACCTCATGGAATTTTTCTCTACCCCCTTCTAAACTTGCTTCAACTCAGGCTGAAGCTCTTTCTATACCTACACATTCCACTTAAGTCACATTTCTGAATCTACTTGAAAGAAAACAAGTGTTGGAAGGCATTTTCCAGGCTCTTACTGAAGTTGCTGGTGCATGGGCAGAGCAATCTGTGGAGGGACATTGATGAATCTCTCACTTAGCAGAAAGCCCACAGGCTTGGTGGTGTCATTTAAAAGCTTATCCAGCTGCTCAACCATGCTCTTTTCACAGTTCTTCTCACAGAAGCTTAGAACCAGCTCTTTAATTTGTTCAGCACACTGGGTACCCTAGAAAGCAAAGAGAAGTCTTGCTTTTTATCTCACACGGAAGAGCAGTTTCACATCATAGTCTTTAAAATCTTGTATATCTTTAATGTTGACTGCTTCCGTATTTCCTAAAAGTAACTACACCTGCTTAAGTTACCATCTTGTGATTGGTAGTAAGACAGGGTTATAATTAACACTCACACGCTGGAATAGCAGCCCTAGTCCGTCTCACAAAGGCAAAGTTCATTTTAAAATTAATGATTAAGTGTAGCCTGCATCTTATTCTCAAGAAAATAAGTGGCTGGCATAGTTTTTATTAGAACTAATCAGTGAGTCAATGAAAAGATGAATCAAAACACAAGTAAATATCAGTAAGTGCCTTCAACTTTAGAAAGCAGCAAAGCGTCAAGAGTATTCACACTATATAGGTAACAAAGAGACACTGTACAAACAGCTCCTCTGTCAGTACCAAATCAGAACACATGAGCCTGAAATGCAGTCTGCCTGTGTGCCACTGGGAGTAATCTACTTGAACCTGGGTACAAATTATTCAAAACAAAACAATACATTCATACTGAAAAAGGGATTATGGTAAGAATTCATGACAGCACATATCCTTACAGTTAATTTCACTGTAAAAGACACTTTCACCATGTATTAAATAAAGCTGGCTTTGGCCTTAGGAATAAGCATTCACATACTAGCCCACGAAACTAACCTTTCTTTCAGTTAAATTTAAAAGGCTTATGAAGCCAAATATCTCATCTTCATCCATATCATCATCACTGTCTTCTGAAACATTCGTTTGCTATTTAAAACAAGAAAAAGTCATTACATTTTATATTTAGTTGGGAAGAAGTATACGAAATCTTAGACTCAAGGCCTTACTTATCTTTTTACTTTTCAAAAACAAAGCTTTGTCACCCTGCTGTCAGCTTAGTAAAGCATCACGTCCTAAATACTGTGTAGCCATGTTCCTATCACTTCACTTCCGTGACTCAGTTATTACTCTTTTTATATTCTGGACAAACTCATCTTGCCCTATATTTCATTATACAAGATTTTTAGGCCATCCTCCTTTACTGGGTTCTCAATATACCGTGGAATCCCAATGAGGTAAAAACTACTGAAATAAAGCAATACAATTTGTGTTCTCGATGATGTGGCTAGAGGCAGGCCTTGCTCGGATCTCTTCAGGCCCACAACGCTACTCCACCTACAACTCATGCTTCCAAACCACCTGGTCATTAAGGAGTTGAACAAAGTTTAAGTGCCATTTATACCACATGGCAGGAGAGATCAGAGCAACGAAGGAAAACAATGAATCAAGAAAATAAGAATGGAATGGTTGGCTTCAATTTGAACATTCTAGCTCTACATTGATGGGTCCTCTACTGAGAGGCCTAAACACTGCCCAGTTTCTCTGCATGTGTTGACTGTTTACTTGTCCAAGTCATAAACTCTTCTCACAATGCATTCCCAGCACCTTGCAGGGAGCCTGGCACAGAGTAAGTGTTCAAGGGACACACACTAAATGAATGGGATGAAATGAGGCTGCTGCTGCTTCCATACCAAAGGAAGGCAGGGGTCTACAACTGCCCCCTTTGTCCTCGAACCTATTCAGGTGGGAAGGGACTTACAAAGTTCTAGCCACAACCTTCAGCACCAGTTAGGTATTGTCTGTGGCCCTTGGCAGGATGTCTTAAGTTCAGTAAGTCATACAGAAGTGGAGAATGAGAAGGTAGTCCATGAGCTTCTGATGGCTGAAGGTGAGCAATTAGAGTGGAAGTGAGCTGGAGTGTTTCCACAGCAGGCCCAAGAATGGGCAGCGTTGGGAAGAGAGATCAACAGTGATTGCTACGTGTATTTGGCGCTTGCCCCGAGCTAGAGCCTGCACTGAGTATGCGGCAGCTCACTCCGTTCACCTGCCCACCCAGCAATGTAGGTGCTCGTTATCACCGTTTGCAGAGATGGAAATGATCGGACTGCATCTTCCACAGATCACCCCAAAGACATCTCCTGCCCACATTCTCATATCACAGAGTGAGCTAGACCCTGTTCTATCTGCTGTCCCCTGGCTAGCCCTTTCCTCCCCTTGTGTCTATGCAGATCAAGCAAGTAAAAGAAATCACACTATCATAAAATGCTATGCATTTCCACCTGGTCCTTTTGCGCTGCTTGCTCTTGGAACCCAACCAATGTGTAGAGGCCCCAGGGAGAGCAACTGAGGCCCCTGACCCAGTGTCCTAGCTGGGCTTCCAACAGCCAGCCAGCACTAACTTGTCATGTGAGTGAGCCACTGTCAAAGTGAATCATCCAGCGCCCTGTTGAGCCTCCCAGCTAATGACACAGCAGGAGCAGAGATAAGTCATCCCTGCTGATCTGCTGATCGCAACTGCAGATCCACAAGCCAAATAAATGCCAGTTGCTATTCTAAGACACTAAGCTGTGGGATAGTTTGTCATGCACAACAGATGACCAGAAGAGCCCCCAGGTGATAACGAGCAGAGTCAGGACTTTGCTGAGTCCTCATTTTGTTGGACTCTCTACAACTCTGACAATGAAGACAACTGCCTCTTCCTTCAAATGCTCCTTCATTACTTTTATGATACACTCTACTGTTCTTCCTTCTACCTCTCCAGTCATCCCTTTCAATCTCCTTTGCTGCCCCTGCCACTTATTTTGCTCATCCAAATACTGTTGTCATAACCAGGGTCTCTGTCCCCTGTTCTCTCTAAACAATACCAACCATTTCTGTGACATTAATGACCAGTCATCTGCTGAAAACTCCCGAGACTCAAGGTTCCAGCTGCTGCTTAGTATCTCACTTGCATATACCACAGGCACTCCAAACTCAAAATGTACAAAACCAAAGTCACATTCCCACCCCCAACCTTATCTTCCTCCCTGTTTGCCAGAAACTTGGGAATCACCCTTAATTCTGTTTTGTCTCACTCTCAAAGTCAACCACACACTAAGCCCTATCATAGTTTCTGAGTCATCCCACTTCTCTCCACTGCTACTGCCTGATTACTGCATTTAACAACACTGACCATTGCAATGGCCTCTGAGCAGTCCTCCAGTAGTACTTCTTTTCAGCTAGAGCTGAACGGGGTAAAAAACACTCATTATTAGAATAAACATAGCTGTCCTGCTTACCTTAATCACACTCCCGATATGGTTCTGTTGAATTAAGAGATCTGTTAGTTCTGCAGTGTTCACAGGAGCCTTTAGGAAAAGCTAAGAGGAAAAAAAAATTTAAATTAAGACCAAAGCAGAATTTTTAATAAAACTTTGAATCCCTTATTCAAACAAAAATAATGAAATTTTAATGGCTTCATCAAGAAGATGACCTAGAAAAGCATCCCCAAGAGGGAAAGGGAAGTCAAGGAAGCTAAAGGTTAGCAAATTTCGAAAAAAAGGTAATCAGTGCCAGCAAAGAGGTATGGGGAAGTGGATAAACACAGGACCAAAGAACTTGGTGACGAGGTCACTGGAGGTTGTAGTTTAGAGAACTGAAGCCACATTATTTTGGGATAAAGGAAAAAGGAGAGGCAGCAATGATTCTGTAGCATTTGAAGGCACAGTTAAATGACTATAATCCTAGCTACTTGGGAGGCTGAGATCAGGAGGATCACAGTTTGAGGTCAGCCCAGGCAAACAGTTCTCAAGACCTCCTATTTCCAAAATAACCAAAGCAAAATGAACTGGAGGTGCAACTCAAGCAATAGAGCACTTGCTTTGCAAGCACAAAGTCCTGAGTTCAAACCCCAGTCCCACCAAAAAAAAAAAAAAAAAAAAAAAGACTTACCTATGAATTGTTTGAGCTACAAAATTTGGAAGTAGAGAAATTACAGAAAACAGAAGTGTAGCTCAAGCAATTAGCATATGAAAAGGAGGGTATTTTAGGACACCAGGAAGTTAAATGTACTAATCAGGGAGAGCTCTGGGAGCAGAGACACCAACAGGGTTAGCAAGTGCAGAGAACAGAAAAGGGAATTCTGAAAGGATGAAACCTGAGAGCAGTTGTGTTGAAAGGCCTGGAGTTTCTCAGAAAAGCAAATGTATATGTAATACACAAGAGACAATACCTGCTGCAATAATTTCTTAATTCCGTCATAATCGTTATCTGAGATGGAATAAGCTTCGAACTCAATATTCACTTCCTGTGAAGAATATACACAGTAAGTCATCATATATAACTTCCTAAGATGATTCAGGTATTGTTTTCCAGTTTGCAAATTTTTTTTTTCCCTCAACTTCCATTCCTTAGATTCAGGTATAGAAGATGCCACCCCCCCTCCCATAAGACTAAGAAAATGTTAGCTGAATAACTTTGTCTAGTTTCCAAAATAGTCAAATATAGTCAGGCATGGTAGTAGACACTTGTAATCCCAGCACTAAAGAGGCTGAGGCAGGAGGACTGCCAAGTTTAAGGCCAGCCTGGGCTACATAGCATGACCCTGTCAAAACAAAGGAAGGGAGTGAAAGAGGGTGGGAGGGAGGAAAGGATGAAAGGAGGAAAGGAAGGAAGGAAAACTCTGCCAGTATTGCTACCTGTACAGATTACAAAGAACATTCATAAAATTTCCTCATGTGACCCAAAAGCCTGAGAGAAAAACACACTCAGAGTGACCTAGTAGAAATGCTTAGAAGTGACTGATAAAGACAGTCACAGCAGCCACAAAGGAGAAACTATCATTTACCTGGCTGCAAACAATAAAGAACAATATTACTTCAAATGTCTGGAATCACCTGCAGCTTGATTTAGCCCATGGATTTGAGGATACACTTCATTCACTTAGCAACTATTTATTAAGTACTACCAGGTACCAAGCACTTGGAATGAAACGATGAACAAAGCATATGTGAATGGTTATCCTCTCATGGAGCTACGGTTTAGGTGAGAATATAGCCATTAAAGAAATACTAACAGAAATAAATGTAAAGCTGAAGCAATATGCACCACTAGAAAAGGCACATGTGCTGTAACAACTTCAAAAACAGGAAAAGAAGAGACAGGAGGTGGGAACTTGGAACAAGTAAAGAGGATTCCTATCAGAGAACAGTAGCAGAGGCAGGAAGAAATATGGTCAATCCAAGGGACTAGAAGTGTAGCTGGGCTCCCTGATTTCTTTGAAAAATAGCTGCAAAATCCAAAAAAAGATGCCACTGAAATAGTCCACAAAAGTAGAACTGTTACTTCATGAAAACAACAATAATCTTAGGTGCTTTTAAATGCTACACAAGATCAGTCCTCCAGCTGGGCACAGTGGCTTATATCTGTAAGTGGAGATCAGGAGGATCAAGGTTCAAGGCCAGCCCAGGCCAAAAGCTCTCAACACCCCATCTCATCCAACAGTTGGGCATGATAATGGGACCTTATCATTCCGACTATGTGAAAAGTGTAAATAGAAGGATTCCAATCAGGCCATCAGATCATAAATTGAGATCCTATACAAAAAATAAGGCAAGCAAAAAGAGATGGGGGGGGTGGCTCAAGGGGCAGAGCACCTGCCTAGCATGCGCAAGGTCCTGAGTTCAAACTCCAGTACCGCTAAACAAACAGAACAAAAGATTAGTCCGGATGAGCCCTTCGTAAGTGACACACTAAATGTGGGCGCCGATGAAATCGTATTTACATGCATTGCAGGTTTTACAAGTTTGGGAATTTGGGTCTTAGCTGAAGTACTTCAAGGGGGAAATAAAAGCGACTTTTGCCTTGCCATTCTGACCGCGCAAATACCGAAAAGGCTTTGGCTGTTATCTTGCCAGGGCGTGGATGTCTATAGCCGGCAAGAAACTCAAGAGGCAGGTGGGTTGATGCAAGGGTCCCTGCTGGCCTGTTTAAAGATTTGAGGCTTTAGGCGAGAAGTGAAGAACCTAAGTGCGGCGTGCCGGGGATTCCGGGATGCGGAGCTGGGGACGCGGCCCGGCAGGGGAGACTTCGCAAGATTATCACTGACCGCAACGTGCAAACGACTGAAGGGGAGCTTAAGAATTTATCATCTCCAGTTCCTGCCTACCGAGCCTCGGGGACAGGGAAGTCACGACTCCACGCAGCTCACACGATTTTCAACGCAGCTTTGATTGCAAGGTTTTTCCCCCCCTCAGGTATAAACCAACGTAGGGACGCGCGTGTTTCTCACCTCGTCAACAATCTCGTCATCTTCACCCTCTGCTTCGTCACTGTCTTCATCCTCGTCTTCTTCCTCATCCTCGACTTCATCTTCCTCTTCTTCCTCTTCGTGCTTGACAGGGGCTCCCGGAGGCCGCGAGACTCCACTCTCCGTCGCTCGCCGCTTGGCCCTGGACGCCATGTTGCTGGGCACACTGCGCCTGCGCAAACTCCAGACCCTGCCCTTCGGACCAACTCATACTAGCCGAGGGGGTGGGAGAATACAAAAAAACCTCGCGGTTGAGGCGACATCAATCCCATTGCCATACTTTATGCCTCAACCATACACTATAAGCCTTCTGTCCATCTCTGAGCCATGTTCTGGGCTTTTCTTTCTCCCTTTCCTCCTTCACGCCTTTATTCTTTTCAGTACCTCCCCCCCTTCGCACAGTGGTTCGACCCATACTGTCATTCCGTCAGCGGGCGCCTGAGTGTCAGTACGCATGCGCAATCACCCAGCTGTGTACTGCGGGGTCGCGGGGTCGCGGGGTCGCGGCGACGCGGGACTGAAATACAAAGCTCAGTGCAATCCCGTGCGGACAGTCGCTTGACAGCTCAGGTTACGTAGTGACCCGGGGCGCTCACCGTGTTGTCATTGCCCCCATTGGGACTGGGAGATTCCGACCCCCCGCGACTGAGCGCCTGCTGAGTGCGGGGTGCTGTGCGGACAGGGTCCCGCCTCTTAGCTGGTTCCGGCCTCGCCGGCCCCGCGAGGTAGGTGTCGCTGCCCAAGGGAAGATAAGGACACGTGCACGGGGGCCCTAGCGATAATCGTGACAAAGTGGGTCTGAATCTTCAAGGCTGCTGCCAGCTGACAGGCTAGCCGTGGCCGGGCTCAGGTGTGGCCGGGGCAGGCAGGTCAGCGGATCCTTGCAGGTGAGAGCGCCAGGATCAGGATCAGACCCGGCCCTGCGGGATCTCCCTGAAAGTCCTTAAGTAGGCACGGCACCCTTCAGTGCTTCTGGCCAGTGGGGTAGTCCGAGTTAAAGACTTGAGCCTGTTTCCAAGCACTACAACGGGAGGACTGTGGCAAATTAGAGCGTGTGTCCTCCTGAGCTGCCACCAGCTGAGGCACTGGCCAGTGTACTCAGATATATTTCAAGAGAGGCTGGATTTTTACGAGAAATATCTTGATAAATTGGATCTCCTAGTCAGGTTTATGCCACAGGCTAGCAAATTGCAGCTGGTTATAAAGGTTATTACTTGAAAAGAGTAACTAGGGGAGGCATCACCTTTCTGAGAATGAAATCTATGGTTCTTCATATTTTTCTCTGTAAACAGAGGCAGTGGATTAGATATGTTTGAATCTAAAAAAGAAATTCGCTGTCCTCAGTGCTGGGGAGGCCATTGCTAGAGGGGTTTAGGCAGAAGCTTGAGTAATTTCTTGGTGCTTCATCAGGAGGAGGCAGTCATTGTGCCCTAGATGACCCCATTAACCCACAGGCCCCATGATGGTATTTTCTGAGATCCCTCTTTCCTGAGAGTCTCCTCTCTACCAGACCAGATGGTGGACAGTAATAATACTTGTACATCGGGCCTCGACGTCAGAAGAGGTAGCTTAACATGGCCCTTAAAACGGTTCCTGTAGTACACCTATTAAAAGGCCAAGATTAGACTTAAAAGGCACAAGGCCACCAAGTCTGTAGAGTTGCATGAGGCATCATAGGTAATCCCCTTTCTTTATACTTTTTTATTGTGGTAAAATATACACAACATAAAATCTACCATTTTATCCATTTTGAACATATGGTTTCCATGGCATGAGCACATACACATTGTTGTACAAGCATCACACCATTCCTTCTCCCTAACTCTTCATCTTGCAAAACAGTCTACTCATCTAACAGCTCCCCATGATTCCCTTCCACAGCCCCTGGCAACCACTTTTCTACTTTTCATCTCTTATGAATTTGACTAAGAACTTCACTTAGGTGGAATCATACAGTATTCTTTACACGTCAGGATTTCTCCTTATTAAGGCTGCATAATACCCCATTGTACATAGGTGCCACATTCTGCTTATCCACCTATCAGTGTATACTGGGTTTGCTTACATGTTTTAGCTATTATAGATAGTGCTGCTAAAACCATGAGTACAAAATCTCTTCGAGTCCCTGCTTTCAATTCTTTGGGATATATATACCTAGACGTGGAATTGCTGGGTCACATGATTTATTCCATTTTATTTATTTATTTGGCAGTACAGGAGTTTGAACTCAGGGCCTCATGCTTGCTAGGCAGGTGCTCTACCATTTGAGCCATTCATCCAGCCTTTTATTGATTGATTGATTGATTGATTGATTGAAGAACTGTACATTTTGGAGTTTTCAAGTTTTCTACAACTAGCAAGTATTGCTTTGCTAGGGGAAGAAGAGAAAAGTTTTTCTTTGTGACCTCAGATTAGTTCCCAATGTTTAGTTCCCAATGTTGAGCTGTGAATTCACACAGTCAGAGTATAATTAGAATAGCAAATGTAAACAAGTGGTCCACCTGTGGTTTGACCATTGAGAAAATAAGAATACTGACCCCAGGGAACTTAGTCTGGGGTTGCAATGATTACTACTGCCTCAGTCTTCTTCTTTAGCACAAAACTTATCTTAAAGGCAGAGAGGTGGAAGTGAATAGTTAGGAGAAAGCACCAGACTTCAGACCTGGATTCACATCCTGCCTCTGCCATTTACTATGTTGTGTGATCTTAAGCAAATTAAACCTTAAAGAACCTTGGTTTCCTCTCCTGTGAAATGAGGATGGTAACCTTGCAGGCTTAAATGAGGATTGTGGTCTTCCATGTAATATGCTTAACTCGTGCAATATTTAATTTTCTGTGTCAACTTGACTGGATCATGGGGTGCCTAGATATCTGGTTATATATTATTTTAGGGTATGTCTGTGAGTATGCTTCCAGAAGAGATTAGCCTTTGAATCCATAGACTAGTAAAGTGCATTGCTCTCTCCAAAGTGAATGGGCATTATCTGATCCATCGAGGGCTTGAATAGAACAAAAAGGGGAGGAAGAAAGGAAGATTCTCCCCCTCTCTGCCCTTCTCCTGCCCTGGGTGCTCCTGGTCCTCAGGCCTTCAGACTGGGACTGGAATCTACACCATCACTTTTCAGCCCTTCAAACTACACTGCTAGCTTTCGTGTGTCTCCAGTGTTGAACCAAGTCTTGTGACCAGGGAGTCTCCAAAATAGTTTCCTGATCATGCTAGCTGGCAAAGGAGTGGGTCCTAGGACAAATTCTGCAGTTGCCAGCAGCAAGGCTATATAGCAGGTGGGAAAATGTCACTACACCTGAGACCTAAGAGCAATTTTATGATGGAAACTTGGGGAAGGAAAGCATAAGTTGATGTGTCTGCAAGCCACCCTCTGGTGTGGGACTCCAGCACGGGAAGCAGCAGCAGTCCCTATAATGTTCCTCTGGAACTGCTTTCGATGGTGGCAAAAGAGGGACAGGAGGGTGATCTGATTTTATTTGTTCAGTCCTGTAGCACATGTCAGGAAATCTCTTTTAACAGTTTCTATCCGGAAGCCTAGGCTTCATATTAGCATCAAGTTTATTACCTAAGATAATGCAGAATAGAATTGAGAAGGGATATTTTTCTGCTCCTGGTGTGTGGGTTGATTTTGCTGTCATGTTTATATAATTAAAGTAAGCACTTTGTACTGTAATGATAGTTGATATCTTCATACCTCTGTTTTTTCCAAAGTGTTTTTGTATGCAAAATATGTTAAGAGGCAGCATATATATAGCAAGCAGAGTTAAGAACATAGAATTTGGGGCCAGATTGCCAATGAATCCCAACAGTCACTTAGCAGTTCTGAGTGTTTGGGTGACTGTCACCCTGTATGTGTCTCAGCTGCATGTAAAGCCTGGCAGTAGTAAGTGCTCAATAAGTGTGCCATTCTCATGTCTGGATCACCCAGCAGCCCTGTGTCTCAGTGGGGCAGAGATTATTCCCACTTAACACAGAAGAAAACAAGGTCACACCATGGAAAGTAATAAAGCCCTGACCCAAGCCCAGGTCCCTTGATCACTAATGTGCTTGTTCTGTGACACCATTCTTCTTCCATGACACTATCTCCATACAGAAATGGGAAAATAGAGGAGCAAGCAGAAATGAAAAGAGAAGTAAGTTCATAAACAAGAAGCTTCCCATTCTATTACAATCCAAATGTGACCTGATAAAGCCCAGCAAACTCCAGCCCCTGCCCACCCACCTCTCCCCATTCTGCCCTGTATGCTGTAGCTATCAGGACTTATCCTTGTTCCTCCGTGTTCCTCCGGTCTACCTACCTCACTGCTTCTGCAGTAACTAACTGTGTACAGGCTCCAGGTCTGTATCTAAATGTCACTTCCTCAAGAAGCCTTTCTCACCCCTGTATTAGTTAAGAGAAAGGTTCAGCTACCTAACAGAGATCCAAACAAACAGTGGGTAAAACAGGATAGAACTTTATTTTTTTCTGATGTAAAAGTCCTGGCTGGTGTGGCAGCTCTGTCATACAAACAGGGCCAGGCTCCTTCTCTCTTGTTCTGTCATTTCTAGGTCATCCTCTGCATATACAAGGGACTAGTCATAACATCAGTGTCCCAGCCAGCAGGAAAGACGCAAAGAGGAAGAGGAGGGACCGGGACTTCCTTTAGGGGCAGGACCCAATAGTTGGACAGGTCGCTTCATGTTGCATCCTGTCAGCCAGCACCTGGCAACATCTAGTTACATATTTTTATTTTAGGCAACCATGTGCCCAATTAACAGTAGCTTTCGATTTCTTTGAGGGAGAAGGGAAGTAAGGACATTTGGTAGCAGCTGGCAATCTGTGCCCATCTGCAGCCCCAGTAAGACTTGCCAGGTGTGTTTCCACATAGGTTTCTGCAGCAGCTTGAACTTCTTCAAGACTCACTGCCCTATGACTGTGTCATTGTGATTACTACTTTGTGACATAAATATCGTGGTGCAGAGATCCTATTGTATGCCTAGTGCCTAGTACACAGATACTGAAATATCTGTTGACTAAATGATAGGATTAAACCATTCAAACCTAAAAATCTCAAAGAAGAAAGACTCATTTTCATCCTGGTCACACCCATTTGAAATTAGTTTCACCCAGACTTCTGTCAATGAGTCCCTACAGCTGTCCTCAATGTGAATCCCTAACCCACTGCTAACTGTTGGGCTGTGCTGCCACCTCAACTCTGATCCACACCAGGATCATTTTTACCTAACCTGTTGTGTCCTGCAGGTCTCTGTAGGCTGTCACAGAAGCCCATAGTGTTTCTAAGGAATGGATCTCTTTACTGACATGCAGCTTGACCCTGTCAGAGAATTCCCTCTTCTCATGAAACCCAAAGTCCACCTTGTCTATTACACTGGAGCCACCCTATCCTAGGCCCCTTCCTGACAAACAATGCTTCTCTCTACTGCCATTGTCATTCAGATCTCAAATGTCACCTCCCCAGAGAGGTCTTCCTGGAGATGCAGCCCCACTACCTCACTTCTAGCACTGGTTAGTACCTGAAATTATCACACACACCTCCAGTAGACTCTGCAGACCTAATTTCCCTGAAGGAGATCTAGGCTCAGGATTGGTTTTACTGTCTGAGAACTACATAGAAACACTTGTGTGAGAGATTGGCTCCTGGTATTTGAAAGCATTGCTAAAATATCCTTTGAAAATTTGAGGATCTATATGCCAGAGCTTGGGACTATAGTAGGGAGATAGAAGGGTCCGAGTAGAGCTGTGAGGCCCCAGGATTACCTGCTTCTAACAGCTTTATGATTCAGACTTTTAGTCCCCACAGTTGTTGCCTGTCAGCTTTGTGAGCCCCAGAAGAATTTATGCATCAGCAGAAAATGCTAAGTTTTATACCACTAAATAACATACCAGATCCTTGTAGCACTGATTTTGGAAGGTGTATTAGTTAAGAGTTCAAGCAGAGAAACAACCAGGAAGAGACATATATTAGGTTTATTGCAAGAAAGTGCCTTGTACAACTGTGGAGGCTGACAAAGCAAGTCAGAATCCACAGTACAAACCAACGAGGAGGCAGGCCTGTTAACAGAAAGGGCATGCAGGAACTCGTACAAGCTGAACTTCTTCCTTAGGGAAGCCTCAACTCTACTGTTGTTAAGGCCTTACTAAAAGCCTGTTGATAATGGACTTGATCATAAAATACCTTCACAGTAGCACGTACATGTTTGTAAATAACTAGGGGTTGTAGCTGTTAGTTACCTTTCTGTAACTGACCAAAATACTTGGAGGAACAACTTACAAGGAAGAGTTATTTATTTTGGCTCATGGTTTCAGCAGTTTCTGTCTACCATTGGGGTGGGAGCTACAGTACAGCCACATGGTGGCCAGGAAGCAGAGAGGGAGAGAATTCCTGTACTAGCTAACTTTCATCTTTTTCCCTTTTTATTCCATCCAGGCCCTCAGCCTATGGGATGGTGCTGCCCACATTCTGGGCAGGTCTTCTCCCCTTAGTTAATCCTTTCTGGAAATGCCCTCACAGATACACACACACACACAAATGTGTTTTATTAATCTTATAGGTCCTTCTCAGTTCAATCAAGTTGGCCTTCAAGATTAATCATCATAATAGCATAGCCAGGGTGACACATAAAAGTGACCAACTGAAGGGCAGGCTCCTAATTTCTAAGTGAGACCCATTTTGAGAACTTCAGGAAATGACAGAAACCATACTGCCTGTTTTCCCAAATCCCCAATCTCTGTAGCACTTTCAAGCAGCAATAATTAGAACTAGATTTCATAATTATTATTTGTTCACCCAGGTTTGGTTGCTTAGATACAGAGTAACTTATTTTGAGCCAAAATTTCCTAAGATGTTCCATAGATGTAATATTCAAGCAATATAACCAGTAGTAACTTACAAGTCACAGCTCCTAGTTAACACATGTCTGGTTCAGTGTGCTCTGTTGACTCTTAACAACCACTGCACACAGTATTTAGTAAGTAAATAACTGATGAGTCTAACACTATTTATGGATGCCAATTCGCATTTCATGCAGATTTATACTGCAGCTCTTCAGCAGCATTTATTTTGAGGCCTTTAGGATAGTTATATTGTGTTCTGCCCTCAGGATGAAAGGAATATAACGCTCATTATTTTTAAAAATTTTTTAAATACTGAAGTAGAAAAGAAAATTATCCTAACATACCACTCAGAAATATATACTACTAATATTTTGGTACATAACTCTTTTCATATATTTACATATATATCTAATCATAGTATTTGTGGAACTCTGAATCCTGCATTTTTATGTAACATTATTTTCAGTTAAGTAAACCATGTAATTAGGTTATTTGTGAATATTTTAGTGATTTTTGTGAAACTGTACCATTACTTAAGTGTCCTCTCACTGTGGGATGTTCACATTGTTTTCAGTTATTTGTGATTGTGAGGAGTGCCAGGACAAACATGTCCATGTGACTATTCGTACACTCTTATGAGTATTGCCTTCTTATTTATTCTTAGAAGTGAAATTAGAGGAAGAAAGGGTGGGGAGGATGTAGGCCTCAGATACATGTGGACAAATTGTTTTCCGGGTTTTTAGGATTATCTTGTAACACTTGAGAACATTTATAAACACTTTTTTTTTTTTGGCAGTACTAGGGATTGAATTCAGGGCTTCAACTTGCTGGGCGAGCACTCTACCACTTAAGCCACTCCCAGTCCTATAAACATTATTTTGAGAAGTGGAAAAGTTGATATAACTATTTCTTGAAGTGCTTATAAGCTATTTAGTGTGTTTATCTTGAAATGGAAATAATCATTTGTTTACTTCTTAAAATATAAGGTATTCATTTCTTTGTTACTGAGGCAACCTAGAATTCTCACTACGTCTCTTCTGTAAGCTACAACTGTTTGGTACAGGACACTTGACTTTTACTAATGGCTTTCATCTGCCTTTCCGGGTGATATCAGCTGCTAACATGCTGTCCCTTGGCCTTATCAGTGACAGGAGTCTTTAGAAAGAAGGAGCCCATTAACACTCAGTCACTGAGGGAAGGATAGATCTCTTCAGCAGGAGACTGGTTACGTCCTTCTCATGCTCTGTCACTGTCCAACATTACCTAGGAAGAGTCTCTGAGATCTAATTAAGATCTCTTTGCTTGCTCCTGTCACAGTGCCCTGTAAAGACTGCCAGGCAATAATGAAGGTTCTCTTACTGAAAGACGCAAAGGAGGACAACTGTGGCCAGGATCCCTATATCAGGGTAAGTGTTCTGAGCCTCCTTCCTTGTCCCCTGCACTGGAGCTTCCTTGCTAATGGAGTCATGGGGGGTTGGGGGAAGGCTGCTAAAACTCAGCAGATTTGACATGGAATCATTGTTAAATGTGATATCATGACCCTTTCCTCGTTTTCAAAACAGCCCTAGCCAATCCAGAACTGCATTCTTTCATTTGCAGGAATTAGCAGTGTATGGACTTGAAGCCACATTGATTCCTGTTTTATCATTTGAGTTTTTGTCTCTTCCCAGTTTTTCTGAGAAGGTAAGTCCTGAACTCCATGGTAAGGTTGGGTCTCTGTAGAATCCTTGCCACCCCAAGCCAGAACAATGTTTTCTAGCTCCTCTTTTTACCGTCAAACTTAAAAACAAGGGCAACCCACCCTCACCTACTACCCTACCTGTCTTCTCTCCCAGACTACTATCTCCTCCAGGAAGCCAGCCAGACTCAATATGGGCCTGGGAGAGCACCATTCATCCCTCATTTAATCTATCCTGAAATATGCACAACAGACAAGACATGGGTTTCAAATTTTAGAGACTGAGGCTCCAGGTTAGGCAATTCAGGCAGTGCCTCCACTCAGTTAGAGGCAGGGCTGGGATCCAAACCCAGGCTTCTGCCTACTACTACTACTACTACTTTCTGCCCCCAGGTGGAGGAGATGGGTATTGCAGGAAATAGGCCCAGTAAACCCCTCCACGTGTTTCAAGTTCCAGGCTCAGGTGTGGTTCACCAGCACAGTATTTGCCCGACATTTGATTCCCAGCACTGAAGAAAAGGTTCAGTGCCCACAGCTTGAGTGAAGTCAGATGTAAACACAAGTCCAGCATCTGACTCTGCATAAACGTTCAGTAAGGTATTTCACCATCATTATCTGTGAAACCCGGGTGTCTGCACAGTGTTATCGCCATAACTGTTACAGATGCAGGTCAAGTCTGCCTGCAGCCCTCCTCGGACTCAGGCTAGGGACTGTGTTCTGCTGCCCCTGTGCTCTGCTGCAGTCACTCCTGTCACAGTGTTGTAGTGTCTCCCTCACTGAGCTTCTTGGAGGAAGAGCTGTGACAATGAATGAGCTCCCCAGTGTGTCCTAAAAGGCCTGGGATAGTTCCAGGTCCACATCACTGCATAAGTGACGCATGGATGGAGGGACAGAGGGGTAGAAGGAATAGTTCCCACTGCTCACTGTTGGGATGCACTTGGAATCCTAAGTCGTCACCCATTCTTTGGGAGATGTGGAGCTGAAGCTGCCATATAAAATGTCTTTGTTGCTTTTTGCTACACAGCTGTCCCATCCAGAAGGTTACGGGGGACTCATTTTTACCAGCCCCAGATCAGTGGAAGCATTGGAGCTGTGTTTGGAGAAAGACAGTAAAACTGAAGGTGAGGGTGGCCTGCACTCAATTCCACTGGCCTTTTCTTTACTCTTATTTCTCCCACTCAGACGCCAGATTTCAGCATAGCTGCTCTCCTGACATGAGGAGGTGTCTAGTGCTTCTGGGTCACAGATGCTCCCTAGGAAAATGGGAGGCAGGGCCACCACCTAAACCCCAGAAGAAATGGTGGAGGGCAAGCCTCTCCACTGCCTTGTAAGTGTTCAGTTGCTGGGCGTTCAGGTTCTCTTCTCAGAATGGATGAGGTACCAGTTCTTCCTCTGAAACGGGATAAATACCACTTTCTTAACAGATGACTAGAAAATTTAACAATGTATGAGGAAATGTCCATGCCCTGTCAGGCCCTTATTGACATAGCTGCCTCGTTGACCCTCTTCCTCCCTCTGTCACTTTCCATCACAACAGGATGAAATGGCACTGCCCACTCAATGAACTCTGGGTTTCAGTCTGACCAGCCACCTCCTTCAGAACTTCCATAGAGCAGCCCCCTAGCTAATGTTAATGGAGGCTGTGTGTTACATACTTCACATTCACCCTCCCATTCAACCGCAGACAAAAATCCTACTTTACAGATTTACTACAATCCTACCTTACAGATCAAAACACTGAAGCCTGGGGGAGGGTCACCAGTGGATAGAGGCAGCAGGGAGAGTAGGTAGTGTATGCGTGAACTTTGGAGGGCCTTAGGCCTGGGTTCATGTAGCCATTCTGACTTTGGTGAGCTCTTGTTCTCTCTGCCCCTTAGTACCCTTGCCCTTGAGCTAGCCTAGTAATCTGCACCACAGGATTCTTCTACTTCTTGCTGCCTAGAACATACCAGATGCCCACTGTATGCCAGGCACCATCTTCAGTCTTTGCCTCATGAGATAGTCGCAGCCAGTAGTTCCACTTGGCAGATGGGTCTGAAGAACAGAGGGTGCAAAACTCAAGACTACGTGATCTTTAGCCACAGGTTTGTGACGCACTGCAGAATGTGAGTGCTGAAGAGGAGCACTCCAGGACATTATCTGGAGCAGAGTGTGCAGGGAATGAGAAGCAGTGATGGTGTCATCATTTGTCTGCACATAGAGCAATGCTTGCTTTAGGGCCTGTGTGCACCTGTGTTGCAGAAATCCCAAGCTGAAATATGGGACACTGAGGCCGTTTAGCAGGAAGCAACATTTTATTGTGCTAGCACAGACCCAGTGGACTCATGTCCAAAGGCTGAGCCCCAAGAACAAAGGGGTCTCACCTTGCAAACAGGTTACAGAAGCAAAAAGCAAAGCTGAACCCACATATGGTTATGTGTGACTTTATTGGCCATTTCGTTATGTGACCTTCTTTATGTTTCAATTCTGTCTTTAAGTTTTATCTCTGCTATGCCATCCCTTCCCCCTGCTACATTGTCAGAACACAAACTTGTCTGTTTCTTTTCTGATCCTCCTTTGATCATCATTCCCCACTTTGATGCTCAAACCCACCTAGGGTCAAAGAGCATGATCTGGGGGTTTGTATTTCCATAGCATCATTACATGCATGCCATTTTCCTTTCCATAGTGGCCTCCATAATAGTCCTGGTAGACTGCAGTACCAGGGGAACCAGGCAAGGTAACATTAAATATGCTCTCAAGGCAAGACCCATCACCCTGCTTTTCATGATAGATGTAATCTGTATTCTATTTTTACTCTGGGACTTTTAGTATCGCTTACCTCACAACCTGGGGAGTATATGAGCCGATGTAACATCCAACCTGTTGGTGGGTGCATGATACAAAGTATGGCTGTGCGGAGGTTCCGGCAACAGCTGTCTTAAAACATTGAGCACATGGGGGAAACCTGGCAAGGGCCAACACAAAGAGAGTCCCAAGTGAGTAGAGAAGAGCAGGGGTGTGTCCCGTGTTTGAGCTTCTGCTGTGCACAGACTAGTCAGCTTCCGGAGTGACTAGAGCAGGATTATTACCTGTTGCAGTGGGGATGACAAGATAACAACAAAAGGTCCCCTCTAATGGGGTTTTGATGGTTGGACATTGTATTCTTTTATACAGATAGTATCTTTTGGGTTTTTTTCAAATTTTTTTACTGAGTAGGGTTATCATGGCAACAATATATTATCAGTATATATGTCCAAGAAAATGAGTTGTTTTAAAAAAGTTAAAATCGCCATCTTTAAGTATCAAAGGACATGTTTATAGTCAGTAAAAATAATCACTTTGTCTCTATTAAAGTAGAATACCCTGCCTAAAAAATATGAGTTTGTGTCTGGAAGGGCTTTAATGCCAGATAGCCACACATGTATAAGAACCATTTCCTCAATCCTCTCAGCCTTGGTTATTTTTGACAGATCTTGCACAAGTGACTCCATTTGAACTTTGATGGCATTCCCACCTTGTCTCCAAACTGCTTGTCTCTGAGCAGTCTCCTCTGAGGATCTTTTTCCCATCCAAGTACTAACCAGGCCTGACCCTGCTTAGCTTCTGAGACCAGATGAGATCAGGTGCATTTAGGGTGATGTGGCCATAGACTAAAGATCTTTTTTGATTAGTCACTTTTTCCTTTATCCTGAGGATTTGTTTTTCCTGGATTTTGTTTGGTTGGTTGGCTTTGGTCCCATGGCAGAGGGGAAGTAGTGAGCAGGTCAGGTGGGAGTCAGTGCCAATTGGACCCTTTGGCTAAATTTAAGCAACAAAGAAGGTTAAAAGGAGTGGCTCTTAGGTAGTGGACTTCTAGACCAGGACAATACAAAACAAAATCCAACAAAAGCAGATGTCTAAAAAACTAACCTGGTTAACACATAGGTACTTACTAGAGTCATTTTTTTATGGACTTGATTGTAAATGCCCCAGAAGGATCAGAACTGTAATGACAAAAACTTAAAAGAACCATGGTTAAAATTTTGATGGACAATTTAGCAACTAATAGAAACTGTTCTGTTAGTACCATTGTATAACTGTTTATCAGTACCTTTAGCTTTTTGTTATATTTATCTAAATTTTGTATTTTAGAAGGCTTGATATACTTGAAAAACATAAATATATTTAGTATATAGGAACAAGCAACAGCATCACAGCTCTATAGAAGTTATATATACATATGGGGAGCAGAGTAGGAGAAGCACAGTTGTACTCAGTGTTTTGTAGGCTGAGTTCAGGATAAGGCTACAGGATAAGGCTAGAGTAAGATGCAGCTCAGCTTTTCCTAAGTTGTTTAATGCAGGTTTCTCCTGTTACAATGTCACACCCCTCCCCAAGAACCATTGCTCCACCTCCTTGTTTACCACTGGATATAAAAGACTTGCTGAAGGAAAACACAAGGCTTTTTGGATGAAGCAAGGCTTTTTTGGATGATGGGAGGCTTTTGGATGGGAGAGGCTTTTTGATGGGGGTTTTTTGGCTGAAGGGAAAAGAATTGCTGAAGGGGAATGGCTGCAGGAGAATTGCTAAAGGGAAATTGCTAAAAAGGGGTTGATAGAATTGGTTGGTAGCTTGCAAGGACAATGCAAGTCTATATAGAGAACTTTATACATAGGCTTTAGAAAAGCTAAGCTAAAGAAAAGCTAAAGAGAACATGGGACAGTGCAAGTCTGGGGGCAAAGACTTTAAGAGAGATTATGCTAAAGAACAGCTAAGAGAAAACAGGATAGTGTGAGTCTAAGGAAAGAGACTTTATAGAACAGAAGTTAGGTTTTAAAGAATAGAAAGAAGAAAGACTTTTAGTAGCAAGGTTTTAAAGAATTGTAAAGGAGTTAGGCCTTAAAGAAAAGATAAAGAAAGGAAGCAGGGTAGAGAGAAGAGATTAATAGAGATAAGAAGCAATGAGGCTTTTGTGTGTCTTTACCCAAGCATCCAACACACCTGGCCCCAACTTTCTGTCTGTCTGTCTATCCTATGTCCTTTCTGCATCTCTCATCGCCCCCAATTAGGCCTAGTTAGGTTCAGTAGTAACAAGGGAGTGAGAAAATCTCGCTCCATATACGTATTAGTTTAGTTGTTGTTCTTGAAGTAAAACTTTAGATTTTTTCATCAGTTGGGGGGAACAGATCAGTGACCCCAAATAGCCCAGTCACAGACACGTATAGGGTATCGACTGCATTAGAATCACCCAAGACAACAGTTGTTTAAACCATGAAGTCATCTAGAAAATTTTACATAAACCAACTTTTAAATGAAGTAGTAAAAACTCTGACAAAAATCACCAGAGAACACAGGTAAATATTTATGGGGACTAACTGTGGAGTAAGGAAACTTAATGGCCAAGAATAATGGCTCAGATGTTGATAAGGGATCACATCCCAGACTGTTAACATTAACAGATGGCTCATGACACACAGCAGGATTCCACCAACCTGTAGCCAATGGAGCCCCCCTAAAATAACAGGCCCAATCTGCCCATCCCAGGCCAAAGATTCCTTCCATCCAACATGTGGAAGGAGTAGGACTAACATCTCCACTCTGTTGACTCTAATAGAAACTGGAGGTCTTGACCTCCAGTATAGTGTTATTTTTGAGTTCTGGTTTTTTTTTTTTTTAATCCTATCTGGAGGGTGAATTTTGGCTTTTTTTGCTTTATATAAGTAAATTTGTTTCAACTCTCATATCAGTGCAGTAGTACTCCCTGTGCTCAGCTGCCTCTTGCCTCTGTGTGTTTTAATACTCTTGTTGTCTTAATAAATTTGTAGATTAACCAAAAATTCTTGACAGAACAAAAACCATTTTTAAGACAGTTTTTTGTAAATGTAAATGTTATCAAGAACAATATAATATTTTTAAGATAGCCTTGTTGTTATGAGCTTAGAAAGTTAAGTTTTATTTTAACATCAGTACATTAAAATTTGACCTTACAAAATCTTTAATGTAACTGGATTTTAGTGAACTTAATCACTTACATAAGCATTTATAAGCTCTATCTTTTTATGACAATTTACTCTGTGCCTTTATGACAACTTGTATCCTCTGGGGGAGCTTGTCTTTATCCTTTTTTTTTTTTATTTAAAAGTACTTTTTAACCTTTTATTTTTAAAAACCATATCCTTAATATATATGTATACATATATATATATAACTTATTGAAAATAACTCATAAAACCTTTTAACTTAGAACCTTATATTTACATTAAAAAAAGAAAGAAAGCAACCTTAAAATTATATTTTGTATAAAAACAATTTATAGAAAGCCCATTTGTTAATAGACCCATGTATTATAAGAGAGAATTAAATTCCAGATTTTATTTATGACAAAATGAAACAGACTACTCACATTTAAGATTCCTGCTGCAGGCTGTGCACCCCCCCCCTACTTCTTCCTTTCTTTTTTTTAATTTCTGGTCTGAGCTGGATTGTTAACCCCTGTTCCTGCATCCTAGTGAGACCTGGTTAAAATAAGTTTGAAAACTGTTTTTTTTAAAGTAGCAGTAGAACTGGCTAACAGTTTTTTACATTTCCTCTATAATAAGAACCATCCTCAAGATATTTACATATTCTTATGTAAAAAGCTTAAGCAGTTTATAACAGAGATCTTTAAAATTGTTACCTTGAATATCACATTAACCTTATAACAGCAGTTTAAGAACAATTTTGAAGATGCTTACACACACACACACATTATATACACACACACACAAAAGTTTTATAAATTAAGCATGTCAGAAAAAATGTCAACTTAAGCACACATAAGATGAGCTGGAATTCCAGGAGCAAATTAAATTTTGCCCAATGCTTTAAACAAATTCACACACACACACACACACACACACACACACACACACACACACACACACAAAATTAGAGTGCATGCTCAAAAAAAAAAAAAACCAAACTTTCAAATTATACCAAGAGGGCTATCTGGTGGAATGGTGGATCTGTTCTCTTGTGAGTCACCCTCTTTGGAAATGAATTTTTGTTATCCATCCCTTAACCTCAGTTGTGGCTATTTCCCAGAAAAAGCTCAAACCCCCCTAATTCCTGGAGGTGTCTCACACACTTTCACCCTTCTCCCTGAACCTGAGAGACACGGTTTCACTCCAAATAGGGTTATTAGGGGGTCTCTGGGAGGTGATCAATCTCCCCTTCTGCCTCCTAAGGCAGGTCTGAATTTGAATCTGGGTTCTTACCAGTCTGATGGGCGCTGCATCCCTCCCCTCACTGGTTCCTGTGCCTTACCAGGTTCCACTGTGCATCCAAGGCCTTCACCCCAACTCGCTGGATTGACGAGTCCCTCCTTGGGATCAAACTGTCCGCTGGTGCCTGACGGAAACACTTCTCCCGGTGGTCCAGGGGATGCACCCTGGCAACAAGGGAGGTGACAATCCCAGGAGTGAGCCCCCAAGAAGTGTTGCAGGAATCTCAAGCTGAGAAATGGAAAACTGAGGCATTTTAACAGGAAGCAACATTTTATTGTGCTGTCACAGACTCAGCAGACTCATATCCAAAGGCTGAGCTCTGAGAACAAAGGGGTCTCACCTTGCAAGCAGGTTACAGAAGCAAAAAGCAAAGTTCAACCCATATATGGTTGCATGTGACTTTATTGGCTATTTCAATCCCCCAATGTTATATGACCACCTTTATGCTTCAATTCTTTAAGTTTTCTCTCTCTGCTTTGCCATCTCTTCCCCCACTACATTATCAGAACACAAACTTGTCTCTCTTTTCTGGTCCTCCTCCCTGCTACACCTATACCTCCTGTTGAAGGGAAGGCTTGATGCTTCTGTTAGGAGAAACAGACTGTAACACCATTGTTTCCAAAGTGGATAAAGGACAGTCCAGGGCAGGGAAGCATGTTGTCCTGTCCAGTGGGGCTTTGGGGTGCTTTGTTTTAGTTGCATTTTTCCTTTTGTATGTGCTTAGAAAGTAAAGGTAAGAAAGAAAAAGAAAACCCTAGAGTGAACACAAGAACTTTTTGCCCTGCTTTACAGTTTAAAAAATATTTCCCATACATTTTAAATTTTTGGTTCTCACAAAAATGATATGCTATGGGAGAGGTACAGTTAACCCCAGCTGTGCATCTTGATGAGGAAGCAGGAGGGGTAAGCTGGCTTGCCCGGATCACACAGCAGTTATGGGGTTGAGCAGGCTTTTGCCTTCCAGACAGTGCTCATTCTCATTGTTCTGCTGTGAGCCTTGGAAAATAATTAGCTCCTCAACTGTGAAAACTAGTATTACTTACTAGTTACTATTACAATATTACTTACATTTGTAGTGTAGGAAAAAAGATGAAATTCAATTTGGGGTTTTAAAGTGGTTTCCCTTAGGGGTATAAATTCAACACTATTGAATTTAGGGGAAAGTTAAGGCTCATATCTAGTTTTAGGAAGGACTGTATTGTCCTCTAAAAATATATTGAAACCCAGCGGCTTGACATATTTATATAATCCACTTTCTCTTTGCAGTTCTTTAATCCATATTTAAAGATCTTTCTTTGTCACAAAATGGTAGTATTCTGTACTACTTTGCGTTTGTTAATGAAGGTGAAATTATTATTCTACTTTGACCTAAAGGATAAATGAACCTTCTTATCTGAGAATACAGTTTGCTGACTACTTTCAGATTTATGTCCCAAATAAAGCCAATTTATTGTTTTATTGTTTTATTAGAGTTAGGGTCCTCTTTTTTTTTAATGACCAGTGACTTCAAAGTCTAGATTTTATTTTAATATAATGCAAATTAATTCTTCAATTTTCTTCAATTTTAATGTGTTTTCTAGTACACATTAAAAACACTTCCAGTGCCAACTGTGGAAATGAGTTATTTCAGGCAAATCATACTGAAACATTTACCAAAGTGATTTTGAAAACTTCGCCTGCAGAATATGAATGCTGTTCAAACAGAAGTTCAATGTGAAATGTGCTCTTTACATTTGATTAGTAGTAGTTTGCCTTGCTCACGAGTTTCTCAGATGAATGAGCAGCCTCTGGCAACAATCCAAATGGCCACTTTGGTATTTCCAACTCACATATAATTTCATGTTTTACAGTCTGGGAGAAGTCTCTGAAAGAAAAATGGAATGCTAAGTCAGTGTATGTGGTTGGAAATGCTACTGCTTCTCTAGGTAAGGAAGTAAGGTAAAAATAAAATACTAGAAAAGCTATAGCTTTCCTTCTGTTTGTTTGTTTTATGTGACAGGATCTTTCTTTGTAGCCCAGGCTTTCCTGGAACTCACTATGTAGCCCAGGCTGGCCTCAAACTGGCACTCCTCCTCTGCTCCCTAGTCCTGGCACTACAGGAATGCTTACCATGCTCTACAGAAAGACTTAGCTTTCTTCTTCTTTCTTCTCCTCCTCCTCCCCTTCCTTCCTTCCTTCCTTCCTTCCTCCCTCCCTCCCTCCTTCCCTCCCTCCCTTTGTTCTTCTTCTTCTTCTTCTTCTTCTTCTTCTTCTTCTTCTTCTTCTTCTTCTTCTTCTTCTTCTCCTCCTCCTCCTCCTCCTCCTCCTCCTCCTCCTCCTCCTCCTCCTCCTCCTCCTCCTCCTCCTCCTCCTCCTCCTCCTCTTCTTCTTCCTTCTTCTTCTTTCTTTCTTCTTTCTTCTTCCTTCTTCTTCTTTTCTTCTTCTTCCTTCTTCTTCTTCCTTCTTCTTCTTTTCTTCTTCTTCCTTCTTCTTCTTCCTTCTTTCTTCTTTCTTCTTCTTCTTCTTCTTCTTCTTCTTCTTCTTCTTCTTCTTCTTCTTCTTCTTCTTCTTCTTCTTTTCTTCTTCCTTCCTTTCTTTCTTTCTTTCTTCTCCTTCTTCTTCTTCCTTCTTCTTCCTTCTTCTTCTTCCTCCTCCTCCTCCTCCTCCTCCTCTTCTTCTTCTTCTTCTTCTTCTTCTTCTTCTTCTTCTTCTTCTTCTTCTTTCTTCCTCCTTCTTCCTCCTTCTTCCTCCTCCTCCTCCTCCCCCCTCCTCCTCCTCCCTCCTCCTCCTCTTTTCTTTCTTCTTCTTCTTCTTCTTCTTCTTCTTCTTCTTCTTCTTCTTCTTCTTCTTCTTCTTCTTCTTCTTTCTTCCTTCTTCCTTCTTCTTCCTCTTCTTCCTCTTCTTCTTCTTTCTTTCTTCCTTCTTCCTTCTTCCTTCTTTCTTCTTCCTTCTTCCTCTTCCTCTTTCTTCTTCTTCTTCTTCCTTCTTTCTTCTTCCTTCTTTCTTCTTCTTCTTTTCTTCTTCCTTCTTCTTCTTCCTTCTTTCTTCTTTCTTCTTTCTTCTTCTTCTTCTTTTCTTCTTCCTTCCTTTCTTCTTTTCTTTTTCTTTCTTTCTTCTCCTTCTTCTTCTTCCTTCTTCTTCTCTTCTTTCTTCTTCTCTTCTTCTTCTTTCTTTCTTCTTCTTCTTCTTCTTCTTCTTCTTCTTCTTCTTCTTCTTCTTTCTTCTTCCTTTTCTTCTTCCTGCTTCCTTCTTCTTCCTTCTTCTTCCTTCTTCCTCCTTCTTCCTCCTTCCTCCTTCTTCTTCTTTATTCTTTATTCTTTCTTCTTCCTTCTTCCTTCTTTCTTCTTTCTTCTTTCTTCTTTCTTCTTCCTTCTTCTCCTTCTTCTTTTTTAAACACTTTAATTCAGTTTTGGTTTTTGGTTTGTTTGCTTTGTTTCATTTTGTCTTGTATATATTACTAAGTGGCAATGAAAATTGGTTCATGCCTCTTAAGAAATACTGACCATATGTACTCAGAAGTGTTACTTAAATGTTTGTAAGTTTTGGTCCATGAATTTTATCAGCTATGTACTTAGTGTTACTGAATTCTGCTTAAGAAATAGCTCAAAGGGTAACTTTGATGTCATGTATTTAATCTACAAGAAAGCCTATGTTTCCAGATTGGTTTATTCTAGTTTCCTAGTTTTCTTAATGTTCACTAGATTTTTCCAAATAGTCTTAAATGTGTGTGTACATACATATACATATGAATATAGACTTAAATGCATGTGTGTATCTGTATACATATGCATATATGTATAAACTTAATGTGTGTGTATATGTGTATATGTTAAAGTATAAAAGGTGGACCATGGATTATTAAAGGTTAACATTTTAAATACTTGAAGCAATATGTAGCAATTGTGAATAAATTAACCTATAACTTCGTTTCAAAGCTGTTCAGTTTGTCTACATGAGTTATAAAATATTGGGGGAAAGTATAGCACGAGTGAAAACAGCTAAAGAATTAAAAGCACACTTTCCAGAGAACAACCTGAAGTCAAGGGAGAAACAGGTTGGATTTGCCGGTCTAATTAAAGGTGATGCTTGGCTGTCTGCACTGGGGAGCTCAGCAGGAGCTCAGAAGGGCAGCCACGGAGAGGGATTGGGTTCTGGGTTGACAAGGGAACCACTTCTACTTTCCAGATCTCCCTCCAAAATAAGTAAAAAATTCTTTTATTTTATTATTTTCTTTTTCCTGAACAAGAAGAGGGAAGAAGATAGCATGGGATTCATACACCAAAACCAGAACTATCCCTTGCAAGTTATATTTGCGAGTTTTCCTACTTGAATTTTCATACTCCAAATTCAGACTTCCGCACGTTAGCTGACAAATACTTTGAGACATCACATGCCCTTCAGTTCAGTTCTAGTAGCACCACTGTGCATTTTGCTTTCACTGTTCTGTCAAATGCAAAAAAAAAAAAAGAAAAAGAAAAAAAAGCAAGCCATGTCGTGAGACCTAGAGTAGCTAAGAGTGGACCAGATTAAATACAGCACAACAGGAGAGCATCAGTGGGACACTCACTGGCTTCAGGATGGTCCCTGTGTATTCAGTTGTAAAGGAGAAGGATATGTTCTAAAGGTTGGAAACTATCAAAGGAGAAACAAAATCAGAGGTTTTTAATTTCTAAAACTCTGTTTGGGAGGAAACCACATTTTCCCTTAACAGAAAAGCCAGTCACCCAACTTCAAACATTCAATTTTAGTTCATCTTGTCAGATGTGGTATACAAAAGAGCTGCCTTGAGTGGGTACAAACAGGATTGCCTTAACTTTCCTGTTTATCTGGAGTCTCAGCTGCAGCTGGAGAGTCAGAGGGAGTTGAGCACCAACAGCTGGGAGGAGACCAGGCTCAATGTGTCAGTCGTCTTGGGCTGCGTAATCATTTACCCCAAAACTTAGCAGCTAGAATCAATAAGCGCTTATTATTTCACTGTTTCCTTGGTGGATCAGAAATCTGAGCATGCCTTTGTTGGTTTCCTCTGGCTCGGGCCTGCCACCAAGCTGCAGTCAAGCTCATGGTAAGGGCTGCAGACAGCTTGAGGCTTGTCTGCTTCCCATCTCACTCACATGGCTGTCAGCAGGCTCAGGAGACCTTACACAGGACTCTAAAGACTACCTAAGACATGGCAGTAGCTTCCCTATCACAAGGAGACCCAAGAGAGAGAACAAAGTGCCAATGACAGAAGCGACAGTGTCAAAGGTGACACTAATACCATCTTCTTTTTGAATCAAGTCAGTAAGTCCATCCTCACAGGTAGAGAGGATGACACAGGGATGCGAACCCCTGGGACACTGAGGGCCACTTTACTTCATTTAGCCCTCTGGATTCAGACAAGGGAGAGGGGCCCAGCCTGGCCTGGTACTGCAGTACAAGGAGGGTTTTGTTCTTGAACAAAGTTTGCATTTCCACAAGACTTTTCCTCTGACTCAGAACATTTTTTATAATGTAGGAATTAAAGCTGATGATATTTGCATTAAAACTGTCATTTGGTACCAGCTAGCCTGTTGTGTGGCCTCTAAGTGGAATACCCACAGCACCTCCGAGAAGTCCACCTTCTTACATGCAGGTGGCAGTGACCACTGAGATACCCTGGGTCCATCCTTCATTAGTATCCTCTGCACAGCAACCGCATGTTTACTGTCTGAAAAAGTGCAGGGGCCTGAGTCTGTTTCCTTCTTGCTCACTTCACAAACAGGAGCTTCACAAGAGTGGCTGGCACAGTCCCTCATCCTAACTGACCTGCATCCATGGTGCTGTGGCAGGTACTGTGAAACCTTTCCTCCCCTGTCTTCTATTTCATTCTGGCCATGTCAGCCTATAACCCCTTTCTGGATATGGGCTGGCCTCATCTCCCTAACAAAACAAGGGCTAGCTAAAGAGATTCCTGCAAAACCTGGTAGATCCCCAGTGCTCACCATCTCCTAACTGATAAGAAAACAGCCTTCAATGAACTCCTTCCAGAAGGCCAGTAGTTTTCCTCTCTTGCAGATGAGCTAAGTGGGGTTCAGAGAAGTTAAAACAAAGCTTCATGCCAGGTCTTGATGCTTTCACCTCTGAATGGACATTTGTGATCTTCTGTGCTGGCTTCCAAAGGAAATTTTTCTGTGTGATTTGTAAAGCAATTTGCCTATGTATTTGCACATTTAAAAACAACAGGGGAACAAAAGGACTTTAATAACCATTTTAAAGACACATTTCTTTGTTTTTTTCCAGTGAGTAAAATTGGCCTGGATGCAGAAGGAGAAAGTTCTGGAAATGCAGAAAAGCTTGCAGAATATATTTGTTCCAGTAAGTACAAAAAAAATTAAGCCCATTAATGTTGTGTTTGTTGATTTCACAAACACTTTCTAGGGAAAAGAGTATTTCCTGGTTCATTCTCAGTGACGGTATAAATTGATAAGCAGCACATAAGCCACTTGAGGACCAGAATCTATTTGTATTTGAGTATGTCTTTTCCTGTTCGAGATATATTCCACCCCCTTCTACCTTCTATACCAAAGGACTTGAGACAACTTGAACATAAGGCAAAACAACATTTGGAGACCAGACCAGGACAGAGGCCATCTGAAGTGATTCTAAAGTTGGTGTACGTGGGTTCTCTTCCCCCTGAATCTTGTCTTTCCCTTCTTCTGAAAAACTGCTTCCCTTACTGAATTCCCTCTCCCCAAAATGTGCTCCCAAGGAAAGACCCAACATCTCTAATAAGCTCAGCTTTGGGCAGCACGTGGACTGGGATTTAGAATGATACTGGTTCTAGGGATGCTTTCGTTTAGATGGCAATTAGCCTTAAACTAATCATGGGGCTTAGCTTTCTGAGGAGGAAGGAGGATGTGGAACAGAGATTTTGGAGTGAGGAATGGGAAAACAGAGTGTGCACATGTAGGGCAGCCCTTGTCTAGGTTGCATCTCCCTCCTCGCTCTGCCCTGAGCATCTACTCCTACTGTGAACACAGGGTCTTACAGCCGGGTCACACAACCACACAGGACTGACGTGGAGTCTTCTTCCCATAGGTTGTGGAATAGGAAATCAGGACCTTGCTCCTCAAGGTCAGGCTGGCACCCTTAAGGACCAGGCTTTGCAGGCTTTTCAGTCAGCGTTCTGTGTCAGAACTAGTAACTCTGCAGTTGGAGTAGAACAGCCATGGCAGTGTGCAAGCTCTGGAGCTTGACTCTGACGCAGGACGGTCATTGCTGACCCCTGTCCAGAATTACTTGGGTGTCTGCTGAGCTGGGAGGAGGGAGATGCAGCCTGGGTAGAGGGCCTGACAGTTGAGGTTGTCCCAGGACAGGGGCATCTTTTTACCCCTGGGGTGATGGTGTCAGGGTGAGTAGGGAAAGAGAACACTTTCAGCAGGTCTTTGCATGGCTCAGAAACAGTTGTGTATTTTTTTTTAGGCAAAACAAAACATGTGTGTTTAAAAATAATGCTCTCCCACAGTGGTGCTGCTGGGCTTTTCATGATCTGCCAACTTGTACACTGAAGTCTTAGGAGGTGGTCCTGCCACAAGCCACGAATGTTGCCTAGAGATTGTCTAGCTTGCATGTTTCTGTGTTCCCCTGGCAGCTGGTCCTAAGAAGAGCCTGCATCCTGCACTGCACTGAGGACCAAGGCTCCCCAGAGCACAGGCATGCCTCGGGCAGGGACAGTGACAGCAAAGACTACTGAGCTTAGTGGGCCCTTCGCACACTCCCAGTTCTCTCTTTTTTTTAATTTTTAAAGGTAAAACTTTTTATTTAAATTGAGTTCTTTAATTGATTCAAAATATCTTACATATGAATGCCATACCAATTTTCTTTGAAAAATAATTTTAAGACTGGGGCATGGCTCCGTGGTAGAGTATGGAGCCTTGCATGTATGAGGCTCTGGGTTCCACCTCCAGCACCACAAAAATTAATAAATAATTAATAAAGTAAATAATTTCATTTTACCTTTCCTGACTCACTGTATGTTCTGTGTTAACACTGAATACTAGCCTTTAAAATTTTTATTAGCACAAATTAACTGTCCAGGGAGGTTTCATTATGATAGTTACAACACACATATAATGTACTTTGACCAAAAGCTAGCATCTTTTGAGTGCTCAGTGCACTCTAGGAACTTAGTCACTTTGCCTGCATCAGCTCACTTAATCTTCACCACTGACCAATGAAGTTAGTGCCACCTCCAGACAAGCTAGGCCCTCTAGGGCAGTAGCCACTAACCACATTCATTCAAATTAACTGAATAAATTCACTTAATTTAAATTCAGTTCCCCAGTCATACTAGGCATATTGAATAAGCTCAGCCATAACTCACGCTAATGGCCATGCATGGGACAGCACAAAATATTCCCATGGTGGCCAGATGTTCTTTTCCACTGCGCTGTTACAGAGGCTCAGAGGAACCAAGGATCATGAACTATGAGTGGCAGGGTTTGAATTCAGACTTAGCACTGCAAGGCCATTGCTGACTTTGGCTCGTCACCTTCCAACAAACCTGACAGCACTGCTTTGTGTCCTCCTGCCCTCGGGCTGCTGGACAGTCACCCCCATCCATGAGAATTCAGAAAGGTGGTGCCCCACCGGGGTGAGGGTTACAGTGCCTGACCCTGGTATTGGCAGAGTCTCAAGGGGCCTCCAGCTTGGAAAGGCTGCATTGCCCTTTTGTGATCACTCTCTATTAAAGGATTAAGCTCCATCCACGGAGTGGTTCAGCCACTTGAAATCTCAGGCCCGGGCTCTCCTGAACTCCATAGATGCACGCGTGTTCATTGGCTTCGACAGGCCTACTGGGTATTTGATGTACTAAATGACCCTCCATTGCTCCACCCTCCCCACCCCCCCATTATGGAGGCCAGAACATTTCTGACAGCAAATATGTGGGAGTTTCCTTATGCCAACAAGCAGTTCTCCAACTCTCCAGATACCAGCCGGGTGTCCCACAATTCAGGTCAGTTCTGACATTTAACTCCCCAGAGTTAGGCTAGCCCTCACAGTCAAGGGGATCAGTCCCATAGGAGTGGCCCTGACTTTAGATGGCAAGTATTAGGTGTCCAAAGTACCTACACTAACTGGACCACGAATCAGTGGTTACCATAGCCTTCTCCTCACGTTCAAGAACTTGCTAGAATGGCTCACAGAATTCAGGGGAACACTGTCATAAAGGGTGTAAGGACAAAGACGGACAGTCGGTTTACAGGCACATAGGCAAGGGCAAGAAGGGTGCGAGCACAGGAACTTCTGTCCTTATGAGGCTGGGGACACCACCCTCCTGGCATGTAGCCGCAGTCACCAGCCCTGAAGCATTCCAAGTCAAGGCAGAGAAGTTTTATGGGGGTTCTCTGTGTAGGCTGCATTGATTTTATCACCACCATTCACCCTTCCCCAGAGGTCAGAGTGTGGTGCTGAAAGTGCCAGCCCTCTGATCACATGGTTGGTTCTGGCTACCAGCATCCATCCGGAAGCTACCTAAGGCCATCAAGAGTCAACCTCGTTAGCATAAACTTCTGTGAGGTTGAAAAAAGCTATGCATAAGGAAAGATGATTTCTCACAGCTGTCACTTAGAAAATTCTAAGGGTTTTAGAAGCTATGTTTCTGGAACCAGGGGTGAAGTCCAAGTGTTTATTTCCTTTTACACACAATATCATAGGAGTGTCCAAAGGAAGGTCAGGTAAAGAAAGCTAAAGGCAGACTGCACTACAGTGGATGTGAAATGCCCTTCTGGTCTTGCCAAGTCCCCACAGCCTGGCAAACTTCAGTGCACATTGACAGTTTGTGCTAGTGCATCTAACTTTCTAAAGTACTGCTGTTCTGAGTCCCCAACATGGAGCTAATCATTAGATCCAGTTGCCAAGGAAGAAGCTGAACTCAGAGGGGTGACTCGTACAAAGGAACAGCTAGTAGGTCTAGGCTGGGCCTCCACCCTAGTACTGGCTGACTCCAAAGCTCTTCCTATCCTTGTTTTTTATACTCCTAGAAGTTAAGTGAGTCCAAAGTGTGCTCAATTTTTTTCTGTCACATGAAGTCAAAAGCATCCTTTGAAGTGAAGAGAGCAGATTGTAAGAGCTCATCCTGCTGGTTTGTGGGTTTGAGCATGTACTTGGTACTGAAGAGTCACCATGGTGACATCTGGGGCTTATTTGCATCCTCAGGGACACTACTGTGGAGAAAGCCCCCAAGGACAGACCCTGCTGATGGGATATTAGCCTGAGCCCTGAGGAAGGGGGCTGCAGGAACTCCTGGCCTCAGAGCATTCTGGAGCACATGAGCCTCACACAGGTGTCCTGATCTACATCGCTGGGAACCCGAGACCCAATGCCCTTAACTGGGTCATGCTGACAGACTATTAGACACAATATGCTGGGTTTTCTTTAGAAACTTTTATAAGCCAGAACTGTGGGATATTTTGAAGCTGAAAGTGTAAAGTTCAGGAGACAATTATTTGGGATAAAAAGTGTTGACCATTTACTGTTGGTAAATTCTAATGACTTCTTTCTTCTCTGGCCATCTGTGCTGAGGTGAGGATCCATGTTAGTGCAGGCCTTCTCAGCCTGGCAGCTCTGAAGAATTTTCTTTCTTTTTATTTTATTTTTTGACAGTAGCAGGATTTGAACGCAGTGCCTAGTGCTTGCTAGGCAGGTGCTCCACCACTTAAGCCACGCCCTCAGCTTCAGGAGCATTTCTTGATGCCGGTTTGTGGAGAAGCACTCCTGGGAAAAGCACTGCATCAGCACATGAGGAGAAACAGCTCTGTAAGCAGAAGGCCCCCATGGTTGCCGAGTGTTTTAGACTATAGATTGCTGAGGACCATTTTCTTTAATGTCTACCCAGACATGGCAGCTTCTCGCTTTTGTGCATCTTGAAACATCTGCAAGAAGCCAAGGGAAGATGTTTCAGATGTCCAGGTCAGGGCCAGCACTGGTTTGTGCTCTTTGTCATGCGGCCCAGCCCCATGGGCTGTTGCTCAGGCTGTTAGCATGCAGGGTTCGCTCCAGGGGACCCTGGTGCAGGATGCCACTGTATCAAGAGTGGTCTGCTGCCAGGCTTTTCATTAGCCATTTCCAAGGAGTAATAGTCACAGCATTAAATAGTATCAAAGCCCTTATTTTTAAAATGTAGAAATAAGTGTAAAGGGCAGATCTTGGCATTCCTGGTGGAATTAAGCCCCAGACTTTTCAAGGAAAAATTAATTGTTGGTTCTATAGAAGGAATGGCAATCAGCCCCCCTTCCCCCACCCTTGTTTCCAGGGCACAGATTGAGCTGTACGCACATTCAATGCCTCTATTCTGGAAGGAGACAGAAGGGACCCAAGTCATTCCTCAACTAGGGCTGGTTTGCTTGCTTTGCAGCACAAGACAGCGTCACTTCTGAACCATTATGTGTGCCTCAATGAACTGACTCAAGGTTCGGTAGGGTGGGTCTTCACAGGTTCTGTCGTTATCTGGAAGCATTGGTCTGCATTCTTTCTAAAACCTTTGTTCTGATTTATTGCCAGCATGTCTGTGGCCCTAGTAAATCTTCCGTTTCCAATTGGAATGTCCAAATAAAATCCAAGTTGGCGCTAATGAGGGTCTTCACCTTGGTGTACCACAGCACTGGTGATTTTCTCCCTCAATGAACTTTGAAGCCCAATTTTAAAAGCTGAATACAAGTATACTTCCAGTGCTTACAGTAAACGGTCTGACTCCTACTTACTGTTATTTACTTACTCAACTTTTACTAACTATGAGACAGGAGTGATTGTGTTTAGAGCTGTTAACTCCACCAGGACATACTAATTTAATCTCATCACTCACAGATGATTCTCCTCTCCCAGGATCTCTCTTCTAATGGAAAAATAATTACAAGTTAAACAGTAAAGGGCAGAAGAGGGTTATAATTTTTAAAAAGAAAGGCGAAGAGAGTCCCAGGCAGACCACACTGTCATCCATGGGAAATGTCCTCCTGCACTTGCAAAGTCCCTGCAGCCTTGCAGACTTGCTGGGCTCCTCCAGGCTCCAGTTGGCCTCGGTGTCCTAATTATCTGCAGTTAACTACCCACTGGTTGCACGACCTGATTCTCACGTAAACCTGGAGGTGGCTATAGCTTTACTTGCATGTTGTCCAATGAGATTACATTTTAAAAGCTCATCCTCCTTGTCTTCACAACCTATGGTGACTGTTCACTGAGCCCCTGCTCTGCTGCCTAATGCTTTTCTGGGACTTTCAACACTTGCTCTTCAGCCCTGACAGGCGAGAATGTTAGGCCTCCTTCCTGTTGGTAGAAGGGAGAGCAGAGTTTTTGGATTCCACAAATCAACATTTTAGAGTCACTGCCCCTAACCATTGTATTGACCTGTTTGTGTTGAAGATAAATCCACACATCAAGCTTATCCCCAAAAGAAATGGGTTATTTGCCTTTGACTTCTTGACGAGAGTTAACTCTCGGGGAAATGTAGTTGCCATAGGTCAATCCTTCAGGAGCAAAGAACACCACCAGGAATAGTAATGTTCCTTTTTTTTTTTTTTTTTTGAGGTACTGGGGTTTGAACTCAGGGCCTACACCTTGAACCACTCCACCAGCCCTTTTTTATGATGTTTTTTTCCAGGATAGGGTCTTACAAACTATTTGGGCTGACTCCGAACTTATCCACCTGACTTCTGCCTCCTGAGTAGCTAGGATTACAGGTGTGAGTTTCCCTTTTTTATGCAGATAGGGCCAGGCCTTTCCAGGGAAGCTGGCTGAGTTGATCACATGTGTGAGCCTTGAGTGCTGCGTGATCAGGTTTTTGGCCAGAGTGGAGTGAGAGAAACTAGCCCCTCCCTCAGGGCGCCTTGTACCTACTGCAGCCTGGGCTTGTGAGTGCCTTGTCACAGCCTTGTCAGGGACAGGATAAGAATGAGCAGTTCAGGTCTCCACTGACCTTCAGAAGAGATTCTTGAGTTTACTGAGGCCCTTGCCTGCCTGCCTGCCTTTGGGACTGAGCTTGCAGGAAAGTTGGACTCCTGTTTTGCTGCTGGATTCCCACAGCTGCCCCAGGAAGAGGTTTGGCCCCTAGCATCCTGCATTCCTTCTCCAACACTCACATAGACAAACAGATGTGGGAAGTACTCCTGTGTATGCCACTTACCACGGAACCTGGGTGACCGAAGCCATAAAAAGATGAGGGGACTACTGAGTCCTGCTCAGTAGCCACTTTAATGAAGTATACATTGCTTTTTATAAACTCCTTTTACAAAGAAAGCATTTGGTCAGAAAAAGCTTGCCAAGTATTACGTGTCAAGGTTACATTAGCACAGGGAAGCACAGTTAAAATTAACTTTGTTATGTCTCCTTTAAAATGGGAACAGAGAAGCAGGAGAAGCACACGGTCAGCATAACTTTCTTATTTACATCTGAAGGACACAAAGCCATCTTGGAACCTTGAATACTGTTTTTCTGGATGTCTGGCTTTCTCACAAGGCCAGATGCTGACTCACACAGGCAAGGTCCCACTGCTGGGTCCAACACTCCTGGGCTTAGGTTAAGAACCCAGCACCTGAACACAGTTCTGAAAATGTCTCTCTAGGGGTGGCATCTGAAGTGCCTGAAACATTTCAGGCATCTCCAATCTACAGTTAACAATGTTCCCATCCTGAGTACTCTGTAATGTTGCTATTGATAAAGAAAACATCCACCAGTGTGAAGCTATTACACATACTTCAAACAGGGTAGCCTGCTATTCCTGTTGCTTAACTGCTACTTGAGGGGCAAGTACTTGGTGCTGGGTGGAGAACTTTGTTTTGCTTCTTCCTCTGATTGCAGTCACTGCAGATGTGGTCAGGAGATCCTAAGAATGCAGAAAAATAGGTAATGTTTGTACATGACCAACACCCATTAAAATTTCTGCTATCTAATGGACAGATGTGGGGAAAATAGTTGGTCCTACTGAAGTGCTTTGTCTCACAGTTGAGAGAGATTCTGAGACCTGACAACCCATCAGTTTTGTTGGATGATATTGTTACAAATTGCTGTTCAAATAGTGCTGTCTTCACTATTATGCAAAGCACTTAGGGCTTTGCCCTTAAATCTTCACAGAGAGGTGACAGTGTTAGGTCACAGTAAGAGGCCTTATCTCTGCAAGGCCCTTTGGACACTTGGCCTGGTGACTGCTGAGGTGACGGGGAGGCAGTAGACAGGGAGCTTGCCTTTGTTGGAGGTGGCTGCAGAGTCACTCCTAGCTGCCATTCCCTGCTGCCACTGAGCATGAACCCTGGCTCATCCAGAGTGTCCTGTATAGCTCAACAATCTTTGCCCAACCCTTACCTTTCTGACTTAGTTATTCTAAACAGTGGCTGCAGGCCAGGAGCCACTTCTGGACCAGAGAGAGTTGAGAGCGCGTGTATGACAGCTTACCTTGTTCATGGAGATGTTCACTTTCTAAGCACCTTTGCCCACTTTACCTCTTACGTTCTTTGTACAACGGCCTTCAGGTTCTGCAAGGTGTGGTGGTTGCTCTTCTTGTTTGCAGGTACTGGAACCGAGATCCAGGAGCAGAGCTGGGCCTGCAGCCCTGGGCACCTGTGCCAGCTGGGAGCTGCCCTCCCCATTACCCTGCACACCGTGCTCACCCTGAGTTTTTAACAAAGCTTTTACAAAGTCTGATTATTTATTCACAGGGGAGCCATCAACATTGCCTCTTCTGTTTCCCTGTGGAACCCTCAAGGGAGATACCCTACCGAAAATGCTCAAGGACAAAGGTGACTAGAATGTCTTGACTGGAGATGATGCCCTGAGGCCCAGAGAGGTTGTACTTGGCCATACAGAGACAGCCAGGGCCCCCAACTCCGAGCCTCTACTGAGGCTGCCCTCGAACCTCACTTCCTGGCATCATGAGTTCAGTCTGGAATTCATAGTGGCTAGGGACATGTGTGTGACAAACAAACATGGGGATGAAAGGCATCAGTATGTACAAACAAAGGCCTTTGTTTCTGGTCCTTTGCCCTTTCTCTACTGACTCAGTCTCCCCCACAAGAATTGTTCCACACTGTTCAGCAGGCCGCAGAAGGCTGTCTGGGGCCTCAGTCCTCAGTTGAACCTCTCAGTGTTAGAGCAGCTTATTCCAGGAGGGTGGTGTCACACTGGGGGTCCCAGCCAACCATTTGCTGGGGTTGTGATGGTTCCATCACATTCTCAGTGTGGTTAAGTCCGTCTCCTGATTCTTACTGTGCCTAGGGATTCCTATGGAAAGCATAAATGTCTACAAAACAGTTCCACACCCAGGAATCCAGGAGAACCTGAACAGCTATTATTCCAAGCAGGTATGTGCTGTTTCCAGGGAAAGCCCCAGGAGTGCGGGTGACAGGCATGAGCTCACAGACGCTGACTCTCCATGTGCTTCCACCATCTCCAGCTGAGTGATTTTGAGGGAATGGCCTTTCTGTGTCTATGTAGTAAGAGTAGACCTGTCTAATAAAGTTTTATAAGGATTAAAGGAGATGATTCATGCAAAGCTCTTCATATAGCATCTAAGGTATACACAAGCCCAAGGTTTGTGGACAGTAGCCTTGATATTGCCTTTGTTCTCCACCGTGTGGTGGCTGAGGCTGAGCTCACACTGGGAAGAGCCCACTATGGAGTCTGCCTCAGGCAGGAGAGTGCATACCTCTTGTTGAGTTGATTGATGTCTTTACCATTTCCATTCACAAGACTCCGGGTTTTGCTCTCCCACAATAGGCTTCCAAGAGTCTTACCTGATTCTGGGAGTCCTGCTAGGACAAACCAAATTCAGAGAGGCCATGTGGGTTGCCTGGCTGCTTGCTGCTCAACCTCCAGGGGGCTGGGAAGTTGACAGGAGCCAGCACAAAACTTCCTTACTTGGACAGTGCCATTTCACCATAGGTGTCAGAGGCACTGACTGTTCAAGGCTGCTGAGACTGGGCTTCATGTGCCCATGTCCTCTGCCGGCCAGACACAGACAAGGGGCCAGAGCAGCCCAACTAAGGGTCAACACCAGCCTCTCCGATCACAGCCTACTCTACAAACAGTTCCTTCAAACAGCACATTGATGGGGCAGAGCATCCCACACAGCCAGGGACCGCTCCTGCTGTAAAGCCCTGGGGCTGCTATGGCTAAGCTGGAGGAATTATTGCTGTCTCTCCTGTCCCGTGGCAAGGATGGCTCTTGTTTTCTCTTCCTTGCAGGGTATCCCAGCCAGCATCACATTTTTCAGTCCCTCTGGCCTTAAATTCAGCCTCGAGCATATTCAGGAGTTATCTGGTGACAGCATTGATCAAATTAAGGTACAGTATTCTATGGGCTTTGGTCATTTTCAGATTAATCTGTACTAATTATTCTAGGGTTTCCATGCCAACTCAAAGAAAGCATTCCTGGCCTGACAGATGCCATCAACTGCTCTGTAGAACTGGAAGAGCTGCTTCCGCCACTTCTTCACTGGGGCTCCTCACACCTTGCTGAACCTCTCTGAGCCAGTGTCCTCACTCAACTCAGGGCTAATTATCCCTAAGTGGTCCTGTGGACATGTGTATGGCCTTCCCTGCACAGGATTTGCCTCAGGGTTAGATGAGCCAATCCAAACGAAGCCCTGCATGCAGGGCTCGGTGCCATGTTGACATCCTTCCCTTCCTTTATGCTCAGCTAAACATTTTGAAATAATTATCTATTCTCAAGCACTCCCCTTTTCATGTCTTTAAAGGATTTACATCCACATTTTTAGGGACTATGTGTTATGAGTCTCCCCGTAATCCCAACCCTTAAGCATCTGTAAAGGAAATGTCCTTGAGCTGGCTCCAGGAGACTGGAGAGGATGTAGAGTGTGACCTGGAGCCCAGGGACAGAGCCACCACTACTATTGAGCACTTACTACAGTCCAGCAAGGCCAGGTGGATCTCACAGGAGTGTCTCATCTAAGGCATCCAGGCTGCTTTCTCAGTTAAAGATGGAATGTTAGGCCCAGAGGAGTTCCGTCCTGCCCCATCTCACACTGCTGGGAAGGAGGAGTTAGAACCCAGGAAGTTTGATGCCAGGCTGTTATCCACAGCGATACATCACTATGGTTCCAGGAGCCCTTAGGCATTGGTCACGTAATATGTATGCGAGCTGGTTGTAAGTAACCAGCAAGATAGGAGTGATTGTCCTTTACAGTGAAGAAACTGAGGCCCAGAGAAGTTAAGCAACTTGCCTAAGTCACATGGTGAGTTACTGGGAGGCCCGCTTGTATGTGGGTCACTGGGGAAGGGAGATTGTATCTGAATCCTGTGGTTAGGTTAGAGTGAAAACCCCTAAGGTGCTTAGCATAGTGACTGCCTGTAGCGTAATGTGCAGGGGACTGGGCTTGGGCTGTGGCACCTAGGCTTAACCACCCAGGTCACTGGGCTGGCCCACCCCTGATATGCCCTGTGGACCCAACAAAGACTGGGGTTCCCCACACCCAGACTCCTCCCAGCCCCTGGAAGACTGTGCCACTCCCTAGGGTCCTATATTGTGATCATTTGCAAATTTAGAGGGAGGCAAAGGCTCAGGTGAAAAAGTCTGTCTGTAACAAAACTGTTGGTAACTCCACTATCCTACTGTCAGCCTGTTTGCTGGTTCCATCTCAAGGAATTTCTTTCCTTTTAAATTTTCTAAAAATGATTTCTTATTGAGACCTGATTTGCAAACCATGACAGTCACTATGTTACTAATTTAGTATGTACACTTTTCTTTTTTGGTGTACTGGGGTTTGGACTCAGGACCTTGCACTTGTTAGGCAGGTGCTCTGCCACTTGAGCCACAGCCCCAGCCCCAATCTGTATACTTTTAAAGTGCACAAATCCATGGCTCTTTGCACAGTCACAGAGTTGTGCAAATGTCGCAACTATCTTAATGTACGCCTAGTCCCTTGTTACCCTCATCCCTGGCAACCACTAATTTACCTTCTGTCTCTATGGATTTGTCTGGCCTAGATAGAAGCATAACGTAGGTGAGTATTCTTGTCTGAATTCTGGATTCTTTCACTTAGCATAATGTTTTAAGGTTCATCCATGTTGTAGCATGTATTGGTATTTCACTCCTGTTTGTTGCCAAATAATAGTCCAGCTTTATTTATCTATTCTTTAGTTAATGGACCTTTAGGGGTTTTTCACTCTCAAACCACTTTGAATAAGGCGCTCTACCACTTGAGCCACACCTCCAGTCCAATTTTTTGTAACATTTTGATGAACTGTCAAATTGTTTTCCACAGTGGTTATACATTTTGCATTTTTGTCAGAAATGTATGAAAGTGATACATACAGCAATTTCTCCCTTTCCGCACCAGCACTTGTTATTTTCTGTTTTTATAATTATAGCCATCTGAATCAGTATGAAGTAGTTTCTTTTTGGTGCTCTGGATCAAACCCAGGGCCTCACACAAGCTAGGCAAGTACTGTACCACTGAGCTACATTCCAGCCCCTCAGTATTTTGTTTGCTTGTTTGTTTCTGTGGTACTGGGGTTTGAGCTTATGGCCTCACACTTTCTACCACTTGAACTACTTCACCAGCTCTCTCAGTACGGTTTTGATTTAGATTTCTCTAGTGAATAATAATATTGGGAAGCTTTTCATGTGACCATTTTCTGTCTTCTTTAGAGAAATGTCTGTTCAAATTCTTTGCCCATTTTTAAAGTGGTTGGTTGTCTCCTTGTTGTCAAGCTGTAATAGTTCTATATTCTGGATACAAGTTCTTTTCCAGGTATATGACTTGCAAATTTTTTCTTCAGTTCTATAGGTTGTCTTTTTACTTTATTGATGATGCCTTTTGAAGTCCAAACATTTTTTAAAATTTTTTGATAAACTCCAATTTATCTACTTTTTTCCTTTTGTTACTTGTGCTTTGGGTGTGGTATCTAAAGAAACCATTGCCTAATTCTGTGTCTTGAAGATAGAGGGAGGCACATCAGGCCACAGACTCCTGAGGCTGCACAAAGGGACATGTGTCATGTGGACTCTGCTGCCAGCCTGCCCAGCTTTCAGCTTCTAGAGAAGGAGGATGAAGGGGTCAGGGCTGCTACTGTAGGACTCACATACTCCCAAGCAGTGCAGTGTCCATAGCGTTAGTCCAGAGGGGAGACGGGGCAGATGGATACATTCTCTCTCCTGGAAGCTGCATGTTTTCTCCTTTAACCCAAGTCTAGCCCTGTGAGGCAAGGGTAATTATAGGTGGGAGAATGAGGCTCAGTCAGGCTATGTGACTTGTAACAGTAGCTAGTGGAGGGAAGAATCAGGACAGAAAACCATGTTCAGTCCAAGCTTGGCAAGGCCCTTGAACATAGTGCCTGATCAGAAAGAGGCATCCTGCTAAAGAGACTCATGCCATAGAATTGCTAATTTGGAGTAAAGATGACCGTGCAGGCAATAGCCACCAACAGTCATTGAGCACACACTGGTGCCAGGCACTGGCCAAGTGGTTCACCTCATTTGATCCCCTCAGCAGCCTGGTGGAGAGCCTGATGACCCCTTCTGTGTTACCAGTGAGGGAGGTGGAGGCCAGAGAAGGTGGGTCATGTGCCTAGGTCTCCATCTTGTGCAGCTGGGATTTGAACACCAGCCCTCCAGCTCTAGAGACCAGTTCTTGCCTGCTCTGTTTTCCTGAGCGATCCAAATCCACCCCAGCCACCACCATGGTGCACGTGAGCCCCGGGGATAGCATGCACTTGCTCAGAGTAGCATGAGGCTATGGTAAGATTGTGACTGCCAGGGTATTTAACAAACTATGAAGCCTGCTTCAAATTAGATGTCACTATCACTTACATAAACATGAGGAGCGATGTCCTAACAGAAAGGCTGGCTGGCCTTTTTGCCTGTCTCTTCCCTCTTTGTAGATCATAGCTATCGGCCCCAGTACTGCTCGTGCTCTGGCTACCTCGGGCCTGCCTGTGAGCTACACCGCAGAGAGCCCCACCCCACAAGCTCTGGCTGTTGGCATCAGGAAGGTACTACAGTCTCACTGCTGCTGAGTAGGCTGCGGCCTTGGCCCCACGTACACTTCCTGGGCCTGGCTCTTTCCCTGTGGGGAGAGGGCATCTTGCCACTGCCTCTGGGATGCAGCCAGCGTCAGGCTGAGTCTTTTGGGAAGCTGCTACCACCAAACTCCTACCTCGAGCCTACAAGGAAGCACACAGGCCGAACATGGGTCCAGTCCTGCGACTGGTCGCAGGCCCTCGTGCACTTCCCTGCTGTACGCTGTCTCCCAGGCCTGCGGGAGCTTCCTGTGCCCAGCAGGATGGAGTCAAATAAACCACACTGGCAACTTGTGCTCACTGAGTATGTGTTATTACTCACCAAGAATGGGTTTTGGGGCAAAACTGTTGGGGGCTGAGGGGAACCGATATGCTCCTGTTTGACAGCCACCAAGCCTGGTGTGAATGATAGTTGCTATGCATGAAGTAGGTTAATTCATTCTATATAAAAAGTCCTTGAAGTTCCTGCTTGTGAGCTATGGACAAGTGTAATTAATACCCAGACATGCTGATTGAGAAACAACTGCAGTGCTGGTCAGGTGGACCAGCAGATTCCCCGGCGCCTGGGGCCAGGAGGTTGGGATTTACTTAGAAATGTAGTCCCCTATAGAAAGGCTTTGAAAATCTGTCCCAAACATCAGTGACTCACGCCTGTAATCCTAGCTACTCAGGAGGCAGAGATCAGGAAGATCGCAGTTCAAAGCCAGCCTGGGCAAATAGTTCACAAGACCCTATCTCGAAAAAAATCCCTTCACAAAAAAGAGCTGGTGGAGTTGGTGGAGTGGCTCAAGGTGTAGGCCCTGAGTTCAAACCCCAGTCCCACAAAAAAAAAAGAAAGTCTGTCCCCAGATTTTATTTCCATTTTTTTAATCCTTCCCAGAATTTGAGCTTGGGGTAAGATAGCCATGTTTGTCTTTTAATACCCATGGGCTGGGGGCAGGGAAGACCTCCATGCCATCTTCCCGGCTCTGTCCTCGAGATACCAGGTCAGGAAGCCTCATACGACAAGGGCTTTTACCCAAGTAATCACCATTTATCACAACAACCCTGAAATTCATAAGCTGCCTCCTATCAGATTAATAAGGAGAAGGAGGAAGCCAGCAATAATCAGTTCTTCAAATCTTGGTGTGACTTGGTGCTGATTTGGACATGGGTTGAATGTGTCCGCCAAAGTTGTGTGTTGGGAGCTTGGTCCCCAAGTTGATGCAGTGGGAGCTGATAGAAACTCTAAGAGGAAGTGAGCGTTTATTTGGAAGCTGAAGAAGCACACAAGATGGGCATGGAGGCACTGAAGCAGGACACCAAGAGACAGGCTGGAAGCAAGGGTTTAAAGAGAATGGCAAGGTGAGGGTTGCCATGGACTTCTGAGGCAGGTGTGAAAGGAGCGAGCAAGAGGCTCCTTCTCAAGCCTGGGGAGGGGATTTACTGCATGTCTACATGCTACCAAGTGTCATCCCTGATGCTGGTGGTCCTGGCAATGCCAGAGGGGTGAGCAGGGCTTGGATCCAGATGGGGGTCTGCAGGGGATCAGAAAGAGCTCAGAGGCGGGCATCAGGGACCACATGCTGGAGAGCACTGAGGGGCCAGGAGCCAGGGACCTGGGCTTTTAGCAGCAGACTGGAGGCTCCCTGTGGCTTCAGAATGCCTGGAGGAACCACTAGTGGCTCAAGAAGACAGTGGGCTAAGAAGCTTGAGAAGAGTCTAGAACTCTGGTTTAAAAGGGTTAGACCAGAGAAGCCACAGGCCATTTTTCTGCTGTGTCCGAGAGGACGGTGATTTTTCTTAAAGGCTGTAACTAGATCAATTATTCCAATAATTATGTTAATTTGTGGCCTAGTGGTGGGGTGCACGTGAATGGAAACCAATACAAAGATGTGCCCAGCGGAGCTGGTCCAGCCTGGGAAAGTTGAGTATTGAGGTGGTGATATACTGGGGACCCTGTTGCAGTGTAGGAGCCAGGACGGGGTGAGAACCCCCACTTCACCCTGAGTGGACTGTAGCTGAGCCATTTCCACACAGAAGGCCACTCCAGCAGAGAGGCTGGGTGACTACCAGAGGGTGTCGTTGCAGAGGATCCAGTGATGGGGTGGGAAAAGACATCCAACAGAGGTGCCAAAAATTATGTGGCCTGCCTTCCCTCTTCTCACCAGCTCTGCTGAGTGCTAGGGAGGAGTTAAGATCATGGAGGGACCTAAGAGCCAACCCAGGGTGCAACTGGGCTCTGAGTTTTCATAAATAAAGAACAAGAAAGAGGCTGCAGCAAACCAGTTGTTACAAGTGTGATGGTGGACAAGAAGGGCGGGGACATTGACTGGTCGCCTGTGTTCACCATTCCAGGTAAGAACTGCAGTGAGCAGAAAAGTCTTGTCCTGGGTTCTTTATTGTCCCCATGGTATCAGGGAAGGCCTTCATTCTCTCCCTTGGGCCAACTCTGTGCCTCTTCCTCTCCCCAGGTTCAGCCCTCTTCTCCCCACCCCCACCCCCACCTGGGCCATGTGGACCCACAGGGAGAGAGGAGGAACAGGAAGTGTTTGTGGAGAAAAGTGGGAGGTTGGAGGGTGGCACAGTGGGTAGCCCGCAGGGGCTGCAGGCACGAAGGATGCAGAGCTCAGTGAGCAAGTGTGGGCACCGAGATGAGCACTCAAGCCCACCCAGGACTGGGACCCTGCCCCAGGAGGTGAAAGCACTCAGGCAAGGGGTGGCTGAAGTCCCAATCCTGGGATCAAAGTAGGTCAGGAAGAAAGACCACAGACTTGAGGATGCTGATAGGTGAAGCAAGACAGGATGCATGGTACCCATCAGGGGGCCTGTGCAGTCGGGGGACCTGTGGTTGGGAAAAGACAAAGATTGCAAGGAGACCTGCTGTGGTACGAGGAGCCATCTGCACTTCTGGCTTCAGAGGTAGTAGTTGGGGGTACAGGCAGGTGAGGCCAGGTGAGCAGGCAACCAAGCAGAATGGACTTGACACCTCAGAGGACATCAGCAGATCAGAGCAGTGCACTGGCCCATTCCCAGGATGTCAGCAGGTGTGATGAAACTGGGCTTTGGAAAAGGTGTAAGCACAGAGCAACTGAGTCATCAGACTTCAGCCCTGGGAAGGCTGGAGTGATGCCGCAACTGGCCTAAGGCCCACAGGACCAGGGTGTTTCCCTAAGTGGAGGCAGAAGTTGGGACTAGAACCCCCATCCTTCCTCTTGACCTGCTCAGCCTCTACTAGCCAGAAAGACTGTGGCCTCTGGGGCAGGCAAGTCTCCCAGAGGGAGGAGAATGCTCAGATTGCTTCTAGGACAGACCCAGCGCCTGGGGACATGTATTAGTCTGTTGTCTAACTGCTGACCGACACTAAATCTCAGGCCCACCACTATAAAGCCTACTTCTCATTTCAGAGATCAATCAGTGTTAGAGGCTGCTTATGGCGGATGCTGTGCTGGCCAGGAGTGAGGGGGAATGAAATCACAGAGAATCAAAAGGAGGCCTTAGGTTGGGGCATCCTGGGGCACAATCTCTCTTCAAATTCCTCTGGTCAGTCCCATGGGCCAGCGCGGCCCGCTTGGTCCATACTCTCCAGAGCCTGTCAGCTCTCGCCTGCTTGAATGAAGGCCCACTGTTAGGGGAGGTTCTGTCTTCAGGGTTCCTTCTGGAACGCCAGGCTCCTCTGAAGGAGGCGGGGTTGTATGCAGTGTTCCAGACCCTCGGGTGCTTCTAGTCTGTCCTGTAAAAATCTCTGACCTGCAGAACGCACTGAGCACAGCCCTTAAGGAGGATGAGAAATACCAATATTCAGGCTCACTGAGGATACCCATGGCATGCTGTTGAATTGTAAATAACAGTCTGGAGCATATATGATTTATGTAAATTGCATGCACACACATTACTTCTCCATGTATGCACCCATATGGATCTATAAGACTCTTCACCAAATCCGAACTGCTCGAATTGCAGGATTTCTTTCACCTTTATCCTCAGTACTTACAAAATTTACATTTTCTCCACCGATTAGACATTCTCTTTTAATAAAGAAAAACAAAATCAATAAGACGTGAAAAGAAAGTCTGAGGAACTAACAATCCTCAAAACCCAGCCCACCCAGAAAACCGTGCGGACTGAGCAGGTTCACGAGCACAGCTGTGAGCTGGCAGGCCGTGTCCCGCAAGGCCTGTTGTCGGGGTGGAGTTCCGGCTCCTACCAGCAGGCCAGATGGACGGGGCGGCACTCCTGCACTTCATTTAGGAAGCAAACTTGCCCACTCACACATTGCCACAGAAATGCAGTCACAGGCACCTGCAACTCTGGGACTTAATTCCCCAGGAGGTGGCAAACAGGAGAGGCTGAAAAAAGAGTTGTCATCACACTAACGAGAAAGGCAGCCCTGGGGTCTTCAAAGGCAGCGCACCTGGGGCAGGCACACTTTAGGCCTGTGTGAGAAATGCTTGTTTGTTATAAAAGGGTCCCATGCCTTCCTCTTTAAGGAGAGGAGAGAGGGACAAAGGAAGGTGGGAGGGCAGAGTCCAGACCGGGCCATGCTCACTGCCTTTGTCTTGCACCGGACGCTACTGCTCTGCTGGCTGGCTGCCCCCTGGCCGGCTCAAACCGAGAAGCTTTTCCACAGCCGGGACCGCTCGGACCTGGAGCCATCCCCCCTACACTGGGCCAAGCCTATCACCAACCTCCACTCTGCGCAGGTAGGAGAGCCACGGTGCAGCATCACTCACGTGCACGTGCAGCGCATGCACAGGTTGCATATGCCAGGACATATGCAAAAGGTCTGGGCAGGGCAGAGACAAAGAGGGTCCAGCAGGCCGTACTGGGTGGGACATGCAGGCCTTGTGGGGAACCTGGTTGTCATGAGTTTAGTGTGAATGACGGCTCCAGGCTTAACCTGATGTTACTGTTTTGGTGGTGCTGGGGTGGAACCCAGGGCCTTGTGCATGCCGGGCAAGAGCTCCACCACTGAGCTGCATCGCCAGCCCAGCCTGGTGTTGTTAATGGATGACCCCATGGGTCAGCCTATAGTCAGTGATTGACATTGCCGGGGCATACAGGTGACAGACTTAAATGTGAAGGGTTAAGGCACTGTTCCCATGGCATTTCTTGCCTACCCCCTTCTGGTCTCTGGATTCAGAGAAGAGCCAACTCCCAGCACAGACCCCCTTACCTGGCATATGAGGGTCCTCTATGGAGCTGTCCCTGTGGCATTCACCAGCTTTGCTGCAGCTCCACCACCACAAGAGCAAGAGAGGAAATTCCATCCTTGGGAGTCATGGGCCAGGACGGGGAGTGGTTGGAGGAGATCTCAAGACCTGTGCTGCACCCTTCAGTCCTAGTGGTCACTGTACATCACAGATGGTCAGGGTTTCAAACTTTAACCACTGGCTCCTGGAGCCCCAGAGGTGTGGAGTAATGAGAAGGGGCTCTGGGCCACACTCTGTTAGCTACCAAGGACTGCCTGCTGAGAAGAACCGCCCCCCACCAAGAGGTTCATAGTTATAGTCAGTCCCAGTCCCCTGGTTCTGACTCCCAGGTCCCATCTCGGGCCTCCTCTGCCCTTAGCATGTATCCATCTCCAGCCCTGGCCTCACCCTGCCCATGGCTTCTCTTCCCACCCCATGCCCACAGGGCCTGCTCCAACTCTGCCCTTCTCGGGCCACACAGCACCAATGACTTCACCCAGCCCAGCCCAGCCCAGCCTAGCCCACTCACAGGCCAATGTCCTTGACTCCTGCCCCACTCCGCACACCCTGCACTTGCCCTGCCTCCCTCCGTCTCTCAGTCTCTCTGTCACACAGTTTGGGGATCAGGGCAGACGCCAGCACGGGAGAAGCCCTGGTGGGAGTCAGCCTCCGGATTTGGGTGTATTTCTCTCCCACAGAGATTCTTGTCCCGATATGGCTGGTCGGAGGTGTCTTCAGCCTGGGGTCCCATCCCCAAGGAGTCATCAGAGGCCCCTACGGGCACCACCCTGGCTGAGGCCATGCGCAGGTTCCAGAGGGCAAACGCACTTCCAGCTAGTGGGAAGCTGGATGTGGCCACACTAGCGGCCATGAACAGGCCACGCTGTGGTGTCCCTGACACACGGATGCCACTCCAGGCCACCCTGACGACCCCACCAGCCCCACGAACCCCTCTAGGTCCACGGCCCAGGGCCCGACCAAAGCGCTTCCTGCAAATGCTGCTGCCCAGGCTGGGTGGGCAGCAGGAGGACTCCTCGGGCCGCAGGGCCATCCAGGCCTTCTCCAAGAAGACCCTGACTTGGAGGCTGGTGAGTGAGGCCTACAGCAGCCAGCTCTCTGTGGAGGAGCAGAGATACATTTTCAGGCTGGCCTTCAGGATGTGGAGTGAGGTGACACCGCTGAATTTTCGGGAAGACCTCACTGCCCCTGGGACTGCAGTGGACATAAAACTAGGGTTTGGGAGAGGTAAGAGGGCACAGACTCAGGGCTGCCTTCCTGCTAGCCTCCCTCACAGAGGCCCCATATCAAGTGCCATGTACAGGATGACAGGGGTCAGCTGCAGAACAGTAGCTCCAGCTCTAACAGTTGGGCTTGCTCTGTGCTGGCACTTGATGGGGCAGGGTAGATTTAATCCCGCTATAGATCCTGCCTTCTTAGAACTCACTCAGAACGGGATGGCTCAGCATTCCCCCGAGCCAGCAGTGCTCACAGGGAACAAGGCCAGTCCCTCCGTTCCCCTCAAGGCAGGTGGGCGTGCTGGGTTCAGGCTGGCTGCTGCAGTCTGCTCACCTGGAGCACAGATGTGCTTGGTGTGCTCCTCAAAACTCAATGCCAGATCGCCCTCTCTTGTCCCATGGAGAAGCTACAAGTGCAGCTGACCCTAGCAAGAGCCAGGAGGGGACATGCTCAGAAGGAGACATCGTAGATGGCGGGTTCACACCCGTCCTAACATCTCTGCAACCCTACCTGTGAACTGGGGGTGCTTCTGGCCATCTTGCTGGTCTCCCTGGATTAATCTCCCAGTGTGAGAGTGCACAGGGTGCACACTTGTTGAAAAAGCATAGGAACCAAGGGGCCAGTGACCTCTCTTCCTTCATGACCTTCCACACTGTTGGGACCAGCTCAAATGCTTTCTCCTCCATGTGCCCTTCTGCCATTGCCTGTATCCCTGCCACACACTGCCCTCTCCCTGTTGCTCCCTGGCATTTGGCACCCAGCTCTGCTCTACAGTTTTCATACTTTCCACTTGCACAGTTGGTAGACCACCTGTGACCTGGGCCCTCCTCCCATGGGAATTCAGGCAGGTTATCACTATGCCTGCCCAGCCACTGGACACAGCTCCTAGAGGAGTGCCAAGGGGCACTATCACCTGTGCAAGTTAGGGAGGGAATCCGTGACGGGCACCCCCCCAGTCACTGCCATCACATCCTTTGCCCTTACTAGGCCGGCACCTGGGCTGTCCTCGGGTATTTGACGGGAGTGGGCAGGAGTTTGCACATGCCTGGCACCTGGGTGATATTCACTTCGACGATGACGAGCACTTCACGCCTCCCACTAGTGACACGGGCATCAGCCTTCTCCAAGTAAGTAGCTGAACTGCGTGAGCCCAAGTCCAAAAAGCCAGGGATTTCCTGTGACATGCGCACTTCTTCCTAGGAAGTTAGCAGCTCTACGGTGATAGCTCCCCAGTTCTTACCCTGCTCCCCTTTACCTGAGCAAGCTCAACTCTACAGGAGGCACAGGCCTGCCCTCTGTAGCCTGGGGTTTCTTCCCACTGGTACTTGGAGGTTCAGATTGGGCCCTGTACCCATGGATTGTCCCCCTCCTAGGTCGCTGTCCACGAAATTGGCCATGCCCTTGGCTTGTCCCACACCTACAGGATGGGATCCATAATGCAACCAAATTATATCCCCCAGGAACCTGCCTTTGAGTTGGACTGGTCAGACCGAAAGGCCGTTCAGAAACTGTATGGTAAGGAGGGTTTGGGCAGGTCCTCCCCAGAACTCCCAGAGGATGTTTGGTGGCAAAGCCCAGCAGGACCCCCCCACTACTCACACACCGTTGTACATCTCTGCCCACTCGCCATAGTGCAGTTTTCTTAGTCACAAGTGCTCATGCTCAGAGCACAGCCTCAGGTGGCGGGCGAGCTCAGTGCTGTGGGCAGTCTCACCTGTGCCCTCTTTCATTTGCTGCCTGCCCTCGCCAGGAGGAAAGAGGCCGAGGCAGATCAAAAGTTCCAGGCTAGCGGGTGCTCACGCCTGTAATCATAGCTACTCAGAAGGCAGAGATCAGGAGGACTGCTGTTCGAAGCCAGTCCAGGCAAAATAGTTCACAAGTCCCTATCTTGGAAAAAAAAAAAAACTATTGCAAAAAGGTGGAGTGGCTAGGGGTGTAGGCCCTGAGTCCAAACCCCAGTACTGCAAAAAAAAAAAAGTTCCTACCTAGAGAGACCCTATCTGAAAACAAACAAACAGAAAACAAGGAAGATGACTAGTGACTTAGCACAGATGCCCAAGGCAAGGAGAGCTGCCCTTGCCTTTCCATTTCAAAGTTCACAGATGCCATGTCTGCCCTGCTCACATCCTCCTGTCGGTTCTTGGCACTCAGCATTCAGAGACAAAAGCCAGGACACACTTACTTCACTTGGTGGAAATCTGACTTTGTGTGTGCCCAGAACCAAACTTATTTCCTCTAATGAAGCCAGCCAGCCATCAAAAGGCAGCAGCCAAGCTATACTTAGGGGGTCCTGTAACGGCATCCACACTGGGTCTGGGGGCACAGTGAGTGTGAGCCAGGGTGTCACAGGCAACCTGGGACCCCACTCCTGCTCCATCTCCAGTCTCATCCAGATCTTGCCTTAAAAGATGTTTCAACAGAAAACCCCAGCTTTGCGGTTGTCTGTATTCCAGTCCAGTGAAAGTTGGGTTTTTGCATCATGTAACAAGTGGCTGGATTTTCTTTTCTCTTTTTCTCAGGTTCCTGTGAGGGATCATTTGATGTTGCATTTGACTGGATTCGCAAAGAGAGAAACCGATATGGCGAAGTGAGGGTGAGATTTAGCACGTATTTCTTCCGCAAGAGCTGGTACTGGCTCTATGAAAATCGCAACAACAGGACACGCTATGGGGACCCTCTCCAAATCCTCACCGGCTGGCGTGGGATCCCGACACAAAACCTAGATGCCTTCGTCCACATCTGGACGTGGACAAGAGATGAACGTTACTTTTTTAAAGGTAAACACTCTTCTGGTGGCTCCAGTTCCCTCATTAGGCAATGCATTCAGGATAGACGTTTCCAGCCCTAGCAAGGCCTTCACTGCCCTGTTCTGGTACCATCAGACCATAGCTTCCATGAAATTTTATTTTCTGCAGTGCTGAGGCTTGAACTCAGGGCCTACACCTCAAGCCATTCCACCAGTCCTATTTTTGTGAAGTTTTTTTCGAGATAGGATCTCACAAACTATTTGCCCAGGCTGGCTTCAAACTGTGATCCTCCTGATCTCTGCCTCCTGAGTAGCTGGGATTACAGGCCTGAGCCACTGGCACCCGGCCCTGATCTTTTTAAGAAAGCACTTTGGCCATCAAATGAATGAATAAGTGAGCAAACTTTGCTAGTTATATGAGGCAGTTGCCAAAGATCTGTAGAAAGGGAACCTATGGCAGTTTCCCCTGGTTCTGGAGAAGGTTACCTGGTAGCCAACCAATAGAATCAAGTGTACGTGGACAACCACACAGTGGATGTGACCACTGCCCCCTAAAATCTGATGCTGGTGTCACCAGGAGCCAGGGCTTGAGCTAGACTTTCCGATAGGTGGGACCTGGAATGCCCAGACAGGGCACCTGGAACGGTGTGCGCACGTGGCCAAAGGCCAGCAGCACAAGCTGAGGATGGAAAAGGCTGAATCCATGGAGGGGTGTGGTGTGTGCATCTCACTTGGGTGAGATGTGGCTGGGGAGGGCTGGTTGGCCTGATCTTGGAGAGCCTCAAATGCCAGGGCCAGACCTAGGACTAGGACTTCATCCAGCTGACAGTGAGGAAGCAGTGGAAATTTCTCGAGAGGGAAGACTAGTGTTTTCTTGGGAGGCGGTGGGGCCTGGAGTTGAGCTGACCAAAGGAAGGACAGGTCTTATTCTCAACACCACCCTGTCAAGTACCTCTGCATGGTGCTCTGCAAAACCAAATGGCTACAGCCTAATCCCAAACACAGTGCTGTGGCTCCAGCTTTTTCCTTCACCTTTCCACCCAAGAAAATTTGTGTACACTCTCTCAGCCTGAATCCTAGAAATACAACTATACTGCTTTAAACTGCTCAGTTAACCCAGAAGAGAAACTGACTCTTATGTGCAAACTTTACCACCAGGTCCTGTGTGTAAATTTAGTCTGAAATTTCCTTCACATCCCACAGAGAAAGAGTTCTTTGGCTTAGTTGTGGTTGGCAGCTGCCTGATGGAGCTTTCATAGTTCAGGTCTTTCAGTTAGAAACACAAGAAGTCCTCTACTAGAACTTATGTTGTCCACACTCAGAGTCTTCATTACAGAGTAAGGTCTTCAAGGGGTGACTGCTACAATATAGCTGTATTTTATTCTTAAGGGCTTTAAAAACATCTTACATTAAATTTTCTGTGAATCATTCAAATTAAACATTCCAGTTAGAGTGAATTGCATCTCTACTGAGACATGTCATATTGTTCTCAATGGCAGACTTTTCCAAATATACTGAGTATTTGGTAACTGCTTGAGGTCTTCTGAGTCTTTGTGGGACTAGGGTTTGAACTTAAGAGCTTTGCCCTAGCAAAGCAGGTGCTCTGCCACTTAAACCACATTTCCAATCTGAGCTCTTCTGAGTTGTAAACTCAGAAGTGTCTAGCTCAGTGGATTTATTCTGCGTCTGCCCAACATACAAGACTAGGAGCTAATAAAGCAAGCCTAGAATGGTCCTGTCTTATTTGGAGAACATGAAATTAGCCTTTAGATTTTGGAACAAAATGGAGCAAAGTGACGAGATATTATTTCCCAGGACAGTGTGTAAAGTTTCATGAGGTGGAGTTCAGTAATACTGGGGTGATCTCTGGTCCCACCTAGGCTGTCTGAAATTGGATGAGTTACTTCAACTCTTTCTACTCTTTCCACCTTAGTGAAATGGGAACAGAGGGGCAACCAGGTGACTCTAAAACACTAAAACACTGGAAGGTGTTTTATAATAAGCATCAGGATTTCTTATGTAAGGGGCAGGGAGCGTGTATATCAATTAGGATTAGAAAGTGATTCAGGCCAAACCATGGGCCTCACATGTAAAAGGATGACTTTAAAAGAACATACTCAGATGAAAAAGACCACATGACATTGCAAGTTGCCCTGTTTGTCATCTCCCATGTTTTTTGGTGGTACTGGGGTTTGAACTCAGGGCTTCATGCTTGCTAAGCAGGTGCTCTACCACTTGAGCCACTCCTCCAGCCCTTGTTTTGTGTTGGTATTTTTGAGACAGGACCTTGAGAACTGTTTGCCCGGGCTGCCTCTGAACTGTGACCCTCCTGATCTCTGGCTCCCAAGTAGGTAGGATGCAGGCATGAGCCACTGGTGCCTGTGCTTTAGGAACATTTTTGATTGGTTCTTAGGAAACCAATACTGGAGATACGACAGTGACAAGGATCAGGCCCATACAGAAGATGAACAAGGAAGAAGCTACCCCAAGCTGATTTCAGAAGGGTTTCCTGGCATTCCCAGTCCCCTGGATACAGCCTTTTATGACCGAAGGCAGCAGTTAATTTACTTCTTCAAGGAGTCCTCCGTAAGTGGCGCTGCTTCTCTAAGCCCTGACTGCATCTGTCAGATGAATAAGTTCTTAGTGAAAAGCTGTTCTCATTACTTCGGCTCTCTATAGCACTGGTAGATCATGGGATGGGAAATTATTTAGAACTTCAAGTCTAAAGAACTGCAAAGTCAGACTATTAACTCCTCATTGCTATAAGTGGACCTGAAAGTCTATGATCTTCAGAAAGCCAGTCTTACCTTACTATCTGATTTGCTTCGCAGGTATTTGCATTTGATGTCAACAGAAATCAAGTACTTAATTCTTATCCACTGAAGATTACTGAAGCCTTTCCAGCAATAACACCACAGAATCATCCCTTCAGCAGTATAGATTTGGCTTACTACTCCTATGCACACAACTCTGTTTTCTTTTTCAAAGGCAATGCATATTGGAAAGTAGTTAGTGACAAGGACAAACAACAGAACTCCCGTCTTCCTTCTAATGGCGTATTTCCAAAAAAGTCTACTTCAGGGAAGTGGTTTGACATTTGTGACGTCCATCCATCCACACTGAATATGTAACAGGAACATGAGAACAGAAAAATTGAGGTAATCACAGGATTTCTCTTCTACAAGAAAAAGCCTGACTTCTTTTACAAAGAAAACAGATACTAGTTAAAACCAGTGGGAAAGACATTACTAGAGCTTTAAAAATCTTTAAGGATCAACTGATCCTTCGTAAAATTAGTTTTACAAATATTTTAAGAAAAAGAAAAAAAGCACTCCACCCTAAGGAATTCCTATTTTTCCCTCTCTGCATGGAGTGCTGCAGCTGTACCCCAACACATCCTGGCCATATGTGTGGGAGCTGGGAAGCCAGCTGAAAACCCTTAAGGAAGGAGACGTTACCCCTAAAGGTATGGAATGACTACTGTGCTTAAAACCAAGGGGTTCAACAGAAAGAATCTGGAATTCACTATGTTGCAAAATCCTAATCCTTGACAGTGGGTCAAAGGTTTTCCTGTGTCTTACCTTCCCAAGCCTGTCAAGATGGCAGGATGGAAAAGGTTGTACACACTGCCAGCTGCAGCTGAAGCTGAAGCTGAAGCTCCTTTATCTGCCCCAACTAGGGCTCTGCCCTCCCTCCCTCCATCCTGCTGGTGGTCTCCAGTTGGCAGCCAGCTGTGTTCTTCTTTGCACACACAGGACAACTGTGCCCTGTTCCTGAACACAGAAGCTTTTTGGTTCATTGACTCACCTGGTGTCTCTTTTCCTGCAAAGCCACCTAGCTGACAGTTCACAAACGCTCCGACGGCTACACCACCATGATAGGGCTCTGGAAGCCAGCTAGGTAACTATTTTTCCTGTATCCGTATATCTAGAGTGGGCATTATGTCCCTTTAACATATATACACTATGGCTACTAATTCTTCTTAATACCCTCAGAAACAAAGATCCATGTAGCAGCAGAAAGCAATACATAAAATCTTCTAGTGAGAACTGAATGGTTGGTAGAACTCTGAAGGTCATGACTTTTTCTTTGTAAAATTTATTAACTAAACTGAGGTCAATCACAACATGATGTGAGAATGCAAAGTGGAAAATACAAAGATATGTTAAATAAATAATTTATTTATTCAAAATAGTTTTCTTACCTTATTCACAGTTTCAAGTTTAAGGTGGAAAAGGGTTAGTACCTATTCTTTATCGACTATCATCGAAAGCTGCAAGGGGCTCCTCCCCACCATGCATTTAACAGACAGATGCACAACGGTTGTTGAAAAATCTTGCACTGTAGCTTAAAAAGGGCCCACTTTTTTGTGCCATTTAGAAGGAAGTTTCTTTAACCCACTCCAACCTGTAAAATCATTTGGATAAAAGTTCCCTCAAGCAAAGTACATTCTATCCAAAATAATCACATCCTAAACCCATGTAGCTTAACATAGCTCAGAAGTACTTGAAAGTGTAATTGCATCACAGAAGGTCTATTAAGAATGAGGTACCACATGCTTCTCAGAGAAACACACGCTGGAAGCTTTGAGTTCCATTCTGGTGTTAGCACTTCAAAGGAAGACGCCAAAGAACTCCACGTGCTCTGTCTGCCGTGGGAAATGACTGCGTCTCCACTGCTCTACCTGATTTAAATGGCATTTCCTCATGTTTAATGAGATGAGAAGCAGAGCGGACAGAGCAGCTGAGTTCAGAAGGCACTGGCAGCGTGTCTGTGGAAGTGGCTCTCTGTGGGTCACTGGACGGCGCTGCCACTGGTCACACTTGCTCCACTGTCCCCGAGAGCCAGCTGCTCCAGCAAACGGATGACGACATCAATTCTTTCCATAAGAGTCACACCTTTGTTCGCAGAAGCTCTCAGAAGCTGAGAGTAAATGTGCTTGTTGGTTTTGAGGACTACATCTTCTTCAGTGTTACTGCTGGGGTGGAAAAAAAAAAAAAGAGGTGAAGGGAATGGTGACAAGAGATTGAGAAACACAAGCAGTGACAGCCTCCTGACTGTCACTTTTCGGAGCAGCAGGTAGCACACTAAGGCCTCTCAGTACAACCTTCTTACATCTACTGCTCCTGGTCATTTGTTAGACATCAATTGTAACACAAGTGTTCTCTCTTTTTGTAAAGTTACTGCCCGCTATGTACCAACTGCTGTTGGCCGTGAGCCAGATGGAGACCCTGCCTTCATAGCATGGGTAGAAGTGGGGCACTGAGAGAAGACATACAGTGCTAGTTTGTTCTGAAAATATGAATCCCTTATGGCCAGTCAATGTACTGTATTTGTGTCACTAGAGCACAAGACAACCAACTGTAAGGCTACTCAATTCTAGCAGCTTTGTTTGTTAAGAAGCCCCTGGCTCACATAACCAGATGACAGCCAAGACTCCCCAATGTGCATGAGCCTCACAGTAAGCCTGATCCCCTGAAAAGGGCAAGGACTAGCACTCCTATCTTACAGATGTAAAAGCTAAGACCCAGAAGTTATAATTTGGATCAGGGTCAAAGCGTCTTGTTTTCCAATTCCAAAAGCTATGTCTTTCTCTGCTCCTGTGTGCAAACTCTCCCTTCACCAAGTGACCATCAGGTCTGCCAGAGAGCACCAGCACTGTAGAGAACCCTTCCCCAGTCCAGGTCTCAGCTGTAAGGACTTTCTTTCCCTTTTCACCGCTCCATTCAGCCCTCATCCACAGCGTGATCCATTAGAGACCCCTTTCTCCCAACCTCTATTTCTTCAGGCAAATCTCCCCTCTTCCCTCCAAACTTGCCACAGCACAGTAAAAGTGATTATTCACGTTCTGACACATTCACTACCTGCCATTTGGGCCCAATGGATGTTTTAGGATTTTTTGGGGGGTGGGGTGGGAGGAGGGGAGTAGGGCTGACATTCACAAAACCTTATAAGAAATCTAAATTGCTCTTTGATAGCACCTAACAATCAGAAGAGATGTTTGAAATATCAGTGCTTTATAGGCAATAACATACTGTCATATTAGCTAAGTGCCTCAAGTAGCTGATGACTGCTGAGATCAGATTTCTGAACCTTAGCTCTCCCAACGTGTACATTTCACGCCCTTCCTTAATGACTCATCTAGTAGTTTCTTGGATATGAACCCTACTCACAGGGCTCCATTACACTGTGGTTTTCTTTTCCTTGAAGGGAACTATCGTTCTTTCCTTCCCTTTTTACTCTTCGTAACTAAGTATTAAATGTGAGCATAAATCTAAGGGCTTGTTCTCTGCACGTAGGAGAAGGCTTCCTGAATCCTCAGCTTATCTCCACTTTCAGTAATTTCCATTACATCCAACCCGCAAAGTCACCAAAATGTCAAAATGTCAAGAGGCTCCATTCTGCTAAAGAATGAATACTGAAGTACAATATAAAAGCAAATAAATTCCTAACCCAGAAAGAAAATAAGCCCCATACAGCCTAGTAAAAACTAGCATTTCTAGGACAATACCAACACAACTGTCATACAATGAAGTGCATGCATAATCTGAAAATAAAACCAAAACCAAATTTTAAACAAATTGTGCCTAAATTTTCTTTCCCCTATTTTAACATAGAAGAAAGATAAACTTATTAAGGTTTGCTTTCTTTAAGACCTCATTTTGATCTCCCTTCACTCTAAAAGGGAGTATGCATTACTGCATGGGGAACTAAGTGAACAGAGGATGTTTTCCTCAACAATGAAATTACTGGTGGTTTCATCTGCATGTTATCAAAACATGAGAGAAACAGTCACTGACTTAATAATCAATATTGTTCTGTTTTGAAACCTGTCAACATATTTACTTTATTAACACAATATCACACTTAACAGTTTATTAACTTAATAGACCTGAAAAATCAACAAATTAGCTAATAGGACTCTATGAGGCAAACATGAAAACATTAGATTATTCTTCAATAGAGTATTAAAACCTGAACTGAAATAAAAATTACTTAGGTCATACATAGGACTGTTATGATTATAAAACATATCAGACAACTGAAACTATTACCTGTTTAGCCAATTACTCAAACTATCAATTTGTGAAAATCAAAGAATTTCTATGTTCCTCACATACCATGTGTTCATACAGTCATTTCGGGGAAAACAATAAATAAAAAAATTTACCCATTGTTGTTAAGAAAAAGCCATGAGTTCTTTTTCAACTGTGTGTTACTAGATGCACTATCTATTTTACCTTCTGGTTCTTCAGAAAGATGGATGTACCTGCTAAACTCTAGTGAACATAGCGCACGCCTTGCTGTGCACTAGAGCTGGGAGACAACAAGGACCAGCAATTAGCTGAATGAGATGTAAAGTACCTAATACTGAGTCTGCCACCAAGTATAAGTTCTCCTTAGGCTACAGAGAGTTACTAGAACAATTAGCCTGCCTAAGAATGAGTGTTCACAAAACCACCAACATGAGTTACTAGAACAATTAGCCTGCCTAAGAATGAGTGTTCACAAAACCACCAACATGTCCTGGCAACTTACTCTTCCTCTATCAAACAAGCTACAAAGCACCAAAGGACAAGTGATAGTGGACTATGGGAGAAGGGGGGCACACACACACACACACACACACACACACACAATGCTATGAGTACATGAAGGTACACACACACACACACACACACACACACACACACACACACACACACACACACACACACAATGCTATGAGTACATGAAGGTCCTTTCCAAGGTACCTGTGAAGGGCTGATCTAAAGCTGAAGTGGAGCAACATTAAGAACCACCTTATACCAGGGACTTCTAGGACTCCCAGTGGATGCCTAAAACTATGGATAGTACTGAATTCTTATGTATGCAAACTAAGCATGTAGGTACACATACACGTCACTCACCTGATCTACTATGTAGTACTATAGTTTCAAACTAAATTAGTAATGCCAAAGTATTAGCTGTGGCAAAAAAAACATACTGTCCAAGGCGACAGAGGAACCTGGGAACAATGTCTATAGTGCTCACTTCTCTCACTCGTCCTCGCTCTACAGAGTCTGATGTTTTGCCATCTACTTGGCCCTAAGTATCCAAATTGTACTCCAGACTTCCCATTAAAGACAAC